AATGAGCACCAAAGACGACCTACCTTAATAATGGACAGGAGAAAAGAAAAATCAAAGGTCAAGACCCCACATGCATTGGAACAACATATACACCGTGATTGGTGTATGATGCCAGCTCGCTCCCTCTCTCTCTCAACCACCAATCATGTTCCAGATCCTCTAATGAATAAAATGTATGGACTCTCACCGTATCTCACGTGATAAAGATAAACAGCCTCCTGTAGCTAATGGCATGGAAACTGGAAAGCATCTGGTTTCTTCTTGCATTCAAATAGCTTGATATGATTGCAACATACCCACCCATGTTGGCTTGGACATGTTTTTGCAAGAAAAAGGATGAGCCAGTTGCATTGCAAGTGTACAAGTTGAAATATGCATGTCAGAGTCAGTGGCCTTTGAGGCCTATAATAATCTTGTCTTTAACTCACACACATAAGAAATAACAACTACAGTTTGGGCTATGATATCCTTCCAGTCGCTCCCAGCCTCCAGAACTGAGTTATCCATTCTCTTATTGTTTCACAATCACCAAAAATTTCACTACGCCCTTCAAATAGGAACTTAAACGACCCCAGGAAATTGAACTTAAAATATCCCTGCACGAGCCCACGCTGCATGTAACTAATGTTTAGCTCTATCTATCGGGTACTGCTGTAATCAATTTGAATCCTTCTCCAGGAGATTAGAAGTCTATTAACAGAAGCATGATCAAAGTAGACTGTGCAGCCGCTATCGCCCCATTAAATGGAGTACTAATGAAGGAACCACCGGCTTGCTTGTTACTCAAAGGGTATCTATCATACGTAGAAAAACTGACACTGCACAGGGTAGTGAAGTTTAATGATATGGTAAATCAAACAACATCTTAATCATTTCACTTTTAAATTTGCCAAAGACCTTTTTCAAGATAATAATCACCAATTTCAAGACCCAGTCGAGTTAGTGCTTTCAACTCACCCAAAACAACTCCTGAAAACGTCTAACCAACATACAGAAACCTACTTCCTGTGCGGTGAGCATCATCGTTACAGATTACCAAACCAAAGGCCAATTTCCAGCTGAAGCACACATTCTTCCTACCAATCTACCTTCACAATCATTACCAGACCTTGAAATTTGACATTGCGTATCTGAGACATCATAATATGGACACTTGTGTGAGTCTTGACATCCTAACACTGTCAAGTGTGCTCTTCAGCAATGGCAGAACGCATTAAAAAAAATGGCAAAGAGAAGCACCTCTGCTAAGACTCAAGAGCATGTTGCAAATGCACCTTAAACCAGATATATTTGTCGAACATATAACTGATTCAAACTAGGAACAAGCTATGCACCGCTCTCTCACACAAGTACGCTAAACCTATGCTGTGGTCAAACAATTATGAAATATTCTATAATTTCCCACACCAGCCAAAAGATCCACATATTGCCCAAGGTGAATTTGAAGACCAAATATTTTCTAACAACATGGCATACTGCCCACTCTCCATCTGGAAACCAATAAAAGTAGTCATCCTGGTGGGAACTCTAAGGGTTCTATCCATTCCAATTTATGTAAATTTCAACATTGTCAGCAGAAATGTGGTTAGATTTCTTGCATTCAAATAACCTTAATGTGAAGACATTTCATCAGCAGGAAAAAGGAACATCAAGCAAAGCTGTATTCAGTTGGTTTGCCAGATCAAATACTCATATGACTAGATTAAGCAAGTAAAACCTATTTGGTTCTACTCTTTAGGACCCTCATTGCAAGTGAGCATATGGTGCCTTTCGGTTAAATGATAAAAAATAGCATGAAATAAATCTATGAAACATGCATTCTTTCAATATATTTTAGTATTTCAAACCCATAACAACATTTCTTTCATGTTAACCACTGTATGAAACAGATATACAAGGTTTCAAATAGTTACAACTTATAACACAGGTACCAGTTAGGGCATGATGGCACTTCCTAAAGACTTGTATGATTTATCATATTCCTATTCCCAAGCTAGAAATTTGACTAGGACTAGTATCACTATTTGAATCTATCTGAGACATTACAATCAACTCTTTCTTTCTTAAACGTTGCAACTCTTCGTACACTTTCCCAATGCAGAATTCCAGTGTGGATGTCCTCTATTTTTGAGTTCGTTATTCTTGGCTCTTGGAAATGCGGTTAATAGAGCAATCAAGACTTGCTTCATAAGGCATTCTTTGTGTCTGTAGTATTGTAAACATTAGACTAGTGTGAGCATTTACATTGTCTTAATCACTATAACTCCACGAACAATCTCAGAGACAAAACCCTTCCAGTAATAATACAGGGTACTTAATTTTAATTTTCTAAAAGCATTTCCATCAATTAGTGACAACATGTTGTAATTTGGCTTAAATCATTTATGTAATTTACAACTTAGCAATTTCAGATTATGTAATTAATAATTTAATGATCACCCTACTTTTGGATCTTGATAAAGTTGCATTGACGTACTTGCCTCGTGTTAGACTCTTTAGTTCTTCTTAACTCTAATAACCCCAAATTTGAATACAAATCAAATCAAGCCAAGAAACCTTAAAAATGAAGTACATGACTACAAAAAGTGCGATGTCATACAAGGTTGAGTGTTATCTATTTATTATCTTTACCATCCACTATTTCAATACAATTTGTAAATATGACATCACCAGAAAATATCAATCCTTTCAGGTAAAATAAAATATATAGAAATCAATAATCAGTTGTAAGGATCTAAGACTATTTAAAGCTTTCATACAAAGAAGAAAAGCAAACATAGAACTGGGATCTCAACTTAATTGTAATCCGAAAGTAATTTTCCTTGTCATCCAGCAATGACCAATAATGTAACTAACATGAAGCTAAGTCTCTTCTGCAATGACATTCTGTCACCTCCAAGTCAAACCCTACAACGTATCACAGGGCAAGAGCTTATCAAAGAATCTATCTTCGGATCTTCCATCCTGTAACTCCCTACAATAACTACTGAAATGCGTTGGCCAGTATAAAATAAAATATATAGAAATCAATAATCAGTTGTAAGGATCTAAGGCTATTTAAAGCTTTCATACAAAGAAGAAAAGCAAACATAGAACTGGGATCTCAACTTAATTGTATTCCGAAAGTAATTTCCTTGTGATCCAGCAATGACCAATAATGTAACTAACATGAAGCTAAGTCTCTTCTGCAATGACATCCTGTCACCTCCAAGTAAAACCCTACAACGTATCACAAGGCAAGAGTTGATCAAAGAATCTATCTTCGGATCTTCCATCCTGTAACTCCCTACAATAACTACTGAAATGCGTTGACCAGTGTACAAAGTATTTAACACAGTTAAGTTTTACAAAAGCAATCTGTGGAGTATCAACAAATGTTCCAAAAATCAATAAATTCCAAGACTGAATACATTTGTACATTTTCTTCCTATCCCAACTTCCACCAATAACCCAATTCATCTAAAGAAACACGAGTCTGAAGGGGTTCCACGGAATGCTGTCATTTTTGTGCGAACCTAGAACTTCAGTTTCAAAATAAAAGGAAAAACAAAAATACTTAGTGTTCGAAAAATATGTACTCATTTTAAAGTTACTCCAAAACATGAGAATGGGATATTTTGCAAGGTCTCTTCAATAAAAGACCAAGGTCTCCTTCAATGAATTACAGACTATCCAAAATACATTGTACGAAAGAAGATGGGTTTGATTTCCCTTACATTGACATAGCCTGACGTCTTGCATAGTTTATTACGTCAACGAGCACAGATCATCATCTCCCAAATACTAGTAGGGTTTTCTAGTACCAACAGGAAGGAGACATTTTCTAAACAAAGCCAAGCTAGAAATGATATTCAAGGAATTATCTTTTCGAAAGCTCTTCGTACCTATTCTTTAATTTCCAATTTAAAGTACGGTAGACTATGCTCACTTGCCAACTAGAGCGCTCCCCGAAGTTTCTTCAACTACTAAACCTTAAAGTGCATCAACTTGTTAAAAATCAGAACAGTGATAGTCTGTTCTCCACATATTGCAAAATATTGAAGAAGCTTATTAAATTCATTACATGTGACTGTTCGGTTGTTCAATATTGAACTCATCATTGTCTCATATCTGACAGATGAATCTGTGCAATCCAAATCATAGGAAACCTCAGACCTTGATCAGCGATTTGGACAAAACATCATGTTTGACTTGATGTTTCGTAACTCACGAGTGAAACAGAATAATTCTACTCCATGCATTAATTCACCTTCCCAACAAAGATTATTATGATTCCAGCCAAAACAAAAGCTAAGAAACAAAGATTATAACTTTCACAACCATCATCTCAACTCAGTTTCATGTTCATCACCATCAATGATAAGTGTAATATCACCCATCAATTCGTTCTAAAGAATTGCAATGTTAACCAAATTATCAACCCTGAGTTTAGCATCACCCTATTGATTAGGGCATATCTAAAGTTATATTTGATATATCTACTTCATGTTACACTCGACACTCCTAAACCACGAAGTCCAATTTGAATGCAATCATTTCATATCCTCCGAGTCTGGACTACTCAACAGAAACTAGGAGCTGTCAACCTTCTATAACTAGTGAAACAAGTTACTAGTGGCAAGATACATGGCCAGAGAGACAAATATATAAGAAGTCAATGTCACAAGAACAAAAAAATTCATCCTTCTTAAAGGCAAACAACTCTTAGAACACTTGATTCTCAGAATCTGTTCTAAAAGCGAAGTGCTTTTGTCACACTCCACATGTATCTTCCTAAAGCTTCACTCTAATCATCCATTAAATTCAGAAAATAAGAAGAAAATGAAAAATCATGAACAACCCAATTCATCAATTCAAACAATTCGCTTAATCCATGATTCTACAAAAAAATAAAAATAAATAAAAGTCGATGATCAAGCAAATCAAGGCAAAAAGGATAGAAGAAAGTTACTGTACAGGGCGCGCGTGGAGGTTAAGGGGAGCGAAGCAGCATAATGGGATCAATCAGAATGGGAGTCGTAGTAATAATCATTGTAAACAACGGTGGAGGAGGAGGCATCAGAGTCAGAGTAGGAGTAGGAGTAGTAAGAGTCCGGAGGAGGGACGCAGAGGAAGGTCCAGAGGCAGAGAGCGAGGCGACCCAACTGCTGCAGAGGGAAGCAGAACACAAGATCTAACAGCTGATGGCTGCTCAGACGCTCAGGTAAACATGCCAAATATTGCCACATCTCCGTTGATGCGTGCGCCACTGACACCACCATCAGGCTGTTGAACACCATTTTTTCTGTTCGTCTCTCTGTTTTTGCTTGTCTTTGTTTCTCTTGTGATTGGGGTGAGTTTGATTTTCTCTGGTAAGTTTGATTTGATTGAAATTGAATGCGTCTTAAATTTGACCACTTCTTCTAACTTCTACTGTACTGTTGGAGAGTCAATCACTGCATCTGAGCCATTTTACTTTAATCAGTCATGATATTTTCCTTATGGAAAACACTTGCCTTGCCTCCTTCCTCAAAGCAAGAAGAACTTCTATTTTTTTGTTAATTACAATTTTACATGTATGTAGATTTTTTTTTTGGTGTGTTTGATGAATGATTTTTTCATATGTGTTAATCTGTGATTAATGCGGGAAGAAGGGAAGTAATGTCTTGATATTTCTTTAATAAAAATCAAAATAATTAAAGAGTTTTGATTTTATGTCATAAGCTAGCACATTACATCAATCACTATAACCTCAATCAATACATGATAACTTGATAAATCAGTCTTTGCCATTTTGCATTGTGTCTGTTGTGTATTTAAGAGACTAGAAACGCGGTTTATATATGTGAACTAATTAATAATGACATTTACATGTGGTGGGTGGGTGGGCAGGTTGAAAAGGAGGAAAGAGGGTGAAGCTATCTATTCGTGCTCAGTATTCTACCATTTGTCGATGCGCAAGGAAATCTCTCCAAACCAAACGTACCACAGCTTGGAGTGAAAGACTCAATCTTACCTCTCATTCAGAAATTTCTATGGTAAAGTAAAAACAAAAAGCTAAGAATTTACGAAAAGGTTAATCCAAATGGCTTACAAAAGTGTAGCAATGGTGGTGGTGACTTTGATCTCTGCCACGCTGATGACAGCCTCTGCAGGAGGAGGAGCAGGTGCAGGAGCAGGAGAAGGAGGTGGCCAAAAGGCTAGATTTGTAACATGTATCCGTGACTGTATGCCTCTATGCATGCAAATAAAAGACGTAACAAAAGCAGCCTGTGACAAAGCTTGTGAGCTTGGATGCAAGCAGTTGCAAGGTAAAGGGCCTCCTTCGCGCGGAGTTCGTTTGTATACGGAAGGAAAACCCGTGAATATTTCTGATACATCAAACTAATGTTACTGTTCAGCAACCAGAATAATAATCAGAATAACTGTAATGGTGTTTTTGTAAAGGCAAAATATGCATTTTTGTTCAATCAAAGCAGGGGAAAATTAAGGTATTGTAAACATTGTTCAGAATAATAATGAGTATCTGTTGTATTTTGTATCAATTATACATTATGATTTTACCTACCCTAACCCTATGATACTTCCTTATAACCAAAACTTTTTTGGGTGCAGAATGCTGCTTTCTTTAAACACTGGTAAATTTCTGAGACACCCAAGAAAAGAAAACTAAACTAAGTGGCGGAAATTGTCCTGAAAACTGAAATGGATGGTTTCTTCTCTTTCTCAGATGCCTGGCATCCTATATCTATCTCCTCATACAGTGAGTGCATAATGCAATACACTAAAATTGGAGAACATTTTTCCTCCCCATTTTAACTCAAGGTGTATTATCATCATCTTTTTCAATACTTGACACGTATGACGTGTCTATAGACATAACTATGGTTCCACAAATGCAAAGCAAATAATTAATTATGGTTATACTCATAGACACGTGTCAAGTATTAAGAAGGGTAATGAGAATATATCTTAAATTAAAATAGTGAGCCAAAATTGTTCCATATCTTCCATGAGTGATGACATGAAGGGGGCAACCTGAAGCCCATTTCACTAAGCCCACTATGTGATGGTTTTTTGGTCCATGAGGTCCATTGGAGTTCGATGCTTGGTAAAAGAAATAAGAAGTAACCACCAAGCAGTGGTCAGTGGCTTCGAAACCAAAAACAAGAGATGGATGCCTTGAAGCTATGGAGCCTATCTTCGCAACCACTCAAGCACCTCTTCCGATGTGCCTCTTCCACCACCACCACTCTTAGACGACCCTATTCTTATTCTTCTTCTTCATATTCTAGAGTGGTCCTCCGCTGTTGCTCTTCCACCACCACTACCACCACCACTACCAACGCGGGCGGCAGAAACCGGCGGGTATCGACATCATCCTCCACATCCGATAGAGATGCTGTTCGAGCCATTCGCTTAAAGAAGGTAAGTAACATTTTATATAAAATGAAGCTCTGACTGAAAGTCTGGAACTTTATAATCCTCTGCTTGGTTACTGGCAGAATGTTGGGAAATGAAGGAATTCAAATTCCGGGTTTCAAAGTTCCTTCATATGAAAACAGTTTCTTTATGGGTTTGTAGGTAGAAGAACTGAGGAGCAAAGGTTTGGAGCCATATTCTTATGGGTGGGAAAGGACTCACACTGCAAATCAGCTGCAAGATATATACAAGCATTTACCGGATGGTGAAGAGTCAAAGAGTGAAAAGGATGCTGTATCCGTGGCAGGAAGAATTGTGGCTCGCAGAGCGTTTGGAAAGCTTGCATTTTTGACATTAAGGGACGACTCAGGAACAATTCAGGTTTGGTTGCTCGCTCAGTTAGACTTGTTGTACTTGTTACTCGATCTTAGTTCGTTGGTTGTGTATACTTTCCATTGTCATTATGTTTATTTCCTGTCATGCTGGTCTCCTTAGAAAGAAATTTTTTATACCCTTCAAATAAAACTAAACAAAAATTATAGCAAGGCGCTGAGTGAAGTTATAATTATAAATATTTTGTTTCAGCTTTACTGTGAAAAGGAACGGCTTGCAAATGATCAATTTGACCAGTTAAAGGCACTTGTTGATATTGGTGATATAGTTGGTGTTAGTGGATCCATCAAGCGGACAGAGAAAGGTAAGTGTTGTAATGTTTCTTATTCATATTTAGTTGCTAAGCTTCTCTGATAGGAGAAGAGCTTCCAGAATAAATGAACAAGAATTCTATTTCAGTAATTCCTGAATTATAGATCATTTGCTAAGTAAAAGTAAAATCATTTTGCACTTTGTGAATTTGCATTGGCTAATGATGTAAAACCATTCAACAAGTTTCATGGTTGTCCAAAAAGAGGTTAAATTAGCTTCAAGGTCTTGCAGAGAAAGCTAAGACTTTCTCTTGGTTAATTCCTCAGGGGAGCTTTCTGTTTATGTGGATTCTTTTGCAATTCTTACAAAATCTCTACTCCCGCTACCAGACAAATATCATGGCCTAACAGATGTGGACAAACGATACCGTCAACGGTGAGTTGATATTTTCTTTTTGAGTATTGTGTTTTAGATGTCTATAACATTGAAGATTGAAATGCTTTCATGGTAAGGCTCGTGGTAGGTGAACATAGATGAAGGATTTTAGTTCTTGGTTTTCTTGTTTCATATTAATTTATTTTAAACATGGATTTGACCTAGTGCTAAGAGAATCATTAGCCTCAATAGTATGGATGCACATATTTTTTGGTATGTGTTGTGTGAAGGTCTCCTACTTTGTTTTTTATTGCCCCTCCGTTTTTCTAATTTTCCTCTTATTTTTCTTCATTTTTAACAAAGCCTGGAAAATCTTATAATGATATTATGTTCCTTATATTTCTTCTCAATTACTGTTATTCTCCTTCTTCCTGCAATACTATATTTTATGTGTGGATAAAATATTGGTTTACCTCCAAATTGTCTAATTTCTTTAGTTGGTTTTATCTTATTTTCCTTTTAATATTTAGGTATGTAGATATGATTGCAAATCCTGAGGTAGCTGACGTATTCCGCAAAAGAGCAAAGGTAAATCACGCCTCTTCTCTTCTTAGCGGAAAACAATTAAAACCTTCTAGGTATTTGAGATTTTCATTTTTGTGTTTGCTACTTTTCAAATTTATACTGCCATGCTTGAAATTGATTTACTTGATTATTTTTCTGAGTAGATTGTATCAGAGATACGAAGGGCAGTGGAATCGTTTGGTTTCATTGAAGTTGAAACTCCAGTTCTACAGGTTTACCAATATCTTCACAGTTTCATATTTACATGGAGTTTTAGCTATTTGATTCGATATGCTGTTTGGTAATTTTTGCGACAGTGCTTTCTCAAAGCTTACACTGATTCAATTTAAAAGCCTAGCTGAAATTATTTGCCGGTGAGGTGGAACTGAACTAATTGAAAAATGAAATTATTTCTGGGTGTGTGTAGATAAATAAAGAAATAGTGAAAATCCAGAAATTTTTTCGCTCATTAACATGTTTGCATCTGTTCTTATCAGTAGATGATGCTTATGCAAGAAATTGTTGTCTGGAAATTTTACAAGTTAAAAAAACATTATCTATTTCCTGAAATATTTAATTTCTGCATAATATGATTTTATTCAAGTGTCATACCTGAACTTCACAAGGATTGCATATACCTGGAAGTTGGGTTTTAATTGATTTGATAAACTAGGGAGCAGCTGGTGGAGCAGAAGCTAGGCCATTTGTTACATACCATAATTCACTTGGAAGGGACCTGTATTTGAGAATAGCGACTGAGCTCCACCTAAAGAGAATGCTGGTGAGGGTTTTCTTTTTCTTTTTCCTCTGCTCTTTTGGATAAGTGCTGGTGAGGTTTTACATATCATAATATAACTGGTCTGTTTCGTCGAGTGCATACCTGCTGTTCATCATTAAACTGTGAAGGTGGCATGTATTATAATATTGTATTGTAGTTACAAATCCTGTTCTATGAGTACCTTCTAACATATGTAAAGAATGTTGTAAAAGTTGTTAGCTTGTAAGTACTCATACTTGCAGGAATATGAAATATTAATATTGTCATCTTCGTCATCATGATCATTACTATTATGTTGCACTATAAATATTGTGGTTGAGCTTGAGTGTAATAAAGATTTGAAAGTTATTTCTCACCTTTTATTCTGCTTACTCCCCTTCCTATATGAAGCTCATAAGACTCTGTATTAGTTATCTATTAATTTTTTTTTCAAATGAAGAAAAATGCATTACTAGATCTCCAAAACAATGTGTGCCATGGCTAATTTTGAATGTTTTTTGTTCTAAAATCATACAGGTGGGGGGTTTACTAGACTCTGTTTCATACTATAACAACTGAATGATTGTACAGTATATTTACATATTGAATAGGATCTGTATATGGGATGACAGGTTGGGGGGTTTGAAAAAGTGTATGAGATTGGTCGAATATTCAGGAATGAAGGCATTTCAACTCGTCATAATCCTGAATTTACCACTATAGAGGTAAGTTAATTTTACTTTTTGTTTTGTTTGATAATGTTAATCTTAATGTACGTTACCAAATTAGCATTACTAGTTGCGTGCTATTAGATATTTAACTTTCCTGTCTTTATCAAGTGAAGCTCTGATCATTATTGGTATTAGTCTGATCTTAGATGTACGAAGCATATTCAGACTATGAAAGCATGATTAACATGGCAGAGGAAATTGTTACACGATGTGCGCTTGCAGTTCACGGGAATCTTACCATTGATTACCAGGTGAATGCACCTTCACCGAACTAGTGACAGGATTTCTTACTGGTTGGCATTGCCATAAAAACAAGTTGGCAACCACATGTCCTTAGTTATATATGAAATTGAGTTGCTTTTAATATGTTATCATATTCTGTGCAGGGGTTGGAGATACATCTCGAGCGGCCTTGGAGGAGGGAATCCATGCACAATCTTGTAAAAGAATCCACTGGGATTGATTTTGATGAGTTGGGCAATGATCTTAAAGTTGCTAAAGAAGTTACTCTGGAAAATCTTGGAGGTGATCTTGATTACAAAGACAAATCTTCCCTTCAAGCATGCACATCTATTGGCCACCTTCTTAATGAGGTTGATCTGAATCTACAATCTCAATCCATAATTCTGATTTTGGTTTTCCATGTGCATAAATCTATATGTTAGTTTGCTTGATTTTTCTTGTGATGGGAGGCTGTTCATATAACTGTTCATATAAACAAAATAGATTACAATGATGAAAAGGAGAAACTCTTGAAGTGCGGATCTTAATTGTTATATTCTGATCCTAAGTTTTCATTTGTCCAGGTTTTTGAAATTGCTGTAGAACCAAAGCTTCTGCAACCCACATTTGTTTTAGACTATCCTATTGAGATATCTCCTCTGGCCAAGCCACACCGAAGGTATTATACCGTGTTGATTACACGACATATTACTTGCATTTTGGTATTTTTATGTGTCATCTTACTCCTTAGTTCTTCAAAATCAGAATTGCAGGGTTGACTGAGAGATTTGAGCTTTTTATCTGTGGTCGTGAGCTGGCCAATGCTTTCTCTGAATTGACCGATCCTACGGATCAGGTAATCATGAACACTGATCGGTGGTTATTTTCACTGCCAATTATTCTAAATTTTTCATGAGGGTTTGGATAGGTGGGAACTGCTTGTGGTAATCATGCTACACAAACCCCCTCATGAAAATATTCATGATTAATTCCTCCTCGACAAACTTCAGTATAGAAGTCTTTTCTATTTAAGATTTTAGAAATGGAATATAGGAAGCCATGTAGATTTTTATATCAATTTGTTCAGTTACGTACTAGCCACTAATACCCAAGTTGATGTTAAGGTGAAATTTTGTTCCCAGTTTGTGTTTTTCCTCTATTAGTTTCTTTTTTGGGGGCAATACAAAGAAAACATGACTGACTGTTATTGTTGTTTTTCTGGGGTTGCCCAGGAAAACATCACTGTGTTGGCTTCTATTAGACAGCAGAGAAAAACTTTTCATTGGTTATTGGTTTTGGCAGAGAGGACGCTTGGAAGAGCAAGTGAGGCAGCACAATGAGAAGAGAGCAGCAGCAATTTCAAATTCAGAGAGTGCAGAAGATAAAGGAAAGGAAAATGATGAGTCTTATGAAGTGACTCTTGATGATGATTTCCTTACAGCTTTGGAATATGGGATGCCTCCAGCTTCCGGAATGGTATGGTCATCCGTTTGCATCTATTTTTTTATTCAATTTATATATCTCATACATTCCTCTAGGCAAAATACTAATGGAAAGAACTTATTCAGGGACTTGGAATTGACAGGCTTGTCATGCTTTTAACAAACTCGGCCAGTATCAGAGATGTAATTGCTTTTCCGGTGCTTAAAGTTCAGCAATAAGGAGACCGGCAAGAGGCTTTAGGAGCAGTTATTATAGAGGCCAAGCTGGAACCCGCCTTATTTATTTACTTATCATTTTTACTGATGTCCAATTTAGTGGGCAACGATACCTCCGCTAACCACTTGGACCAGCTACCTGGCATAATTTTGTGGCTTCCCCATTTTTCATTTCCTGGTTGCCCTTTTGTATACTCTTTTGGCCATGTCCTGTGTTAACTCATCAACCAAGGCCCCTTGAGCCATTTGGTGGGCTTCGTCAACATGATGTTAGTTGTTGAAAAAATGACTGATAACAGAACATTGTTGTTACAATGATATAAGGAGAGTTGAGATCATCAACGCGATGCATTTCTATTTCTGATGCTCTGAATTACCACCAAGAGCATGAAAGTTTGTCTACCAATGTGATGCATTTCCTTTGGTGCTTGCTGTATTGCTTTGTGCCTAGAACGTATCTGAAGGCTTGAAGCCTTGGAAACATATTTTATAGGTCAGGTGGTTATCTCAAGATTTTCAAAAACATATGGGGTTTGCTGAAGCTGTGACAGGGACTGTTATTTACTTGTATACCTTTCCAAAAGGTGTATTAAAATTGGGTTTCTCCACCAAAAATCAATTACCATACAGTTTTTTCAGTTTTGGTAGTTGATGCATCTTGAAGCTCCATCGTTACAGTGCCGCCAGGACAAAGAAATGATGAGGGTGAGAACTTGTAACAGGCAGGTAAGTGTAGCATCTCTTTTATTATTAATCTGGTAGCTAGCTTTGATGATGCAATGCAAGACAGATTTGCTTTCAAGGGGATGGGCCTGCCTTTGCCCCCAGAATGATATACACGAGGGCATGCGCTTGTCTGGTAAGTTGTTGCAACACACGAAATGAAAAAGCTAGAGAGTAGAGTAGAGTAGAGTGCAGTAGGCTTCTGCCCCTTTCATAATCTTACCTGGGCTGGGTGGTGTTGGGTTGTGAACTTCTGAGACAAATCATCACATCACCTGCCTCTTTTGGCTTCTCAAATTATATGCTTTTACAGATGTTGCATGCCTATTGGCCTACTACTGGGTCCCAAGTCCCAACCCATGCCGCGTTAACATGAGGAGGCCCACGTAGCTACCATATCAATTTCTACAATGCCTTTCAATTATTAACCTTTCTCACCAACATGCAACAACATCCCTTTTAAAGTGTATATATATATATTTAGGCTGTAAATCACTGATCAAAATTGTTTAGTTTTTAGGTTCTTTTTCAAGGATTATCTATGCAAAAAATCAGCTCTCAAATCGTGCATGATGAGAATTAATCGTGCCTTTGGGTAGGATGCATATAGTAAGTATATTGCCTTATCAAAGGCGATGAATAAAATACTGTTTGTGTATAGAGATGGCATAAGAGGATACATGAGTTAGGTTTACGTGGGGAGTGGGGTTACGACTTACAAGTCCAACAGAAGAAGTAAAGCATAACCATTAATTGAGTTAGCAGAAAGAAGCAGACAGAGGGAGGGAAGGGAAAGGAACTAATTATAATTAAGGCATATAATATAATATAATACGAATAGCATAACATATCTTAGCTTCCAAAAGGAGGATCACATTAACCAATTGTTAAATCGAGAAAAAGGTGCGTCTTTCTTTCTGGGCTCTTTCTAAAAGCGAATAAAGAAAAGCAAAAGTTCCAAGTCCTATACCAACTGTCGGTACATATATGCATTTCTTTCGACCAAAACTGGAAAAAGGCGCCCAAATTCATAAAGGCAAAGTTGGCATTGAAAAGGTCAATATCCTTATCCCCCACCCCGACCCCCAAGCAATCCATGGTTGGCTGGCTTGCGCTGAATGATATCCCTTAGGAAATTCCTTCAAAACTTCAAGCAGGGACCCCCCTCCCATCCTAGAACAAGAATAAACATACACATAATTTGCATGTCAGGCAACTTGGAATTAAAACCAAAAGAAGGTTTGAAGCTTTTTCGATGGCTATAAATAATAATCGCTTATAATAAATACAATTTGGTATGCCAGTTGATTTGAGCATATATAAACTAATATAACACAAAAAGACTGTTGGTCGGTAGTTGTACGGGGTGTACAACAAGTTGAACTGTAGATTTAGAAAACATCACTTGCACTGCATAATTGCATTTCATGTTGGTTGGTAGGGAAAGAAACTTTCAAGGCAGTTTATGCAGGCAGTTTACTGTTCTAAACGCTCGTTTTGGAGGGAGGGATTAACAGTTACATGATGGAATGTTGGACAGTTGGCCCTGTCTTCCAAATTTCCAAATTGGTCTATCTTTCTGCTGACTGTTCTGTTGGCTTTCCAGCTAAGCTCTCCTTTACTTTTCTTTCTTTTTGTTCTTTCTAAATTCTCTTAATACATTTCTTCCTTGTTTCAACACTGTTAATGGAGGTGAAACCCTGAAAGAGGGCATCATTGTAATTTCAGGATCCTCCTTCCATAGACAAAATTGCTTTCTTCCTGTTCCTCTACATTATAAAGGGGAAATGGAATCCATTCCACCATCATAACCCTGCTGCCTGAAACAGGGGAAATCAAGGTTTGTTTGAGAGCAACCCATTTCTTCTTCTGAAGTTGGAAACTGGAATCCAACATCATGAGCTTTAAAAACTCTTATTCCTTCTGGGTTTCACTTGGTTTTGTTGGGGAAAAAAATCAACCTTGAAGCTCAGAATTGATATTACAGTTTAGCTTAAATTCTTTGAAGGGACGCAATAAGTACTTATTTTTCTGATTTGATTCTGTTGTATGATTTTGAAAACTGGCTCCTTTTTTATCATCAGATGTACTGTCTTTATGGTTTTTATCTCCTTCAGATGAGTGTCAACTAATTTTACATTTTGGATTTGAAATTCTCTTCGTGGGTACTTGGGATAAAATAAATAAAAAAACCGATAGTTGAAGTCATACTTCACACATAGTATGATTGGAACTGTGAAATGAGCTAGTTGCAGGGCAACAATGGTAAGTTGTTAGTCTATCTCCATCAGGCACAATTTTTGATGAGGCTTTTGTTTTGCAAGATTCATTGTCCTCCCTTCATTTGTTTCTGTAAACCTTCCCCTCATATATACACTCCTGGACCACTGAAATTAGAGGATATCCCACATCCACCCTTGCCTTCAAAACTTGTGTCAGTTCCTGAAACATCTGATCAGTTATCTGATGACACCAATGAGATCAAGGAGGAGAACTTAGATGGGATTCCAAAACCAGCTGAGCCTTGTCTCAAAAGTAGTCTCAGAAAACGCATTTCGGACTCCAGTGCTCCAAAACAGGAGCTCAAGAAGAGAGTACAATGGATGGACTTTTTCGGGAAAGAACTTGTTGAGATCAGGGAATTTGAATGCAGGTGTTTACTCTCTCTCTCTCTCTCTCTCTCTCTCATGCTACTTCGTTATTGTATTCATATTCTGTTGTCTTGCTTAGTTTTTCCTTGGGTGGAACTCTTAGTAGAGAGATTGAATTACATCAGATAACAGCCCGGCTGCAGGATCTGAAAAGAGAAAAGGAAACTTTTATTAAGTTTGTTTGGATTGATCCAACCATAACATTCATGTGAAACCACATATATGCATATTTTATCCCTAAGATATTATAATTGGAGGAAGAGCCGCCTAGGTGGTGGTAGTTCGAGTTGCAGGAACAAATTGGTTGCTATTAGTTTATGTTTTTTTAACAAATGGAGGAAATTTCATACATTATATGTGTTTTGATGCAAACTATGAGGAAAAACTCTCTTCAGAATTTCAGTAAGATAACAAGTAATTTCTAGGTGAACTTATGACTTGATAGACATGCTAAGAAGAGCTTTTCTTCTTCTTCTTCATTTTTAATTTCATTTTGATTGAGTGAAGGTAGTTATCAGTTTACACATCAAAATCGATTGCATTGATAAAAAAAAGAGTGTCTTTTGGGAAAGAGTAACACAAATATGGCAGTGAAATGAAGAAATATGTATCAGTGTGAAGAGGTTTCTAGCATGAGAAATAACAAAGGTGAGGATTGAGAGAGAAGTCTTTGATTACAATAGGTAAATGGTTCAATGTTGGGGGTTAGATAGATTGCACTGATCTTCCATGATGACAAAAGACATGGGGTCAACCGGAGACAAGGAGGCACCTTTGATCCTATCATTACTTTGGCTCAATTGGAGGCAGTTCAATTAAGCAGATTATAGATGATGTTGTCCATAGGACTAAAGAAACACGCTGAGATAGACTTGCGCCTTTTCTATTGCTAATACACTTCTGTTGTCATCTTCTTGTCAGTATCTTCTAGTTCACTGTCATCTTTATTGCTAATACATATTCATATCCCGGAGTGGTTTTGGTTTCTCATCTAATTACTACGTAACTTCTGTTTCTTCAACAGTGAACTAGAAGATACTGACAATGAAGACAACAAAAGAGGCTGCATTTGTGTTATTTTATGACCCTCTTAATCAGCTTCCACTCTGCAAATTCCTAAAGCAACTGCATGAACTACAAGAGAAAGAAGGAGAAACATATATCCACCCAATGAGTCTAAAATTTGAACAGAGCCACAGTGATTGAAATTCAGTTTTAGTCAATTTTGCCTTACCAGCTCTCACAAGAGACTGTTTTATGAGAATTCAATAGAGTCGATAGTCACTCTTGCTTTAGAAGAATGTTAAGCTGTGTATTTTATCTTACACAACAACATTGTGTTCCTCTGGTTATGAAATTTCACACATGTTCTGAAACTTTATCAAGTTGTTGTTTTGTCATTTAGATGCTTAATGTTCCGGCAGAGTCATGCTTTAAAATGGTCAAGATGCACATAAAATCTGTGAACTTTAAACTCATATCACATGAGGAAATGTACAGCTAGAGGGTGTAATGACAGCCATTTTTTTTTGTGATTCTAATTTCTGCCAGTAAACATCTTTGTTGCTACAGCCAACAGCATAACTAAACGTATGATGTGATAGAACAACATAAGCATGGATATGCTATTGCAAGGAATGTACTGATGAATTTGCTGGCTCAATTTTATTTTTTATAGTTCTAAAACTCCATTAAATGTTTAATGTCAAGGATTAGCATGTGTCTGACTCTCTGCATGCATGTCATTAGTGGCAAAATGTCAAGTATTGAGGAAGCTGATACGAAACTTTTCGTAACCCTCTTAAGTTTCCTTCTATCTTCAATTCTTGCAAATTACAAATAGAAGACTCTCATCAGAGATTAAAAAAAATGGAAATACATACAGTAAACAAAAATCTATTCAAAACTCATCCAAAACTAAAGCCATGAACAAATTGATACTTGCGAAACTGATCCGTCTGAAGCATCAGATGGCTGATGGCTTAGTCAATCCCTTTGTTGACTTTGTAGTAAGCTCAAATGCACACCAGCTCAAGTCCTTTAATTTCCGAAGTAACTCGTGACTCTATTTCTTGTTGAAAATTCCAAATAGAGATTTTATGGCATTGATGGCATTCTCATTGATGAAAGATTCGTCAAATCTTTTCAATAGAGTATCAAATTCCTCAGATGCTCTTACATTGGCTAGGTCAGGATCAGTCCGGATTCTCTGTCAACAATAATAATAATTTCATAAGAAGATCTATGTAACAAACCATGGTATTCTCAAAAATTGGTATGTTACCTTGAAGTCTTCAAAGCCAGCTTTCAGGGCATCCTCAAGTGCAGAGAGACCAGCTTGTATCTGTTTAAAGAATTGGAATGTAAATAAAGCAGTTAGTTGAAGACATAAATGAATAGGAAAAGTGAGAACATCCTTCACTAAATCTTTAACCTGTGATGTTTAGCTGTAGACAGATAAATAAAAATATAGGTTAACTCAGGTGGAAATATTTTTCAAGGTTGAGCTAACTGCAAGTAGAAATAAGCATACTGAGAAATGGTAAAATAGATGTTACTGATCATTGACTATCGACCTCAAAACTAGTGGCAAGTTGGTGTGTTGATTAAACCTCCCAATGCCAAAACCAAGAGAAATGCTGAAGCAAAACGATCAATGGTAATAATAGTTCCTTGTTCATTCAAACAAGAGCAATACCTGATTAAGGTTAGAATAACAACAAGCAACATTGTAACTTGCCACCGAAGCTTCATCTAACTCTGGTTTTAATCCTAGTACAGACTCAAATTTCTCCAATGCTTCCTCATATTTGGCTTTCCTTTATCAACCAATAAAAGAACCAAGAAAAAAAATTGCCAGTGAGATTAAACTTATCTGAAAGTTAGACTTCCTACGAGGAGAGAGTGAAATATAAGATCAAGCTGCATACTTGTAAAGCTGCAGCCCTTCTCGAAGGTCACTTTCCCTCCTTGCTTTTTGTTCCTTTTTCTTCAAGTAGTTTTGCATCTGAAGTCATTTACAAACATATAGAGACTACATTGGAGGTCATTTCTAGAAATATCTCTATATCTCTCTTGTATAAGGAAGAAACAATTCGGCATTGTTTATATTGGCAACTGGAACAATGATTCACTCACTTGGATTTCCCTCACTTTGTTGCTAATTACACCAGAATTCCTTTCAGCTCTGATAATCTCCTTTTCTGTTAATTCACCTGAATTATCTATCTTGCCTGGAAAGAAATAAATTTGTTGAAGACATCAGACAACGTTACAAAATATTGATTTAAGGGAAATGAACCTTGAACTTGAACAAATTGTTTTTATAGTTTTTGTGTGATTCAACACCCTAATAACCTTGTTTTTCGTTGTACATGGGTGTACAAGTGCGTATTTTACTTGAAGGTAAGATTGTGGTAGAGGATAAAGAGTACAAAGCAGGCACAGAGGATGAGCTACTAACCGTTTCTCTTCTGCATTCTCATTAGAAGTGGACCGACCCTCTGGCGAATGGTGTACATTGTCCTCCCATATTCAGCAGCAGCCCATATTTCATCCCCGAAAACTGCACTGCATGCATTTTAGAACTCTTTGATCACATTTCCAAACAGGCACTCCTTAATTACATTCTCAGAAGAAGAAGAAAAATTTAAGCAAATCCAAAGTACTAAGTTAATCGTATAGCAACATCTAACCCATCAAGAAACTGAGATACACAGGAATGTGTTGACAGTTTGTGGAAGCAATGATATGGACTTCAAATGAGTTACCTATAGTATAGACTAATCGCAAAACCCATGAAGTATTTGTTTCCAACTTAATTGGAAGAAGCAGAGCGCCTCTTCATATCTCTGATTACCCAACATCTTGTTCCATGAATTTATTGGTGAACCATTGAAGACAAGACCATGATAAATGAAAGGTCTAGACATTTAAAAAGAAAGTCGCTATAAAAATATGGATCATCCTTATGCAAACCAAGCCACATGCTTAACTATTCATTCAGCAAGCATATCATACAAGTCAAGCAATAAGCATGGTTTACTACTGCAAAGCTAGGACAAATTCGAAGGGGAAGACGAATCTAAGCGCAAACCTGGTTGCAAGTACTTTATCCCCAACACTGAACTTGCCAGTTTTATCAGCAGATCCACCAGCTGCAATCGCATCAATGTAAGTTCCACCATCTCGACCCTTGGCAAATTTCAGCCCATAAGGCTGCACCACTTCTACCTCATATTCTTCAAATGCTTCCTCTCCTCCTTCTTCACTTCCACTTTCTGCTGCTGGTTTCGATGTTTGAGACTCAGTTTCCGATGCTTTTACGACGAAAATTGACAGCTTTACCAATTGGGTATTTAGAAAACAGGTTGAAGTGCTCAGGCATGACCAATTCTTGGATGAAAGAAGCTTGGTTTGAGAAAACAGAAGTGGGTTCTGCTTGGTTGAAGCCGTTCTTGGCAAGGGTGGTGAAGAACAGAGAGAGAGGTGACTAGTTGAAGCTAAAGACATGGTCTTTGTTCTGCCTTGGAGCTAGTTTGCTTGTTTTAGCTGAATGTTGAAGGAGAAGATCTTGGAGTTGGAGCTGCTGAAATTTGGAATGAAAATTCCATTTGTTTGGTCTCAAAGAAAAAGGTTTGGATTACAAGTGCATGACTAGTGGCTCTAATAAGCCGTTGTCTTCAATTCAAGGGTGTGAGGCCACGTTTCACTTTTATGGGTGGCTGACAAAATGGACCCTTTATGGTAACGTTATGTGTTGTGTTGCGCGTTCTGCCACCGTAATTGCCTTATTTCAGCACACGAAAGACTGAAGTGAAAGGTTTTTACGTTCTGGCAGCAGCAGATGGAATGGAAACTGCATGATAAGTTATCTGTAGCAGTTAGCTTTTTTCTTTTCTTTTAAAAAAAGAAAAGAAAAAAGCTTCACTTGCATGCTAAGTCATTATCATTTAAATTAGAACATTATGTTTCTGAATACTCATATATATTATATATACACACAATCATAGATGAAGCTCATTATGGTAATCTATAGATGTTAGATTTACATTGCTAAAATGTCTCACATGAAAAAACAGATAACTTCCAATTGCTCCATCTTGACACCATCCAACTAGCTACGGCGTCAGCCAAGACACTCAACCATGGTACACTTCTCCATAGCTTAAACAACTCTACATCTTCACACTGCTTTTATTCTATGCAAAAATAAAGGAACAAAAAGAAGCCGCTTATCTACAAACATATGGATCTCGTGTAATGCGAGATTGCTCTGACGTAGTCAAAACCTGCTGAAAGAAAAAACCATAAGCAATAGTGCTAAGCTTAAGGAAAAAAAAAACCATAAGAACTTAAAGGGATCTTTGGTCTTCATATCTAAAAAAACCATAAGCAATAATGCTAAGCTTAAGACTTTTAATCACCTGCTTATTACAGATTTACAGGAATTCTTTCAAAGAATTAAAACCTACAGTGGCAGAAAGAAAAGCTTCAGTTGTGAATACCCAACAAAGAAATGAAAATTGAACAAGCTTGAATGATGTGTCAAAGGAGAAGATATTGTGATAATACCAACAGATTATTTCTTCAAAATATTGCTAGAGAGGATTTTCTTCCCGTAAGGACTGGTCCGAAGCACAGGCACATGAGGTTTTATTGCATCCATCAGTTTAGAATGAAAAGTTCCCTGCTCATAAAGCACAGAACACCTAATCATTTTAACACAACAAAGATGCATTCCACTAAAACAAACTTGGAACCACCATGTTAACATCAGATAGTTTTTTGTAGTAGAAGAGCAATAATGTGACTAACTGTTACAATTTTCCTCTACAAGGAGCAATAATTATAATCTTTAACCATATCACCTAATAAATCATACAGAAGAGAATTTCAGAAGGGCAACTATAAAGAAATGTCACTACAATCCCAAAACAAAAAACAAAAAACAAACAGGATTAGCATAATCACCAAGAAAATCTAGCTCCAATGCATTTACTAACCTTTGATTGACTGAGTGCTGCTTGGATAACATAATTGCCATAAGGGTCTTGCATGATTTGATCCAAGCGTGGATTTTCTATCAGCTCCTGAACAATGCGTACGCGCCGCTCTTCACCTGCATATTTCAGGCTTTTTTCAACCACATTACTGCTATACTTCTGCACAGACAAATCCCCATAATTACCCTCCAACTGGTCAAGAATATCTACAGTTGCCCATGGAAGCTGAAGTTCAAAGACAAATTGCACAACATAGTTCCTGCAAAATGAAAAAAACAATGACATTCTTTGCTCAAAGTTGTACATCCAAACTTGGATTTGAAAACTAGTAATTGATGCTTGTCAAACATATTTGAATGAACTCTAGTGTAATAAAAGCTGTTTTGTGTGGGGTTTATTACTCTATTCAATCTTTCAGAGACAATCTAAACAAGCCTATGCTTCCACGGAGCACTGGTTTCCAAGAGTAAAACCACACGCAAGACATGTTTGGAAAACCAGCCGCAGGTCAAAACTCACTACATTGCACAGACCTAAGCCAAAAGAGCTATGAAATCAGTATTGATCTTATAAATCAAACATTAAAACTTAATATCTACATTACTTGGTTATTGCCAATATTGTTTTCCTCAGAAAAGAGGGAAAAGGAAAAGCAGCACATACACATTTTTTTTTCATCACTAGTCATGGCATCCACCGAGATTGGTTATGCATCTCTCTCTACAAGCTAATCTATGCTTTTTTATCGCCATGTCAATACACTTCTTTGAGATGGCGTATTGAAAGAATTAAATCCAAATATCTCCCTGATGAAGTGTAGTAAATAATGGCACAGATCTGTTGCCATGCTAAGAACACATCATATCAAGGATATTGAAGAGAAATGAGAAATAGAGAGTACCCAAATGGATCTTGGGAAAGGATTAGAGCATTCGAAGTGATCTCGCAGATTAATCGGTTTCTTTGTTCAGCATCAGAATGGCTAAGGCATTTTTGTAGCACGCAACAGCCATGGCGATCCGTTGCAAGCTCTACACAATTAGTAGTTGCAGCTTCAAAAAGAAACTGCAAAAGAAACCAATGTCATTCTTTCATTCCATGCTATAATATTTCTTTAAATTCTAAATTGACTAATACTGTAGGATAATAAGATTTAAACCAAGAATATAGGAACATCAAATCATTGTGCTGCTACATTATATAAGCAAAGGAGACAAAAACCCATCCAAGCAGAATGACCACTCCAGATGATAAACCAAGAGCCGGTGATCTGGTCTTATCAGTTTAGCATCTAATGCTCTATATACAAGGAAAGGAAAAGTCCCATACTACTGCTGCTGCTGCTACTCCTACTGCTGGTCTACTATTGATACAAAGAAGAAGTGATCTTATTGCTACTGCTGCTGCTGCTACTACTACTACTACCACCACCACCACTACTGATACGAAGAAGTGATCTTATTGTAAAAGGAAGTCCTGGCTTTGTTACACTTCATTAGCCTAATGAAAGCCATTCCAAGTTGAGAAGAGCATCCCATCACCCCACCCCTGAGAAAAAGCCTCTTCCACTAGATGAGAGACTAAGTAAAACCAAAAAGAAATTTGAGCAAAATCACGGGGTGATGGCTAAGTATACAAAGCAGTTGACTTGAGCAATGATATAATTAAACTCAATCGTATGTAAAGATAACTAAGAGTAATTAAAAAGTTTTCTTATCCTTCTCTTAATATTTTATGTGCTTGTACCCAGATAAGACGATGTACAGATAAATTAGCCTGCTTGCCTCATTGCGCAGAAAAAGAAAACATCATCATATCAGCAACATCCATGTATTTGTAAACTTCAAAAATAATTCAACGCACAAATCGATATCTTTTACCTCACGATATTCAGGCGTCAAATACTGCAAGCAGCGTTGTGCAACATGGTTGCCATTTGTGTTTTTTATCAAAGTCACTATCCCTGGCTTTAGGGAGGAAACAACCATGGAAAACTGCTCCGGAGTTTTGAGGGTTTCAATAACCTTTTGAACAGCCCGAGTCCTGTGGTTGGGAAGAATTCCCAATTTTATCATATCAAATAGTAATAAAGAAAAAATTGACTCTGGAGAAATTAAACACACACACACACACACACATGTATATATATATATATATATATATATATAGAGAGAGAGAGAGAGAGAGGAGAGGAGAGAGAGAGAGGAGAGAGAGAGAGAGAGGGCAAACCCATGCATATCACATGAAATCCTAACAAGTTCCCCCGGCTTTTTAGTGATTGAATGAAGAATTTGCATTTTCTGAACCTCGCCACACACTTCAAGCAGCTTCTGGATGAGGTAATTCCCAAAGGATCTGTCATGAGCTCAACAATGTGATCTATTATTTCAAAGAAAATATTCTCAACATCCTTTTGGGCGCCTTCAGAAAATTTTCTTTGTAAGAAGCGACAACCATGCTGGTCCTTAGCCATGAGATAAATTCTACCAGTAATTTCATCCATGGAGTTATATTTCTGAGGCAATGCCTTCATGTCGGTATATTTCTGAGGCAGTGCCTTCATATCTGTATTCTTAAGGTGCATCAAACTAGGGAACATACCCCATGTGCTCAAACTATCCAACTGAAAACATCCAGTGTTTTGAGTAGATAAGGTATGCCGGAAATGACCATTTGAGAGAACTTTGCCATTGTGACTAACATGAGCAAGTGATTCATCTGCTCCAACAGCACCAAACTTCACAGCCTTAAGTGTGTTCATTCCATGTGATCTTGTTAGAATCTTCTCAGGAAAACTCTGTTTCCCCACCTTGTCAAAAACTTGAATCCCATTAAAATCTGTGTAAGAAAGGGCAGGATTTGATTGGTGTGGACCCCTGGGAATCACATAATTGTTCCTAACTCGTTCTTGATTAGATTGTTCGAGCCGATGGGAGATTGGCACCTCAAAATGTGTATGCCTGGGGTTTGGACATGTTAGCCTGCTTGGAATATTCCCACTTCCTTGAACCAGATGCTGAGCTTCGAACCGCTGATCATGAAGCTGCTGCATGTACACATATCTTTGCTGCATCCTATAATATTGTTCCTCTTCCATATTCCTCCAACTAACTTGATTCTGGTTCAACTGTTGTGAACGTAGGTAAGGAATACGAGATTGTGCATCCAGAAAGAATTGCTGCGGATCAGATGTTAGAGGAAACTGCAGACCAGGGCCAGGCACATTAGAGAGGAACTGAAAACCTTGCACTGCGTGAGCTAGAGGAACAGCAGAAGATAAATTTTCCATAGGCTGTGAATAGACAACCTGGGGTTTCTTAAGCTCTTCAGAATTGAATTTTGACATATTTGAACTTTCTTGGCCTATGTTTGTCACATCAAACTCATAAAAGCCACAAGGTGTGTTATTTGGTGCTTGGAAAGAGGGAACGACCATGACTGGAGTATCTGAATCGGAAATATGTGTTTTTAAGCTGTTTGGGATTTGGCCATTCAATGAAAAGGAGAAGTTCTGCATGGATTTACAAGTTTCCTCGTGACTTCCAGCTTCCATAGTGACCCCACCATCAAAGCTCAGTCCTGCAAATGCAGATGTTAAGGATCGGTCATCAGGCAGATTTGTCACCTCTGGTTGACCCCTTCCCACTGGTGATTTCTGAATTTTCTTCACTGAGTTCTTTCCCTCATTCCGCCTGCCGTTGTTATGGAGTTTCTCACTTAAAGGCCGTTTGTAGGAGTTCACACAAATGGGAGACAAGCTTCCATTCAGAGACACACTTTTAGTTCGAGATTCCTCAGAATGCGGGTTCACAGAAGTAGCATTTGGTATCTCACCAAGAAGCTTCTCAAATTCATCAAACTCTAGTTCAGTTCTTCCTTCTTCCATATCGTATTCACAGTCTGTTTAAGAATGCCCTCTGGCAAACAGAGTGTGCAGGCAAGCCGACTCCACAGATAAACCCTTCAATTCAGCAAGATTTTCTTTATACCTCAAAAGAACCACACATGACATAAGTGCAAAATTCAGCAAATGCAACACCAACGTCACTCAAAGCCATCCAATACTAAACATAATCCTAGAATATTTATGCAAATTACAACTCACAGTTTACAAATATAAACACCCAGAATTTCAATATGAAACACAAAAATCCGCAATCTAATAAAAATCACTTTGACTAGAGCAAATGATCATAAAAATGTAACATTTTTAATGAATGTTGCAACCGAAAAATAGGCTCTTGCCATCAAAATCTCCCTACCCATAAGTGAATGTTGCAAAGGAAAAAAAACACAGCATAGACAACACAAAGACTTATGTAAGCATGAGATAATTTGTAGACCGCAAAATCAATGAATGCCAATCCCCAGTCCGAAAACAGAGTCCACAAAATGCATCAAAACCATTAGGATCATCACAGAAATTCAACAATTAATATTAAAAAAAACACATTTTCCTCGATTCTTACGTACAAAGCAAAGAAAAGGGTTGATCAATCGGATTGCTTTGAAAAATCCCATAAACAAAAAGTAAGGAAAAACATACCCAAATTCGATGGTTGATCAAATGTGAGAAAACCCAGATGATCCTGAACATCAAGAAACCAGTCCCAAATTCAGAATTCAGAATCACAAAAATAACAAAACTTCACAAAACGATATATCGGAAATATGGAAAGAAAAAAAAACAAGAGCAAACATAATAGAAAGAACAATGCAGAAGAAAGAGAACCCAATAAGTGATTGAAACAAAGGAAAGAAAGAAGAGAGACGTACGTGGGAGTGAGAAAAAAGGCAATGAGGGGCAGTGGTATCAGAGTGAGAGAGAAAACAGAGACATATACAGAGAGAGGAGCAAAGAGAGAGTGTTTGGGAGAATCGGAGAAGAGAAAGAGGGTGTTTTTGGTAAATTAAAACAAAAGGGGAGTGCAAAGGGAGTGACAGTGTGCGGGTGTGTTAATAAGTGTTGTTGGTGAGAGAGAGAGAGAGAGAGAGGAGAGAGAGAGAGAGAGAGAGAGAGAGAGAATGAGGCGGCGTGAAGAAGAAGGAGAGGTTTTCAATGAGAGAAAGAAAGAGATGGCATTTGGCAAACTCGCTCACATAAACGCTCTCTCTCTCACATCACCTACACACACAGAGAAGGAGAGAGACCCACACCAACCAACAACTCCGAACCCATATTGCCATTTTCATGCATGGAAACGGAAAAATGAGAGAAAATTCAGAAAAAAAAAGGAAAAATGGGAATGTGGGAATGGAATGGCTCTTATTCTTGTTTAGTTATATGATCCATGTTACATGTTCTTTGCTTTCTGCCTCTGCCTCTCTCTGAGTCTCTCTCTTTGGCACGCTTTTTGGGTTGCGTACGTAATCACTTTTCAAAGTGTTCTCTTATTATAAATGCTCTTTTTTCTTCTTTTTAATTTTTAATTTTTTGCGTTAAAAAATAGACTACTGACTTGAAGACTTGGTCGTCTTCTACTTGTAGGCTTGTACTGATATTTAGAAAGAAAAATAAAAATAAAAAGCTTGTAGAAATAACAAATCCAAAAAGAAAAAGAAAAAACCTTAAAGTTGTTGAGGTAGTAGCATTGGCATATAGCATATAGCATTTCACTTTCACCCACCACCGTCCTCCTAGGGCCTAGAGGTTAATTATGTTAACAAAATACAAAGGGAGGGAGGGCATCTTTCTCTTTCTCTGTACAAAAGGATGAATTGGCAATGCCATACATGCCCTATTGCCTTGAGCTTTTTGTTTGTTTAAACTTAAAGAATAGAGGGAGGGCAGGCCATGGGCACAAACGGCAAGCAAGCAAGTTATGTAGCTTGTGCCTCAATTTAGTATATAATTTAAGTGAAGAAAGAGAAAAGCATAATAGTAGTTGTAGCCTCCACCGCATCACTATTAATGAAAACAAGAATATAACTAATGTAATAAGGGTGTCAAGTAAAACAAGCATGACCAGCCTTCAAATCTTAACAATAATAATACGATTCAAATGTAATTTGGATTGGAGGAAGGAGGAGAAGAGTAAAAGAATATTGAATTTAATACGTGGACATGGCCAAAAGATTTGTGAGTTTCTAGTTAGATTTGGAACGGTGGGGTGGCGGGCCGTTCGGATCGGATCGGATCCTCCTCAACTGTTCACTGTTTGTTTGTTTGTTTGTTGCAACTTGACTCGTAGTGCTAATTCTATTTACTATTTACACCCTTCCATAACGTCTTCAATATTCATGAAGTAATAATTATTTCTCTCATAAACTGTTAGTATAAAAAGGGAAGCAATAAAATAAATAAAATGGGTAGTTCAGCGAAAAACTCTGTTGGTTGGTTCTGATGAGTCCTGACCTGTTCAACTTCTTCAACCGCGGATTCCAAGTGGAGCGCCCTGCCACGCTCCATTGTTATGCGATGGTTGCGAGCTGCAGTCCCAAACCATACATCTTCTCTATTACAATTTACATGCACCATAATACATACACCTACATATTCGCATTAAAGTGGCTTGTACGTTTCTTGAATTCAAGTTCGATCATTCGTCTCATACATTAGAATAATTTAGAATATTATTTTTTTCTTTTAAAAAGACAAACAAACAAACCAAAAAATACAGCGTTAGAATATCTAGCAGATTGAAAATCCTCTGTCGTTTTGGTTGCAGAAATAAAAGCATTTCCAAAACCAATTTACATCGCACATCCGAGTCCAAAAGTCCAAACGCATTTGCATTACTATTATTTTCCACATTCGATATTTATAGCTTTTCCTTTTCGAGGCCACTGGAGGAAGCAACGTGAGCGAGCGCAGAGACTATAACTTAATGACACCACACAACTCACTCTCACATAAAAGCACGCATCAACTCTGGATTGCTCACCTAATCACCATATATATTTATAAACATTCAATGCAGCATCTTAATCTCATCACCAAACCCTGTTTTCTGGTTTCAACATTTGCAATTCCACCATGTGCTCATCAAGAATTCAAACACCGGGTTTCAAGTTTCATAAATAAACCAAACAAAACCAAAGTCTAAAACAATTCAAACACACACAGAGCACGAAAATCTCTTCCATTTAAATTATATTTGCAGTGATTGGAATCGTACACTTAACTGAACTACTACTGCAATTCAACATCGGCCGCACTCCCGGTAAGCTAATCTCACCGGAATCTTTTATGTATAAAAAAATGGCTCCAACTACTATCTTCATTCTTATAACTTGTTGCCACTCATCCAGGTTGACCCTGTTCACTCCTCTTCACCACATCCTAGTTATTCTCGATCAACTCTAGTACCCGTAGCCTGTCACAGTTAGAGCAAATAGTTGGACAATTGCATTTTGAGCCAGAGAAAAGCTGAGAACAGGCAGCAATAGAGAATTTGGGCTATTTTAGATTAACTACAAACCTGAATTGTCCATGGGGTTGCCAGCAGGCACTGCTGCTTCTGGCTCTTTAATCTCAACAACTACACAGTCTGACATTAAGAAAGTTTTTGCAACAGATGATGCGTGTTCTAGGCAACATCTCACCACCTGAACATTGAAAAACAAAATTCAAAAATCAGTTCAAATCACTGCAAATCTAACTGCAATACATGAAGTAGAGACTCAAGTTTCCAGGCACACACAAATCCAATACAGCTACACGCTAGAGTAGCCCATGCATCAAGTAAAATTATCTAGAAACAACCTATCAGGCATCTGGAACCACCTATGAAGATAGCACTAACTCCCAACCTACCACTTCCAGTTAAATTACTTGAGAATTCAGCTAAACCAACAAAACTAAGTCTTTCACTAGCACTCAGGATCAGTTACACAGTTCATTCATCACCATTCAAATAGCCAAGAGCATAAACGCTGCCAAATCCACATAAGCGATGTACATGACAGCTCCAGAACAGAAACTCACCTTGGTTGGATCAATAATTCCAGCAGCCATTAAATCTTCATAGTTTCCAGTAGCAGCATTGTATCCGTACTTAGGATTGTCACTGGAAAGCACCTGAAAAAGGAGATTTCAACTTATTAAACATACATAGAAATCAGATAGTAACATAGTACATAAAGCTAAACGAAAGAATACCTTCTCACTGACAACACTTCCATTTACACCAGCATTCTTGGCAATTAACTTCAGGGGGTAACTAAGAGCTCTTTAACTATATCTGCTCCAACCTGTAATTCACCATATGGTTTGAACCTTGAGCAGACCAAAATCTAAATCTAAAGAGAGAAAAAAAAAAAAAAAAAAAAAAAAAAAAAAAAAAAAAAATCTACATATCCAATGCAATCCCAAATTCAATCCTTCTTCCATTGTCGATTCTTCTAGGAAAGAAAAAAATCTTTTTTTCTTTTTTTCTTCTGTTGACAAGAAAGATGAGGAGCAACAAATAAAAAAATAAGCCATTTCTTCATCATTATCAGTATCCTTGATTGCATCAACCCTTTGATGCCAACCTCAGAACGCTCAGCATCCACCCTCCACACAACAATACCTTCCTCAACAGCTGCCTGGACAATTACAAAAATTTTAAATTTCTGCTGGTTTCTATAATGTGCCAAAGACCAGATGTAACAAAACTTAACAGGGATGTAATTTACAAAGATTTAGTGTTGTGAATTGTTTTACCTTTGTTGCATTCAGAGCATCTTCGACTCTCAGTTTCTTTTCTTTCAGCTCTGTCTCAGTTTGTGCTCCAACCTTCGAATATTCAAGAAAAAGTTAATACAAATGAATTCCCATTGGTACTACATTGTAATCCAAATTATCTACAAGTATTTAGAAACCAACCTGAATTACCGCAACACCACCAGATAGTTTTGCAATCCTTTCATTAAGTTTTTCTCTTTCATAGTCCTGCTCTGCCGCCTGCATATATAGTTTTTAACTTATTAAGGCTATTAGACTATGATAACAAAGAATTACAAACAACTTCTGTAAGCAATTGTGGATGAGAAGGTGAGAAAGAGGGCTTCACCTCAATAAGGTTCTTAATTTGGGCAACTCGCTTGTTAACTGCTTCCTGGGTACTTCCATCACCAACAATCGTGGAGGTATCCTTTGTAAGCACCACTTTCGAAGCATGGCCAAGGACCTCCTTTCCAACATTGTCTAATGTGAGCCCTACCTCCTCTCTGATGACGGTTCCTATATGCAAATTAACAGCATCTCAATATCACATTACAATCCGAAAACAAGAACAGAGACTCATATGTTATACCACCCTCCCATTCAAACAGGAAAGAAAAAATATACTATCAGCACAGCACAAGACACCTTGGGCAAGATGAGACAAAAATGAATGATAGATGTAAAAATACCTCCAGTCAGAATAGCAATATCGTCAAGGTACTGGCTCTTGCGCTCACCGAACCCAGGAGCTTTAAGGGCAGCAATCTTTAGAGCTCCCCTAAGCTTGTTTACAACAAGAGTTGCAAGAGCTTCTTGTTCAATGTCTTCTGCAATGATTATAACTGGGTATCCTCCTCTTATAGCTTCCTCCAAAATGTTAATGAGGTCCCTTGCATTTGTTATTTTTTTATCAACAAGAAGCAACTGCACAAATAACATGTTCAAAAGTTACTTACATCGTCCAGTAAAAAGAAGGAAAAATAAAACTTGTGATAGCAATTGAACACATTACCTTGCAGTTCTCATATTCAACAGACATTTTCTCACTGTCAGTGACGAAATAAGGTGAGATATAACCACGATCGAATTGCATTCCTTCTACAACATAGAGGCTGTTCTCAGCACTTTTTCCCTCTTCAAGGGTCACCACACCCTTCCTACCCACCTTGCTCAAAGCTTCAGCAATCATGTTTCCTACTTCATAGTTGTTTCCTGCACTAACTGCTGCCACATCTGCCAGCTCACTGTCTTCAACCTGCAATGAGTTGTAAATTGATCTTGTTCTGGAGAAACTTAAGGAATATGAAGCAATGAAAAGAAGCGACAAAATCATGATGATACCACCACAAGGTAAATGATTGAGAAACAATTAACTTGGAGATCAATTCACACTACCTCTTTGGACATTGACTTAAGCTCGTGTACCAGAGCTTTGGTGGTCTTCTCAATGCCACGTGTGATTAAAACGGGGTTAGCCCCAGCTGCAACCACCTGAACAATTGAACTCAGTTAACAGAAGTGGCCTTGAGTCTTGACAGAATCACTCTTAACAGAATGCAATTAGAGAGATCATGGTACAAACCTTGACACCTTCAGCAATAAGACCTTGTGCAAGAACAACAGATGTTGTTGTCCCGTCACCAGCTAGGTCATTAGTCTTAGCTGCCGCCTGTCTCACTAGCTTAGCTCCAATGTTCTCAACAGGGTCCTCCAACTCAACCTTTGAAGGCAGAAACGAACCAAGTGAATAATCCAAAATTGCAATGCCTAAATGACCCATGAAAACTGGGATAAACTCAAAATTGCAATATCATAGAAAGTGAAAAGGCATCATTTCAATTTTTTATTTAAGGGGAAAGGACAGCATTTAGCTCATAAGCTTCGCCAAACTCAAAACATACTGCTATAATCTCAGAGTAAATGCAAAAGGAAAAGGAAAAAAAAAGCGTTGATGCTCGAGATGTAAAACAATTTTAAGCTCATACGCTAAGAACTATACTACAGAGCAAAGCAAAAATGAGAACAGTCGTTAGCTTTAAACTAGTTCTATCAGAAAATGTGACTGTAAACAAAGAAAGGGCTCACATACCTCTTTTGCGACAGTCACACCATCATTAACAATTTTGGGGGAGCCATACTTGCTCTCTAGAACGACATTCCTACCCTTTGGACCAAGTGTAACCCCAACAAGGTCGGCAAGCTTGTTGACACCAGTCTGTAGAACAAACAGAATGAATGTTAGAACGTATACATAAGACGCACCAATGCATTAAAACAGAAAATAGCTTCCTTCCTGTTCAGAAGACTCACTTGTAGTTTCTTAATGGCTGAACCATCCTTGTTGAAATGCAACTCCTTGGCCATGGCACAGATCCTAGGAGATTGTGTCCTCCTTAGAACTACATTGTGCCTCCTAGAGAATGAGAATGGAGAAATGGAAGCACGAGATGACAAGTTGTCGAATTTCCTATCAATCACACGGCTACTAGGAGCAGCCAAGGAGCCAACTGAAGTCATGGCTGCAAAAGTGGATGCCATCTACCCCTGTAAAAATTGAGAACATCAGAAATTGTACAGCTCAATAGTTGTTGACCGTGTAGAAATTGATAACATCATAAAGTAAAAGATAAAGACCAAACAACAGTATATAAAATATGAGATGAAATTGATTGCTAGGAAGCTATAGACAAAAGGCAGCTAGACAAATTTCTCGTAGCATATCTAATTAAACGCAAATGGGGTCCTCTTTTTTCTTTCCGGTCATAAAAAGCAATTTCATTTCATTTAATTTTAACTGTATTATCAAGATGAATTCATTAAAACGAGGAAACACAACGCAGAGAACAAACACAAGCTGCAAAAATAAATTGAAAAGGTCAAGATTAAACACACAATCCTAAGCTTCAGTTGGCCGGAAGCTTCAGCCAAGAGGGGTATGGCAAGCCACCTCTCAAAAGCGCCATAACGAGAGGATAAAGACTTGCGTAGTTATATCAGCAAAATAGGCAACACAGCTTAGAGAGAGAGAGAGAGAGAGAGAGAGAGAGAGAGAGAGAGAGAGATTGAAGAGTACTGACCTTACAACCAAACAGTAGAGTGGATGAAGAGTGGGTAGATTTAGGTTGAGAAGAAGCAGCAGCTCTGGTTTGGGTTTAGTGGGGTTTTTGGATAAGAAACGCCGAAGGAGAGAGAGACGAGAGAGTGAGGGTGTGAAATGCAATTTTATACAGTTATAGTATGTTGGCGACTGATGGATGGATGGATAGATGGAGTTAGGTTTACCTCTAGGGATTCATAAGAATAAAGTTGACACCCACTCCACTGCCCGCCCTTGAGCTCTTGAAGCTTCCAGACTCAAACTCAATCTGGACCGTTGGACCCCTTTCCTTTGTCCTACTTCCGAACACTCCAGAACCTTTTTTCTTTTTTCTCATAGGCATTTTCTCTCCTACGATTTCCGAATTACTTGGGAATTGGGATTGGGCTCAAATCATTGCACATTTTCAATTTAGAGTTGGGCACTGGCCCATTTGGATTTGGTTTTCTTTGGTTGGAAAATTGATAGGGTTGTTTTGATGTCCTTCCAACTTCTTCGGGCTCGTATTTAGAATGATGATAGATTACGCCGGATGTCGGCCCGATTTGGTTGGTGGGCTCCTTCTAACCCATAGACTTTGGCTGTAACAAAAAACATACACATCAATTTACAAGAAAGAGAATGAGCACGGTTCTTAAAGGTTCTCAACTTGACTTTAGAAGCAACGAGTGTTAATAAAGAACGGACTTACCTATTTTAACCCCCAACACACCTTTAACATTCCAAAGTTGTTGATGAGGCTGTTAGAAATGTTTTTATTATTTATCACATATCAACAATTTGTTTTTTAATATATAAAAAAAGAATGGAATCATAACCAGACTATAAATGATATTCGCGCTCCAAGATTATCATTTTGCATTTATTTTGTGAGTATTTTAGAATGATACAATACTGGCTACACCTACTGACAGATGAACATAGTTTGCCTTTCATTCAGAGCTCCTGAGATTCTATTATCCCACATTTTCTTTCACTGGTATTATAATAAGAGAATTGTTGTCTTCTGTTTATAAACATGATTTGGACAAAACACATAGGGACAGATACACATAGAATCCCGAGCCTCTGTATTTAGAGTCCACGCATTTATCTGCATTTTGCAAAATCTAGAGCATTCAACTAATCTAGGGAGCTTTAGTTTTAAACCATAATATAGTTTACAAATTTAGTAGAAAGAAATACAATTTAGTCTAATTATCAAAAGGCCAAAAACCAAAATGTAACAAAAATACCATTACAAAATATGAAAATTACAACATATGCCATTTTCAGTGTTTAGTTTTAAACCAAAGCTGAAAAACGACATCAAACCAAAACGACATCAACTGAAACCAAAATTGAATCACAACCCATTTGCACGACCTTTCAACTTCACCTCCAGAAACCTCTTCAACTTCACCTCCAAACCACCAACGATCATCGAAGACCACCAACCCATTCGCGCGACCATCATCGAAGCCGATTCTTCATCTCAGTTTCTGGTTTTGGTTTTCTGCAATTTTCTGCATCTCAGTTTCTGGTTTTGGTTTTCTGCATCGCAGTTTCTTGTTTTGGTTTTCTGCATCTCAGTTTCTGGTTTTGGTTTTGGTTTTCTGCATCTCAGTTTCTGGTAGTTCTACTCTTCTCTTGCCCACCCAATTCCTCATCTGGGTAGCCTTTACTCTTCAAATTAGTGAGGTTGAAGGCGAAGGAAAGAACAAAAATCAAATTGTAATGAAATAAAAACTGCAATGCAGTTTCCAGTTTCTAAAAGTCCAATTTTGAGTTCCCTTTCTCTTGGGTAGTTCTACTCTTCTCTTGCCCACCCAATTCCTCATCTGGGTAGCCTTTACTCTTCAAATTGGTGAGGTTGAAGGCGAAGGAAAGAACAAAAATCAAATTGTAATTAAATAAAAACTGCAACGCAGTTTCCAGTTTCTAAAAGTCCAATTTTGAGTTCCCTTTCTCTTGGGTAGTTCTACTCTTCTTTTGCCTTCCCAATTCCTCATCTGGGTAGCCTTTACTCTTCAAATTGGTAAGGTTGAAGGCGAAGGAAAAAACAAAAATCAAATTGTAATTAAATAAAAACTGCAATGCAGTTTCCAATTTCTAAAAGTCCAATTTTGAGTTCCATTTCTCTTGGGTAGTTCTACTCTTCTCTTGCCCACCTAATTCCTCATATGGGTAGCCTTTACTCTTCAAATTGGTGAGGTTGAAGACCAAGGAAAGAGCAAAAATCCAATTATAATTACAAAAACTGCAATGTAGTTTCCAAAACTGCAATGTATAACCTATATAAAATTTCACCTATTGAAAAATAAAGAAATATAATGCTGCAAGCATAAATTGAGATACGTTGCCCTCCATGAATTCAAAGACAAGGGAAGCTGTGCCATCAACTTCCATGAAAGCTTGTTTCAAATTGACAATATTCGGGTGGTTCTTCAACTGAGACAGAGACTCAACTTCCGCAATTTGGAGAAACTCCTCCCATGAAGTCAACCTCGATACCTCATTCTTCAGTTGCTTAATTGCAACAATCTCACCAGTCACCTTGTGCAAAGCCTTCCATACAACCCCAAAACTTCCTTCACCGAGCGGCTTAAGGAACCAATAATTCTCTATTCAAACTATCTCAAGAAAACAACACAGACCCAACAAAACTCTCTCTTTGTTACTGGAAACTCAAGAGCTTTCGTCAAATATGGAAATTGACGTTTGCCCAGAAGCAAAACCTAGTTGATTTCCTACTGGCTTGCTCACTCACTCAAGGTAGAAAATAAAAGGTGCCCGGCTATTATTTATAGCCTAAATCTTTCTCAATCCTATAAGGAAAAGGGGTAAATCTTTCTCAATCCTATAAGGAAAAAGAGTTTTCGTAATTGAAGCTATTCTATTTTACTTGGGCCCAAAGTTTTTCTACGGTCAACATTTTTATTTAGAAGACCTTGGAGTAACCGGTGAAGGCTGAAGGGATGAGCAACTTGAGAATTCCATCCCAGCCGCAAGTGAAGGCTGTGGTCGTCGTTGCTGCGGAGAGAGAGAGAGAGAGAGAGAGAGAGAGAGAGAGAGAGAGAGATCTAATCTGGAGACCAATAAATATTTTAATAAAAAGGGTATAATTGTCTTTTCAGTGATTAATATAAGGTGGGCCAACGAATCTGAGCCTCCTCTTTGGCCTAATCCAAAATACATATTCTTTTATGGGTATTAAAACCCAAACCAAAATACCTAATGTCTCAAATCCAAATTACTAAAGTTAATTATGTCTAATTCCTAATTTTCCTAATAATCTAATGCTTTTGGGTAGGTCAGATCGGGTAAGGTTATTTTTCCCCAAATTGACGGTAACGACACCCCTCTTTCCAACGGCAAACACCACCTCTTTTTTTGAACATCTATCATTCTGGAAAAAAAAAAAAAAACAAACAAACAAACAAACAACCGCCTCTTTCTTCTATCGTTCTTGAAAAAAAAAACCATCTTCATTTGCTAAAAATTGAATTAGAGGAAGACAAATTATGGAGACACAAATGAAGAAGTGAGACGGGGATCAACACCATCCAGGAAGGGCTGGAAGGAAATCCAACAACCAAGCCCATTCATCAAATGCTCTTTCTCTGGACTTGTCGTCTGTATTGAAGATGATTGACATAAATATCTTCTCTAAAGACTGATCTGATTCTATGCATCCAATGAGAATCAGAATAATTAATGAAATTACTAGCCTTGTAGATCAAACTCCATACATGTTTGAAAAGGAGAGAAGTACGAGTCACAGTATATATTACCAACAAGAGAATATTGCCTTTATATTGATATTTACGCAAGTTACAATAATCCAGTTACAAGTTATCATCACAAAACCATGTTTAACCAATGATTAAAAAGGAAAGAAAGAAATACAAGAAAAAAGGAAGCTGTATCTCTTCTCAGATACACACAAAAGAAGCTATTAATGCAACAACAACAAAAAACTTTCTTTCTAAACAAACCAAAGACACATTACAGTGAATCTTCTTTCGTTTTAGTTTCAGCATTCGGAAACTGGCTAACCTCTATTATAGTTTTTTCGGCAGAAACTTCCTCAGGGACCTGCAGAGGTTCCAAAGAGTCTACAATGTCTCGCATTAGAGGCCTTGCTTTTGGGTTTCGGTTCAAGCAATGATAAACTAGCATGGCTGCCTTATGAACTCCTTTAATAGGATAATCTCCTTCTAGTCTCGGATCAATGATGTTGAGCAATTTCTTCTTCTCTTTGAGCATGGGGAGAGCCCAATCAGTAAGGTTTTGTTCCCGGGCTGGCCGTGACTTGTCTAAAGATTTTCTTCCAGTCAGCAGTTCGAGAAGAACAACACCAAAGCTATAAACATCACTTCTGGGAGTTAGATGGCCTGCACACAGAGATAGATAGGAAACTATGTCAGTCCGAAAGTCACTTAAAGAGAATATGAGGCCATCAAATGATCTTTAGTTCCCCAACACGAGTTCAAATGCCATGTTTAACAGTGAAACACTGACGTTGGATGTTATGGGGAACAAAATGGAATGATTTTGTCTCTATCTGGTTCGGAAAGACCTTCCGAATGCCAAAAGAAAAAAAGTGCCTTAATTTGTGATGGGACTTACCTGTCAAGATATACTCAGGTGCGGCATATCCATATGTCCCCATTATGCGTGTAGAAACATGAGATTTGTCTCCCACTGGTCCATCTTTCGCAAGGCCAAAGTCAGAGAGCTTTGCATTGTAGTCCTGTTTTGCGTATGCAAAGAAAGTGCAACTGTAAGTTTTAGCAAGCGAATTGCAATTACTCAGAAGAGCAATGATACCTACGCCGCAGTAATTCAAATTAGCTCATCCCACCAATCCACGATAATTTTTCTGACCACTCGAATAATAATAAAACTCATACAATTGCAACTGATATAGGAATTGGTATTTGGTACTCTAGGACATGATCATTGTGAACTTAAGTAGTAGCTGAGTGTAAAAAAGAGTTGAATCTGACATCGTTCTCATGCTGGAGATTGTTCTTCGTCCATGACTAGCTAACCCTTGGTAATTTTGTTCTTCATGCATTTTTTTATATGATCATATAATAGCATTACCATCTAAACCATCAAATTTCACAAGCCTCATAGTACTGAACATTCTCAAATTATCAATATGAGTTCAATTAATTTTGTTTTCTTTAAAAGAAAAGGTGAAGTATACCAACCAGATCCAACAGAATATTAGACGTCTTAAAATCACGATAGATAACAGGTTTCTCAGCTTCATGGAGAAAGGCAAGTCCTTTAGCTGCACCAAATGCAATCTTCATCCGTATGGACCAAGGCATAGGAAGCAGCACTCCTGAGAAAAGGCAAACATGCATGTGAGATAGAGTCTTAAGTTAATAATAGGCCCACAAAATTCACCAATTAATGTTTAACAGCTTCACTTCTAACAGATTTCACAATATATAAGGTTTGTCTTAAAACAGGTCCCTTTCCTTTATTTCTTTTACTTTTCATTTTCATATTTTGATTGTCTCATAACAACTTAAATCACTCAATCTTTGGCATAACAATTGGAAATTGGACGAGGTCCTGTAATTCCCGTTTGGGATAGGTCATCTTTTTTAGGGGCCATTTCTAGCTGAAAGCAACTTTCACGGATCATAGTGAGATATCAATAAATTGTGGCACCTTATGTATTGTCATTCTAGAATTTATCTTTCCGTTTTATGGTCATTCTTTCTTTTAATTGCCTTTGCATCCTATGAAAAAAGGAATTAATGTCCTAAGATGTTCATTCCAAACCCTGTAGTGTCATCAGGCAAATAATGATATCATCCAGGAGCTTGGGTAGAATTATGTGCAAAGGTTCATCGAGAGATGACAGATGCAAGGAGAATAAATAAAATGAAAAAGGCATTTTCTTAAATCTTTGTGCCTGGTCAATCATATTGCTGTTCCATTGTTATTTTTCGACATCCCATTCAATTTTCCCTTCAGGTAAAAAAAAAATCTATCTTTTGTCCCTAATTCTCTCTGCATTTACATATAAATCAGATAACTCTTTTTAGGGATATAAAATGCTTGGTTACTTACTTGAAAATAAATTGTTTTCCACACTTCCCCGAGCCATATACTCATATATCAGCACCCGCTGTTCATCCTCGCAGCAATATCCAATGAGCTTTACCAAATTTGGATGAGAAAGCTGCCCCAAAAATATGACTTCTGCCTAGAAATGCACAAACCGCTTAATGAAACTGATGTTTGTATCTTTTATTTTATCTTCTTAATGGGCTAAAAGATAGAACACAAAGCTTACCAGCCATTCTCTGTGTCCTTGATAGCTGTTATCACCGTCGTGAACTTTAACAGCTACAGCAAGGGGGGAAATCCCCTCTCTTAAATCCTCAGTGATGAACCCTTTATACACACTTCCAAATCCTCCACCACCCAACATGCGATCTTGCCGAAAATTTCCAGTGATTATCTTTAGCTCACTGAATGTGAATGCAATCAAAGGATTTGCAGCTGAATCACGGCGTAGGATCTCAACCTCTTCAGGATTCGATGGTAACTTACTATCATCTTCCCTAGGATTCACTGAGGGGCTCTGGTCTTTTGGGGACTCTGAAAAGAAAGTTGAGAGTATAACATCACACATCCAACCATCCAATCCAACAAGCAGCAAAAGTCAAAGCTTTTTTTCCCGGATGAACTTGAAAATGCATCATACATAAAGAACTAAGTAAAAGAACAAGAACAAAAATTCTTTGCAGATTCGAGTGAGCACTTTCAACTTTTTGAAGGTAACATGAAATTCTTTTTACATACCAAAATCAATTCTCTGCAGCAATAAAGGTAGAAAATTCCATTACAGTCATGAAGAGATTACAAAATACTGATACATAATATTTGATAGCAACAAAATGTGAAATATTTAATCTGCTATGCAAGTTAGTAACTCTAGTCACAATTTATACAAGAGAGAAAAGAAAATCTTTGACAGTCGTCATATGGACCGGGAGGAAGCTAAAAGATTACTAATTTCATAAAGTAAAGAGCATATAACTAAAAGTAGAAGGAAAGGGAAAATTTTAATTTTGAGCCAAAAAGAATATACATCAGAAACTCATTAGAGTGAACTTCTACTATCAAGATAAGAATCAAGGCATGAGGAGTATCCACTTCCAACAGGAAAGGTAAATCTATTACCTTTTTAAGCGGCCATAGAGAAAAAGTGAAAAGGTATATTCTATTCATTCGTTTTTTCCTCTAAACATATAGGATTACAAAACAAATCCAACAAAAAACATGTTGCCCACATAAATAACAGCAAAAACTAATGAAAAATACAGAAGCACAGAAAGTTTTGTATTTTGACCAGTCGATTTATCTCAGTCCGAAAAGGAAAAAGGATCTTTTTGCATATCGCTATGTAAATACTCTTAAAAATGAAACTTTTCATAAGATAGTCAAAATCAATTTGATTAATAACTTATGTATTGAGTTTCTTGTACGAGGAAGAAGAGCACACAAATCCACAAATTATACATGAGGATCCAAAGCAGAGAAAAACAGAGCATGATTATTTGAACTAAGGTTCTACTCCAATCTCTCACTAATCTAATGAGAAAAGCAACAGAAATGCAAACTCACTCCAAAATAAAGCATACTGACAAACCCATTTAGAGAAACATACAGAAAGAAAGGAAAAAAAAAGATGTATGAGGACCAACCTGACTTTGCATTGGAAGAGACTCTGTAAACTGAAGGCTCCCACCTGAACCAACAGTTACCCATTATAGCAATACCAGAAACAGCCAAAGTCCAGTTCCTCACCAGCCACCCATCACCATAACCAAGGTTAAGTCAGGCTTTCAGAGGATGAATTAGACCCAAATGAAAAGCAAAAGAAGAAAAGAAAATTCCAAAAACAAAGATACAGGAGTAAGAGAATGGGTAATTGTTTTCTTGTGACTTTGTGTGGATGGTACAATTGTTGATGAATGAGAGAAAGAGTAAGAGAGAATTCTCGATGGTAATGATGGGGTGAGGGGTTGAGTTGGGTGCTGGTTCTTGGCCATGGCAGAAATGGGCCCACATAGTCGGAGGGTTTTATTTTTGTTTTGATTCAAAAATATATATGGTGCTTTCTTCTCAGTGCGCAATGCGCATATATAAGGTGGATTTCAATTCCCACCAATCTGTTTCCATCATTCTCCAATACGTTCTCCCTTTTTTCTCTTTTCCTTTAAAGCCCATATGCCTTCTTTTTCGGCCCCTTGTTCACACTCTTCTTTGGTATCACACTAGCAGGAAGGTTGCTAGTCAGTTGCTTTGCTACTATAACTTACCTAACATTCATTCTTATTAAAATTCTAATGGGTAATTTATCTGAACATATATTAATATATATATATAGACCAACCCACTTTTGAAGTATAAGTGGATAATCAGCTTCTCCCATGAGCATAAATAAACTATATTTTGTTATATAAATATATCTTCCACTCATTTCATTTGGCTTTTAACCATAACTTGCTCAAACAAGTACTAATAGACTTCAAGAAAAACCGCGAACTATCATGGGAAAAAAGATTTTTAGGTCAAAAGATAAGTACATAGTGGTTTGCTTCTTTGCAAAATAAAAGAAGAAGAAATATTCATATAAAAAATCATCTAGTCTGACATCTTTTTACCTTGCTATTCATGGCAAATTATTCCTTTCTCCTCATTATCAGGAAAAAAGATAAAACAAAATGATTTCTTTGTCCTCTAATCTTGGCTCGCAAGACTGACCAAAATAAATTCTTGACTGACACCATTTGAGATATAAAGACAAGATGTGCATTTATATCTCAGTCTATATCTATTCCTTTTGGTGATAATCTATTGCTCTGTTTTGTCTTCCTCTTATAGACGACGTAGGAATTATGAGAGGTGTGTAACACTGTCACCAAATTTTTTGCACATTCTCTAAGAAGATGTCACTTTTAAAGCAATTTATCTTCAGAATATAAAAGAGTAAAAGTTTCATGACAGTTTCGTATCACAGTTTGAAAGCAATTTATCATAAGCTTGACTTTTGTATCACAGTTTGTTTGTTTTAGGTAGAAAGTAGAGCATTGAATCTGGAGTTGATGGAAGGAATTTTATGTCTCTGCAGTGCAGCACTGTGCAGGTACATGTAAGTACAAAAAGGCTGCTGTAAATAAAGGCGTGTTGTCGAAGTTGCATGTTTACTTTCAAGTCACTGGTCCTGCTGCTGAGCAACAGCTTTCAACCATATATTTTTCTTGCAGTAAGATTTTGGTTTTCTGGTGGATTATTCTCTTTTAAAATATCCCAAGTTAATTAGCCAGCTAGTACAATACATGTTAGGCTGGCTGATATTGATGCACGCGTAAACTACATAGCCTTTGCAACTTTTGTGTGTGTGTGTGACATGACAGTGAGAAAGCTTTGATATTTAACTCTTCTTCTGAGGATGGTTCTTCTTCAGCAGCTTGTACTAGTTTGCCAAGGAGAGAAGTCAAAGTGAAAAGGAAGGTGTTAGTCAAGGTGGGGTCCAATCCAACCTCATCCTCATGCTCTACAATCTAAAATCTATAGGATCTTATATATCTCATATACGGTGCATATAATATTGCCCCTTCTTGTTCTGTTTTGGAGTCTGGAGGAGATGAAGATGGTGACCACAGATTGACATGGATGGAAGAAAGCAAGCTAGCCACCGCTTTCTCCCGCATGCTCATGCTCTACATCTACCAACACGTGCAGTCAATGTCAATGTCTTTATCTATTCATAGTAATGTGTTTATATATCAAATAATCATAATCTAATTAACATATATCCATTAATTATAATGAACTTAGAGAATGATAGCTGTAAATTTAGATTTACTATCTTGCTTCTAAACCAAAATTACAATTACAAAGAACTTTTCACTAATACTGTGACTATTTCAAAATCAATCATTGCACACTACTTGCATCTATCTGCTCCTGTTGCCTAATTGAATGCTTTGATTACAAATTGGTCCCCTCTCTGCAAAACACAACAGCTTGCTAATTTGTTTAGTTTGGATGGTTATCAAGCTTGAGCTGGGGTAAATGAGTCATTTTCTGATATTTTAGATCATCGTCATTAATTTTCAGGATTGTTTGTTCAATCCTTAAAAGCCATGCAGCTAATTAAAGCAAACCAGCTTCTTTGTGCTAGCAAGCTGTACCAGACGTCCAGAGCTGGTTGGGAACTTCAACTCCTTAGTTTTGTTTTGCAGGATTTAAAACTCAAAAGACTCATCTGCACTTGCCTTTGATTAATTCTATACCTGCCTGAGTTCAGACAAACACAGAGGTTGGAGTCTGGAGAGACTTCGAAGTTGTGTTTATACAATGAAAATGTATAAAAGAACTGCTAGGTTAAGTGGCTCTAGAGAGAACATCTCAAACCTAACCTTGATAGAACTCTACATATCAACTTCTCTCTATCTAGAAAGAAGATGATATCTCTTTTCCATTATTGAATCACTTTCATGCTTATCTACAAGCTTATTTGCACTGTGAGCCACATTCATATATATGCTTCTGTACAAAACGATGAATAACCAAAATTTCTTTCTATTTTTTCTTTGGAACACAAAAGCATATTTACATGTGAAAATGTGAAATGCTAATTTTGCAGCAATCTTCTTCTTCTTTTTTTTTTTTTTTTTTTTTTTTTTTTTTTTTCTATCAAACATTATAGTTCTGGAAGGTGAACTGATCTTAATTAACCATAGAATTTAAGCAACTTTTTATTGCCACAAGAAACATATTTATGTAGCACTTGAAATTCCTGCTAATCAAAGCAAACTAGATGTATGCTTTATATCAATCATATTATGACGCCATGAAGATGCAATAATAGGTTGCTAAGGATGAGGATGCCTATCAATAAAGCAAGTTCTTAACATTTATATGGAAGCAGACTTAATGATGTGAACTTGGAAGGTTAAATCGTGCTTCGAAAGTCTTATTTTCTTGATTATAAACCTTCGATCACGCAAGAGAATTAGAACCGATTCACGCAATGTGTTAGGAAAACATTTTCAATTGCAATGATTTTGATTAACCATAACTTTGCTTCTTCTAGTCAGATTAGTATATCTCCATTGAATAATGTCAGATCATTGTATAGATCGCATGCATGCTCTATGAAGTTTGATCCTCTAGATATAGATGTATATCCTAGGGCATTATAATAGTATGAATACTATGTTTGTCTATACAGATTTCCATTAGAAAATATGGAAAAGAGTGAATTACAACAAACCCCTAAGTTAGCCTACTTAAAGAGAAGCATAGCTTGGGGCAACACTAGCAATCAATATGCAAGTCTATAAGGTTTGATTGATCCATACTCATACACTCTATGCACCTTTAAAAGCTAGAAAGCTGGATAAATGAGTAATCTACAGGGGCTACAGACAGTAGCATAGAAAGACAAGAACCCGAAAAATAAGGGTTGCAACCTTCAAAAAGAAGTTAAACACAAAAGCAATATGGTATTAATCTTGGTGGTGTCTAGTCCTGTAAAACTATTTTCTTATCAGCTATACTATAACTCTAGATTTTAATTTTCTGTCAGGGATTTCTAATTCAGATTTATTTTTTTCGACAAGTTGGAAAAAAGAAAATTATATTATGCAGTGATAGTTAGCTAGGAAGAGAATATAGCTAGAGCTTATGTACGCTTTCTTTTCTCGAGGATTGTTGAAAGTAAAGTAATGCTGCAGTTATCATATTTTTACTAATTTGTTACAAGGAAAAGGAGACTGCATGAAAAAAGATTTATAGCTAGTATGATGAAGGGCACATGCATTTTGCTTAACAGCATTCATGGTAACTATGATGGAGGTTTGCAATCCCTCCTAAGGTGTTGATAGGTACAGTACTACGTATAGATGCATGTGAAAATACATTGGGGCCAGAGGTAGAGACTCAGAGAGAGAGAGAGAGAGAGTAGAAAGGGGCTTATGCCCTCATATTAATTTGGAAAATATGATATATAGCTAGCTTGGAAGAGAAAATATCATCATGGTTCATGGATGAGGAGATGTCAGTGTTCTTGCAGCTTTGAAAGCCTTGGAACGCACGCTCTATAAGCATTGTTTGGAAGGCCACCCACTTGCAGCTTCCTACAACTCTATTTAATCCCCAACCAGCCATGTGATTCTTCCACAGGAGACAATGGCTACTAATTCTCAGTGTTTTTGGGGCCTATACCTTGCACTTTCACTTTATTTTATTCACTCAAGTTCCACACCTCAAGTAACTTTTCTTCACAAAATTGTTTCACCACTCTTTCTTGTCACCTTTCTCATAATTATAAACCTCTTTACTCTGATTTCCTTGGTTTATGCAGGTGTATATAGTTTATTTGGGGCACAGCCATAATGTTCATGATCCTCATCTCGCTTCCAAACATCATCTTCAACTCCTTTCCAAAGTTTTTGCAAGGTTTTCTCTCTCTCTCTCTCTCTCTCTTATATATACATCACTTAGCTAGGTCTTATATATTTTTCTCTGTGCATTCAATTATCTTTAGTGAAGAAGATGTTAGGCAATCCATGCTTTATAGCTACAAGCACAGTTTCTCAGGGTTTTCAGCAAAGCTCAATTCATCTCAAGCAACCACCTTGGCTAGTAAGCTAATGATTAACTTTTTCTTTTTCTCTGCTTTTTTATGCTGTTTTGTTAAAGAAATTAGTGGTTAAGAAACATGAATTAATATTGTAAGATGAAAAATACTGCAGAGATGGAAGAAGTGATATCAGTTTTTAGAAGCAAGACACTGAGGTTGCACACAACAAGAAGTTGGGACTTCTTGGGACTTACCTTAAGCAGCAGTAGCAGTACTAGTACTGCAGGGACTCCATTGCAACTAGCCTATGGTGAAGACATTATTGTTGGCATATTTGACACAGGTCTTTTAATTTCATTACTAGATATGACTCTACATGTGGCCTATCTTTGACAACCTAGCTAGCTATTTTGTGTATTATATATGTGTTTTGGGTGATCTATTTAGGTATATGGCCCGAATCAGATAGCTTCCGAGAAGAGCCCCGGATGAGGCCTATCCCCTCAACTTGGAAGGGAAGGTGTGTTAAAGGAGAAATGTTTGAGCCAGCAAAAGCATGCAACAGGAAGCTAATTGGTGCTCGTTACTACCTCAGAGGTTTTGAAGAAGAATACGGGCCACTAAACACGAGTGGCAATCCAGAATATCAATCAGCTAGAGATTTTCTAGGTCATGGGACACACACAGCCTCAACAGCAGTGGGTTCAATAGTGAAAAACAATGCAAGTTTCTTTGGTTTGGCGCAGGGAACTGCCAGGGGAGGAGCACCAAGGGCTCGTCTAGCAGTGTACAAAGTTTGTTGGGGAAAGGATTATGATGGGAAGTGCTCTGAAGCAGACATCCTTGCAGGTTTTGATGATGCTTTGCATGATAGAGTTCATGTAATCTCCGCATCGTTTGGATCAAAACCGCCATTGTTACCTCTATTTGTATCAGAAGCTGCAATTGGTTCATTCCATGCAATGCAATTAGGTGTTACTGTGGTGTTCTCTGCAGGTAATGAAGGGCCAGATCCATCACAGGTCACAAATGTTGCTCCATGGGGAATTTGTGTAGCTGCTTCCTCTGTTGATAGAATGTTTCCAACCCGGATAACCTTGGATAATAAGCTCTCTGTCATGGTAATTCATGCATGCACTTTAATTAATTATTAGCTCTAAGTCTCTTCCAAATTGACTAATTATTATTTTTATATATGTTTCTCTAATTGGACATCACAACATGTTAATTATGCCCCAATAATTAAGAAGTGAAAGTTTTAGTACGGCAATATATGGTTGAGAGTTTTGTGGTGATAGAATAATTAGCAGTGGGTCACAAACATAATCATTTCCTTACCAAACCTCTGATCTGAGTGGTAGTTAATATTTTGACAAGGCTGACAGAGCTTGTATAAATTTGTATATGTCTTTAAATCATTCAGTAGATTCCATTTTGTACAGGGAGAAAGCTTTATCATCACACCTATTAAGGGAAAATTGGCAGATGCGACCACATATTTTGTTAATGGGTGACCTCTCTCTCTCTCTCAGCATTTATATATTTCTTAGTTGAGTTGAGAGTGACCGAGTTTTGTACTTATAGTAAACAAAAAAAATGCAGGGTTTGCAGGCCAGAAAATTGGATACAATCAAAATTTGCTGTGGGGAGAGTAATTCTGTGCTTCTCTAGCATTGGACCCTATGAAATTGATGAGGCAGAAGCAGCTGCCAAGAAAGCTAATGCATCAGCTTTGATCTTTGTGGAAGCTATGACAAGGCAGGTTGCTGTGGACATCATCCCCTCAGTCCATGTCAACCTTGAGCAGGGGACTAAAATCAAGCACTATCTTGCTCAATCTCCCACGTAAGTTGTTTACGGCGAAATCATACTTACTTATATCCTCGTAAACTTAATGAACCCTAATACTGTGATTCTGTGAACTACACACCACCACACAGGAAACCTGTTGTGCAGATAGAATCAAGTAAAACTGTTATTGGCAAGTCACCAGCCCCTAGAGTTGCATACTTCTCTTCAAGAGGCCCAAGCTCAATCACACCTGATATTCTCAAGGTATTTTATGTTCAATAACCGATATATACGTACATATGTACAATATTTTCATGATCCCCTCCATCCATCTCCATGTCATATTATGAACAGCCAGACATAAGTGCTCCAGGGGTAAATATATTGGCAGCATGGCCTCCTCAAACATCTCCCACTTTGACGCTTGACGATAAGCGTTCTGTTAGCTGGAATTTTCAGTCAGGAACATCAATGTCATGCCCTCATGTCTCTGGAGTCGTTGCCCTTATCAAATCTGCACATCCAACTTGGTCTCCTGCAGCCATTCGATCTGCTATCGTCACCACAGGTAAGTACTTATTAGTTGTTATCACTACTATAATCAAGGTAAAAGTAAATTATACTTTAATATACGTGGTACCTGTTTGAAATTAACTTGTCACATGCAGCATACACAAGGGACACATCCTTTGACAGCATTGTAGCAGATGGATCTATGAAAGCCTCTGATCCCTTAGACTTTGGCGCTGGCCACATTGACCCCATCAAAGCAATGGATCCAGGGCTCGTTTACGACATGAAAACCAGTGATTACATTCTGTTCCTCTGCAATATTGGCTACACTGAAGACCAAATCAGCCAGATTGTTCTTTGCCCTTCAGGAACTGACATAAGCTGTCCACAAGTACTCCAATCAAATGTAAACTTAAATTACCCTTCCATCACATTTTCCAATCTCCAATCTACTGCGACAATCAAACGAAATGTGCGTAATGTTGGGAAAAACAAGAATGTCATTTATTTTTGTACCATTTCTGAGCCTGATGGAGTTGAGGTGGTGATATGGCCTAGAGTTTTAATCTTCTCATGGTTCAAAGTGGAAAGCACATATTATGTGACCCTCAAACCAACGAAGGAGTCTCAAGGGAGATATGATTTTGGAGAAATAGTGTGGTCTGATGGCGTCCACAAGGTCAGGAGCCCCTTGGTTGTATCTGTCAATACCACCTGTTGTGACTCCTATGAATATATTCCATCACCCAGAAAATCACAAAACGCAATTTAAGCCCAGCTAATGTTTGACACACACAAAACAAATAAAGACTGCATTACATATATGTTTGTCTTAATTTCTGTGTTTTTTTTACTCGGACATGCTCCATGTTCATTCATTTCTCTGTTGACTTTTTAAAAAAAAAAATTAACAAAGTGATAAATAAAACTTTATGACTGATGTCTTTGTCGAATATTTCAAAGAAAGTCACCTAAACTGAAATAAGCATGCATGGTTTTTGGGCCATGAGTCTCCTATAAAGGTCTACATGAGCCCATTTACACTAATGCCTTAGGTTAAATAATTATATTTAGGTTAAACTTTATTATTAATTAATGCCAAATTGGGTCTTTGGTTGATTGTTGTCAAGTTTTACCTTAACACTGAGGAATTCAATTGTGTTTGTTCTTTTATTGTTTTCTTTTTGCCTATGTGACGAAAGTTTATAACATTTTTTTCTTTTTAAACCTAGAAAGAAACTAGGGTGTTTCATTACGTACGAATGATCATTTGATTTAGTAACACTAAATTTTCATTTTATTGTAAAATATTATAAGTTCAAATCTTATCAACAATAGTTGCTGAATATAAAATTGTTCACCCGTTTTGTTTATGCTCCTGTGATGGAAGGGTAAAATTCCTCACTGCCTTGGAAACCATTGACTGGTCAACAAGTCAGCTTTCTTTGGTGTGCGAACGTGCCACTACTAGCCTTGAAAATCCTAGCAGACTTCTTTAAAATGGATAACTTGCGTCCCAAGTTACTCATTTCTAAACAAGTGATTGTGAATTTGGGTGAGGAATATCTCCCAAGTAAGTTCTTTTCTTGCCTCAGACTGGTGAGAACTTCACAATTTATCACAGTATAAGATTGATAGTTCTTGCCATAATAAATGATGATAAAAAAGACTGTTTTTAGGCAAAATTGCCCTTTACAAGACTTTGAAGGAAAAAATCAACTCTAGAAAGATAAAAAGAAGGTTGGAATTCCATTTCTGCCTGGATAGAAGCTTCTGATCCGGGCTGGACTGGGTATGTCTGTGTTGGATTGAACTGTCAACAACTTCAACTGCCTAGCTTCAGCTGTAAATCGATACCAAAGCTTGATTTTGGCAGAGCTTTAATCTATTTCAAGCCCTGGAAGGCTTTTTGAACTGGCAGAACTGCAACCTCTTCAGTTTGAACGGGACAGAAGTAGCTAGACTTGAGGATTACTGAGCTGGAACTGCACTATGGTACATGTTCTTCTTGGTCAGGGCTCTCCATAAATTTGTTAAGGTTTTCATATTTATGAAAACTTAAGCTTTGCTTGTCTTGGCAGTTGCTGAACCAAATTTGTAACGAGAGGAATCTCATTTTGAATGACTTATTTTCTAAGTCTGAGCTTGGAAGTTCTGAATCATGGTTGGCTTCTTCTTTGGCTTGACTGGGCTCTTGGTTGCTTCAGTTTGTTTGGGGTTCTCAAGTTTCAAGTGATCATTTTGAGTTCTTGTCTTGGGTTGATTTTTAGTTGTTTGATTTTTGTTGTTGAATTGAGTGTGTCTTTTTCTGTTCACCATCTCTTCTATTTATAGGAAATGTTTTCTAGAGTAGGGTATTTTTATTTTTTTTAATAATGAGCAGCAAAATTTCTCAAAAGATATCTTAATTTTAAATACACAAAAAAGGATTTTATCATTTCTGGCAGATAGGCTTTCAACAGTCAGCTCCTATGACAATCACTTCTCTGTATTTTGGAAGAGAATCTAACCCCTTTCTAATCCCAACTGCTCCATGTGAGAGCTCAAAAAACCGTGATGGTTAGTTTGATTTTCTAGTTTGAACAACTTCCTGTCCTCCTGCTTATCTCCTTTTAAAAACATGGCTTGCTTATCTCTTGTGAGAATCACCCTCTTTGGAGTAGAAACAATTTATTTTTATAAGAAGGGATTTGATCTTCTGGTGGCATATTTTTTCAGAGAAGTCTCTTCATGTTTTGCCTGTTTTTTTTATTAATTCCCTATCAACCCAGTTGAAATTGTTGACAATTCAAAGTTTTTGTTCAGATTAATCATGTGAGTCTGTCTTCTGATTTCTGGGTTTATTCTGCCGGACCTAGTTTGAGGCTATGGGCTGATTTCCTTCTTTTTCGAAGCCCAAGTTTTCATCTTTTGGATAGATCCTGGACTGGAGCCTTCAATGCTTTGGGCTGAGTGTGTATTCTTGGCCTAATTTCAAAGAAATGTTGGTGGCTGCCAAAACCCAAGATGGGTTTTTTATTTCCTTATACTGGGTGTGCCAAATTAGACCCAAACAAAAATATATTAAAGAAACAACTAGGTATCTCGTTTACCTAGTAATGTGTTTGTAATATCAACATAATCTCTTGAAAAAAATTAAGCACTAAGGGCTCGTTTGAAATTATTTTTTTAGGAAGCACTTAGACTCATAAACGTTTCTAGCAAACTTGCTTTTATTATAAAGATGTTGAATTTTCATAAGAAATCTAATTGCTTACTGGAAAAACATTTATGAGTGTTTCATGAAGAAACACATAGCAAGTGCTTCTCTAGAAAACACTTCTAAACTTTTTTAGCAAACGATATCAGAAGCGTTTTTGGTTGCCATAAAATGGTTTTAGCTATTTTAGAAATCTTATCAACCTATTAAGCAGTCGAAAGTGGGACTAACACGCAAAAGGAATTAGCATCACATTAATGATCTAAAAGTTGTGTCATAATGTATAAAAGGTGCTTATGATGCCCCCATATTCGAATGACTAGGGGTGTGTTTGGGACTACTTATCTAGCAAAAATACTTCTAAATTTGTATGCCGAACATAATCAGAAGTGCTTTTAGCTCTTTCAAAAACACTCCCAAATGTGCTTGAAATCATATTTGATTTATGTTACTTAGACTAAAATTCACTTTGATCTCTTTAGTTCCAATAAATAAATTAAAATTCGCTACAAATTTATATGTTTGTGGTACTAACTGACATAAATGATCAAAAGGTAAACAAATTTAGTCTTCACTGCGATTTGATTTCATAAAAAGTTAATTATTCTTCCATGGTATTTTCTAAGGCAAAAGTTATTGATTTATATTCTATGAATTAATTTGACCTAATACAAATTGGGACCAAATTGAGAACGCTAACAAGCTATGAAGATTAAAATTAAAACAAGATGGAGCTAACTAGAACCAAAGGTTAATATTACATGACCAATAAAAATATAATTTATCCTATTTTAATTTCACAACTCATAATATAGAGTGTACAAGAGTGGGCGTTGTTGTACTTCAGTAAAAATCAAAAAGTGGTTATTTATTATCTTTCATTGATACAAATTATAGTCCTTGGAAAATTCGGTTGTTTACAGTGAAAGCCCCAAAATGCCCACAAAGACGAAAAGTCATCCCCAAGTAAAAAGCATAGAGCCCAAAGCACCGTTACCACATGCCCGAGTGGATGGGGACATCGATGTCCTTTTGTAATTAGGGTTTCCAAACTCCTCATAATGGGTACAACCAGCAATGTAAAAGGAGTGTCACCGGGCCAATCAGAATTCACATTGACCGAAAAGACCAAAAAGAACATCCTTAAGCCCATTTAGTTTCGGCCACGTGGAATTATGGCCCAATAGGAGAGGCTCGATGAGCTCACAAAGTGACCCGCAGGTGATTAAATGAGAGTATTGAAGAAGAGCCGTGGTGCTATTTGAATCACCGCTTTTGGATGAACAAAACCCTCTCTTTCCAAAACCCAAACCCTTGGCGGCTGTGAGACCCGTTGTTCCCTCTTCACTCAGTCTATCTCTCTCTTTTAGCCTCAGGATTTCTCTCTCCGTTGGCTAAAACCCCAATTACCTTTCTCTGAGATTTAGGGTGTTTTAGTAATACTTCGGATAAGTAGAAGATCTAGCTATCAATTCACGGCCATGGCCACCGTTGCTCCTCCTGCGGATCGTATCCTTATAATTTTAACCATCTGGGTATTCTTTGTTTTTGGTTTTCCTTATTGAGATCTATTCTTCTTTGATTTGTTTTGGATCAAACTGGATCTTCTCTGTCTTTGTTGTTATTGGTTTATGCTTAACATGTAGATCGCAGTAAGCCTCTTTTATGATGTTTGCTTAGCTCTTGGTTTGTGACGCTTTGTTTTGGTGTTAAGGTGTTTTAGGCTTGATTTGTGGTCCGCGTCTGGAAATTCATGGTTCTCTGTGTAGAAATAGAAGTCCCTGTTATTTTAAAAATTCGTATGCCTGGACTTTGACAATTTCTTTCTGGTTTGTTTCATGAGTATAGTTTGGTTTAGGCCTGGTTGAATTGACGGTTTCATATTAGACGATTTTCATGAATTGGTTATAACTTGTGTTGGAGTGATTTCATTAATGGAGTTTTTACCCTCATGTCAAATTCAAACTATGCTCACTGGATTCACGAGTTGTTTTTGTTTGTTGATTGTATATCTCTATTACAAAAGTATGTGTTTCCTTCACCGTTTGCTTTCTTTAGAAGCAGCAGATTTGCTACAGAAGTTGTCATTAGATTCTCAAACCAAGACCCTGGAAATTCCTGAGCCAACCAAGAAGGTACCATACATTTCGAACTGCTAATCTTCTGGGAATCAAAGAAAATATGGTTATTTGCTGAATTTAAGTGGAACTTGAAAAAGCATTCTCAAACTGCATACTGAAACATTCAATTATTTAATCTGATATGTGATTCTAAGGTTAGTTGCTTTCTCAATGCAGCCTTCTGTTAATCAATATGGGTCTATTGATTCTGGAAATGCTGCGAATGGTCAGATCCAATCAGAGCGCTCCGTGACTCCATTGTTACCTGATTTCATGGATCCATCACTATGCTATCTCCCGAATGCTTATCCGTCTGCCTATTACTATGGAGGTAAATTGACGTAGAACCCTCAACTGGAGATTGGTTTAGTGGTGGATTGTTGAATTCCCCTTGAAATTCTTATGTATATGATATGGATGGTTCTGTGAATTTCTTATAGGCTATGATGGGACTGGCAACGAGTGGGATGACTACTCGAGATATGTAAATCCTGAGGGAGTTGAGATGACTTCTGTAAGTTTTTTTTTTCTTCTTTCACTTTTTGGGTAATAATTCATGATTTGGTTTTATTTTATGTCTAAATCTCATTGTTTTAACTTTATGTTAAATCTGCTTGTTTGTTTTAGGGAGTTTATGGGGATAATGGGTCTCTTTTATACCACCATGGGTATGGGTATGCACCATATGGTCCATATTCACCGGCAGGTTCCCCAGTTCCAACTATGGGAAATGATGGTCAGTTATATGGGCCTCAGCACTACCAATATCCTCCCTATTTCCAGCCTCTGACTCCAACCAGTGGACCGTATACCCCCAGCCCTGCTGCCCCGCAAAGTGAGGTATCCACCTCTGTAGCTGCTGACCATAAGCCTCTGCCTGTGGAAACAGCTAATGGGATTTCTAACGGCATTGCAAATGGTGGAAGTGTGAAAGGAAATAATGTTTCAGCTCCCTTATCAACATATCAAAACTCATCTTTCAACTCCAATGGTTCATATGGAAGGGGTGCTATGCCAGGACGTGTTCCTACTCCTGGATACCAGGACCCGAGATATGGGTTTGACGGGTTACGTTCTCCCCTTCCATGGTTGGATGCCCCACTTTTTTCAGATGGGCAGCCTAGACCTGTTACAAGTACAACAATTACTTCTTCAATCTCAAATGGCAATAACATTCCATCTGCAAGGAATCAGAATTACCGTCCAAATTCTCACTTCATGGTATGTTTATTTTTTCCTTATTTGTTTTTGTAAATTTCAATGTGTGGAAGTTTACATGTAGACAGTCACCTCATATGGAGACTGCCCTATTTCCGGCCACCAGTGGATATGTGGAAATGTCAACTGTGTTGTATGACATGATTGTTCAATTATGGCCTTGTCCATAAATCAAACCTAACCTTTTGGTGTGAAAACATCTAAGGCAGGGGAGAATCAGTGGGCTCAACCTGTAGGTTGGGCCTATCCTTGTTTTATACAATTGGAATCTTGTTATTGGTTGGAAGACTTGACTTGGATTTCCTTTAACTGGTGATTTTGATATTTAATTTAAATGTTTCAACTGCGAATGTTATTTTAGATATGTCCACCCTCATGAATTTTATTTCTTTGATTTCACAGGGTTTGCACCACCCAAGGCCATTGTCTGGAATGGGTACAGCTCAAGGGTTTATAAATAGGATGTACCCCAACAAACTTTATGGTCAGTATGGAAACACAGTTAGATCTGGTATGGGCTTTGGATCTCATGGTTATGATTCGCGAACCAGTGGACGCACATGGCTGGCTGTTGACAGCAAGTACAAACCCAGGGGAAGAAATGGCGGATATTATGGATATGGTAATGAGAATATGGATGGTTTGAATGAACTCAACCGGGGACCTCGGGCAAAGAGCTCCAAGAATCAAAAGGGTTTTGTGCCTAATGCATTAGCGATCAAGGGGCAGGTGCCAACAAATCTTAATAATGACGAGGAAAAGGATAAAACAAGTGTCCCAGACCGAGAACAATACAATAAAGCTGATTTTCCCGAGGATTATACTGATGCCAAATTCTTCATCATTAAGTCATACAGTGAGGATGATGTTCATAAGAGCATTAAGTATAATGTTTGGGCCAGCACGCCAAATGGCAACAAGAAGCTTCATGCTGCATACCAGGAGGCTCAGGAGAAATCTGGTGGCTGTCCTGTATTTCTTTTATTCTCGGTGAGTCTTTTGTTTCTAGGCATTGAGAGGGTTATAGTTCAAAAGTACTTTTGGATGTGTTTTAATTTATTTGTTTTCCTTGTAGGTCAATACCAGTGGACAATTTGTAGGCCTTGCAGAGATGTTGGGGCCTGTTGATTTTAACAAGAATCTAGAGTACTGGCAGCAAGACAAGTGGAATGGCTGTTTCCCTGTCAAGTGGCATATTGTTAAAGATGTTCCCAACAGTTTGTTGAAGCACATTACTCTTGAGAATAATGAGAACAAACCTGTGACCAACAGTAGGGACACTCAGGAGGTAATTTTACATTCTACAGATTTTTTGCCTTGATCTTCTTTGTTCTTCCCCTTTGAATATTAATCTTATGGGTTTGTGTAGGTCAAATTGGAGCCAGGCCTTAAAATGATTAAAATTTTCAAGGAACATTTAAGCAAAACATGCATTTTGGATGACTTTGGGTTTTATGAGTCCCGCCAGAAGACAATTCAGGAGAAGAAGGCTAAGCAACAGCAGTTTCAGAAACAGGTCAAGACTCTGCCTTTTCTATCGATCTGAAACAGTTTTAAAGTTGTTAATCTATTTTCTATGTACTGTGACAAATGTTTAACAGTTCTAAATACCTAACATTTGTCCTTATTTTTGAAAATACCAAAGCAGGTATGGGAAGGAAAACCCATTGATGAGAAGAAAGACGTAGCAAATGGGCAACTGAAAACTCAAAATTCATCAGAGGTTCCCTCTGATTTGACCAAAGAATCTATTCCAGCAGTGCATGAAAGTGAAGAGGTGAAACTTGCAGAAAATGGATTGATTGCAGCTGGAGATGCCCCAAAGGGTGCTAAGCCAGTTGTCTCAGAGAAGAGGGTTGTAGCGAATGGGGTTGCGAACGGTTGCTAGCCTTTGCCTTGCATAACGGCGGTCCAGGTTGCGTTGGAAGTTTGCTGCTGTGAATGAATATATGAGAGCTACTAGAAACTACTTGCCAATTGTGCCTACTTATTGGACCGCCGCTCTGATGACTGTTGACTTGCTTTGCTAGAGAATAGTCAATAATTCGTTGAGTGGCAAGTCAAATCTCTAGAATTTCATGTATCTTGAGGCAGGCTAGGGTTCTGAGTAATCTATGTTCCACCCCAACCACCCCCTCCACAGTTTTCTTTTGGGTCTATTTACAGCTGTTCTGCAGAAGCTCCTAACAGGTTTTGGTTGCCTAGGATTTTGGGTTTAGGGTTTCTCTTTCAGTGGTGCTTAATATCAGATATGTTTTTTTTTGGGTTTTAATTTTCTTTACCATTGCCTTTTACTTGTTTTGTTATTTCCCGTCTTGTAAATCTAGATCATATCTCCATTGCGGAGCAGGTTTGCTTTTGTATTTGTATGTGAGCTAGTAGCAAGGTGGGAAAATATTGCAATATAGTCAGTTTAAGAATCTACTTTTTCCATTTTTATTGTCTGTCGTTGGTTGTGCTTATAAAATTATGTTTTGTTTAGACTTTAGTGGTGAAAAACAAAGGAGATGCCTTGTTATAAACGTTCCTTTTCTTTTGGCTGAATCCTTTTTTTTTATATATAAAGTTAATATCTTGTTTTTCTTTTCCAAGCCATTTTAATCTAACCCTAGACTAGACAAACAACTGGTCGAAAAGTGCGGCGGCTGCTGCTATAATGCTACTTGTCCTTTTGGTCATTGTCCATTAAAGTAGGGCGTAAATTAATGGACCAGTATGGCTGGCCAAGTTGGCTGTTTCCTTGGCCATACCTCGTGTGAGCTCTGCTGTACAAAGGATGCCAATAGCATTGGCAAGAAAGAAGCCTATACTAGGGTTGACTGGGTCACCCGTAAAGTAATTAATTCGGTTTGGTAGCAATTCATTATACAAGAAGGAATCAAAGTCTCTCTCTCTCTCTCTCTCTCTCCTACACCCTAGTCTTACCATAATACAAAACCTCTTATGGTCAATTGTAAGTTGCATGATATTTAGGAGCAATGTTTACCAATATTTGTCTACTGCCATTAATGGGTTCTAATCAAACATGTGAAATCCATTGCATAGAATTAATTGCATTACGTTTCTAATTGTTCATTCGACAAAAAAAATAAAATTAATTACATTACTTATATGGAATGTGTATCAGAATTATTCTGATTCTTTTACTTTCCATAGAGTATTAGAAATTGTGCGACTTCCATGTCAAAATCTGTATAACTTGAGAAACACTGCCTGAGTTGTTGGCGGTAGCTGAATTTTATTAGCGGACCATGCCCCAAAGCATGGAACATGGAAACGCAATGTGAATATATATATATTGTCCATTTCTATTGAGGAATTCCTTAAATAATTTTATTTGAGGGACGCCCATTAGAGTACCTTACAATTTTTTTCCCAATGATTCAAACCATCTATTTTTTAGGTCTTCATTCATAGATCATCTATATAAAAAATTAGACAAATCGGAAACCGTTTCGACATCCAATTGTGTCTTACAAAATCAATGAACACGGTGCTTGAGTAGTCAGTTGAGCTAACCATATATACATCATTTTTCAGATTCTTCTTTGAGAACCATCCTAGCAAACAATGTTGAAAATATATAAGCATGAAGCCACCTACTCAACATTAAACAACATTTGGTAAACTATGAGAAAATCACTTATTGTTAAAAATTGCTCTGAGAGAAAACTATAAGGAAAACAGCTAATGAGGTGCTTTCATTTTCTGATTATACAGGAATCAGTTTCCAACAGGAGCTGAGTTTAATTATTATGCTAGAATTATTTTCTGATTATGTGGGAATTAGTATCAACAACACTTTTAACAAAAAGTTTTCCAAATGTCAAACTGCTTTCTCTCACAGCAAATCTGACAGCAATTATTTTCACAGCACATCAATGTCAAATTGGCCCTAAGTATTTAAGTTAAGGATTAGTTACATATGTTTAATCTTGATCGTTGAATTGCATCTAAAACACTACTAATAGATTTAATGAATGCAATTCAACGGCCAAATAAGAATTTGAACGTGACTCAACACATGTAGCACTAGTAGTAGTAATGCATGTAGCATTATTGTATTATTATCTATATATATATAGAGCAAAAGGCAGATAATGGTAAAACATTCAAAATACCAGAAAATATCATTGGTTAATGTAAATATTAAGAATTGAAATTATTAATTAAATAAGGATAATATGGTAAATTTACACTTTTTCATATTTTAAAAAAATTAAAATTAAAAGAAAAATCAGATAATTGATCTTATTTTCATGGGAAGACAACTATTCATTATCCAATATCAAAATTTTGAAATGCAAAAACAAAATATCACCACAAACAAAACCCATTTCTTAAAATATTCAAAATCACCAATCCAATGCGGATATGCTAGTTATAAAATAACAAGAAAGGATACCAAATCTGAACAATGACATGATGATGGTGAAATGACAAATCAAGAGATAAGATCAACACTTTCTTTCTCTCTTTAGAGGAAACTAGAGTAGGGATTGGCATTACATCAAGTGTAAGTACATGCTCACTTCTCATGTCTGAGACAGAGGGAGAGAGAGTTCTCTGTTTGTTTGTTTGTTTCTTTTTTTGAGTGATTGTATAGAACTCGAAACGAAATGGGCCTGAGGAGGTTTGGAAGATTGGTCAAATGGGTTGGTGGTAATGGTAGGAGGCCATTTTCAACCTGCTCCTCCTCCTCCTCCTCTTGTGATGAAATGATGGTTCAGCAAATTGCGAGTGGGAAATCATTGAACCTCTACTCTGCCATCAACCAAGCGCTCCACATCGCCTTGGAAACTGATCCACGGTACCGCATATCATAATCATATGCCTTTCTTCCATTCATCTTTCTATTTCTTTATTTATTGTTTTTCACTTTCTGGGAACACTCGCATCATATTTTCTTCAAAATTTTTAATTTTTCCGTTCTACTTCATAGTTTAGAGCGAATATATGCAGTGTTCTATTTGTTTCCCGAATCGGGTTTGTTTTGCACTCAAGTATTTGTTCCATTTAGTCAGTCAAGGCTATTCTTTTTGCTTTTCTTCTTCCTTCTTCTCAGATGATGATTTCGTCTCTCTATCAACTGTAGCAATTATACAATTCACAAGGGAAATACACACACACATACATATATATTTCTGTAGGCAAGACAGATACTATAACAAGAGTTGTAAAACTGTCAGTGAACTTTGCTCACGTGTCTTGCATTGTTCTAAATCTTTGCACTGTAAAATTCACAGCTGTAAAGTAGAGAAAAAAGAAAAAACGCATTTAGCTTACCTTTATGCTTTAATTTGACTGAGTGCCTCACAATTTCACAAACCCTCTCAAACAAACGTCCGGCAGTATGAGCCTTGTGAAATTGTGACTAAGAAATTAACTGAGATAATGAGTCATTGTTTATGTTGGTCTTTTGTTGCTACAGAACAAACTATTCAACTCAGTTAATTGTAACGGTTCTTAAATTGGCTTGAATACAGGTTTTCTCTTTTTCAGTACCAAATATTTAATTCAAACTCAGAACAAGTTCTAGTGTTTTGCTAATGCCATTTAAAAGTAACTCATTCTAGTGAGTTAGTCTGTAATCACTTACGTGCATGCTAGATTTTGACGCGCTATTGTTATTGTATCTGAAGCTAATGTTGGACCCTGCAATATGTATGTCTTGATTTGTAGTAAGATCTAATGACGATGTGCTTTTACTAAAGTGATTTACCAGTTACCTTGGTATGCTTATGTTCCTATGGATTAACCAAATAATTCTTTTCATTTTCACACAGTGCTTATGTATTTGGAGAAGATGTGAGCTTTGGTGGGGTCTTTCGTTGCACAACAGGCTTAGCTGATCAATTTGGTAAACAAAGGGTTTTTAATACCCCTCTCTGTGAACAGGTATCTTTCTGTCACAGCCTGGCTACTGCTTTCATTGGAATAAACATACACCTCTAAGTCATAAGAGAAACTTAGAAATCCTTACCATTTGTAATGAAATAAGCTAAAAAGGCACATTTGATAACCCCCATTGTTACTTGTCTTTATACTCAGGGCATTGTAGGATTTGGCATTGGTCTAGCAGCTATGGTAAGTTTGAGGATTTAAGTCTTATGCACGAGCTTTAAAATCATACTCAATTCAATTTTTATTTTTATCTAATAGCCACTAGCCTCACTACATTTGGTTTCATCTTACATGATAGGGTAATCGAGCTGTAGCAGAAATCCAGTTCGCAGATTATATTTTTCCTGCTTTTGATCAGGCATGCATCCCTTCCAGTGCTGAGTTCTGTCATAGCTTCACGAATGATAATTAATTGGATAACTCTTAACTTTGTAGATTGTCAATGAAGCTGCAAAGTTCAGATACCGAAGTGGAAATCAATTTAATTGTGGAGGTGAAACTTCACTTCTTTTTTCAATTATGTGGGAAGCATACTTTTCTTCTTCCCCCCCAACCCAACATATTATTGTGCATGATGAGGTTTCTTTCCAGTAGAGTGCAGCTGATGTTTTTAATTACTCCCTAGGTTTAACAATACGATCCCCCTATGGAGCTGTGGGCCATGGTGGACATTATCATTCACAATCTCCTGAAGCTTTCTTCTGTCATGCCCCTGGTATCAAAGTATGTCTTCTTCCTTTCAAATGTTTTGGGGCCCGGGGGTTAAACTTTCCATTGCAAACTTGAAAGCAAAAAATTGAAACCCATCTTTCAGATATCCTACTACATGAATCATTCGCGTCCGGCATTTCCTCCAATATTGGTTTAAATAGTCGCATTACAAGGAGACGACTGGAACAAAAACTTCAAAATGGTCTCAATCAAGTCAGAAATGTGATATCATTCATCAAGTTGGAAAGTTCTATCACACTCTTGAAAGTTTGTTCTGCTTAGCGGCTTGTGACTTGAGATAGTAGCTGCATACATCCATTTTTGGAAGTGATTTTCCGTGTTTAGTCTCACAATAGTCAGTGCTGTGACGTTTTCTAGAGGAAATAGGATTATCGTTCTCATTTTTTTTCTAGCTGCCCGGGAAAGGCCAGTTAGATAATCTAAAGAGTACTAAATTTTTATATAGGTGGTCATCCCTCGAAGCCCACGGCAAGCAAAAGGCTTATTGCTTTCCTGCATACGCGATCCAAACCCTGTTGTGTTTTTTGAACCAAAGGTAGTTTTATTTTAGTTTTTGAATAAATTAATTTATCCATTAGCAAAAATTGTATTTGACAAGAAATTTTGATTTGAGATTGTACAAAAACCCTGGTTTTCAGTGGCTATACAGATTATCAGTAGAAGAGGTTCCTGAGCATGATTACATGTTGCCTTTATCAGAGGCAGAGGTACGCTAGCTTCATTGTAGTCCAAGTTTTGAATGTTTAATAAAAGAATGATGATTGCAGTCATGGTTTTAATATAATCAAAGGAACTTCATACTTGAAAATTGGAACTGCGGTACTCAGATAATTCGAGAGGGCAACGATATAACACTTGTTGGTTGGGGAGCTCAGTTATCTATAATGGAACAGGCCTGTAAGGATGCTGAAAAAGTAAGTTTTCCTCACTGCTAGAAAATAGTATTCCACTTCTTCTCTGTAAAATCACTATATTTGATTTGGTCTGGTCCATTTTATGTGGGAATGGTTCATATAATGGTACAAGAGTAGACGACAGTGTAAATGCCATTTGACTAGTGAGAATTTTCAGGACGGAATTTCTTGTGAACTGATAGACCTGCGAACTCTTTTACCTTGGGATAAGGACACAGTGGAGGCCTCTGTCAGAAAGACTGGAAGGCTTCTTGTAAGTATGATATGTGTATACAGAACACACTTCCTGAAAATCGGTTGGTGCACTCTTAGTGATGAATCCAATGTCCTTTTTTCAGATTAGTCATGAAGCTCCGGTTACTGGAGGATTTGGTGCTGAAATATCTGCTTCAATTGTCGAACGTTGCTTCCTAAGGGCAAGCACCAGTCTTCGCCACTCTTTTCTATTTAGATATTTCAGTGGTTTGCTCTTAAGCTCTTAGAGGATAACTTGATCTTTTGAACTTTTGTGTAGTTGGAAGCACCTGTTGCGAGAGTGTGCGGTCTGGATACCCCATTTCCTCTTGTATTTGAGCCCTTCTATGTGCCCAACAAGAACAAGGTTAGTTATCTACAATCTTTGCTACTACGATGTTTTCTTTTGATACCGGCCAACTCTGCTTATACGTTTTTGTTTTCTTCGTTGAATGCAGATATTGGATGCAATCAAATCAACTGTAAATTACTAGTGTAAAAGCAAGTCTGCTTCTATCTTCTCTCTCTAGTTTGCTTTCCTAGTGTAGGTGCCATCTCCCTCCGTTATCACCTTGCACCCGTATGATGGAGTATGGAAATAATGTAGCACGATGTCTTCACTCCTTCACTCAATCCATTCCGATATTTAAAAGAAACCAGCAATAATATATTTTTCATCGTTAAAAAGCTAGGGTGATTCCTCAATAACGTACTTTGCTTTCCCAAACCCTTTAATTACCAGTCCTTATGATCAATCAGTGAAGTGAACACATTATTAATGTGAAAATTACATAGAAAATAGAAAATTTTCCTTTAAGGCTTGGCTCTGCTAATAGAGATGCCGACTCTGACAACGTTGATGGCAACAAATAGCAGCCGGATATTGGAGCCTCCGAAAGCAAGCAGCATCATCCTCGCAGAGGAAGCTGATGGTTGTTTTTCACCAGATTGTAGACTATTACACGATCCATCAAAGATTGTATTAATCTCTATTGGCCTGCCCGTGGACCAATCTACAATCATAACTTTCAATCCTCACACTTATTAATGGTCTTGAAATTGTCAATATAGTCATTGGTTCTAATCAAGCAAATCCCAATCCCTTGTGAACAATAAAGTTTTTTCAAAAACAAAAACGATATAGACATTGTTTCATTGCTTCCAATTGTGTTGAAACGTACATTTTTACTTTGTATTTTGTTCAAGACCATGTGTTACTCTGATATTAGTAATCAAAACAAAGAAAACAGAATTACACGTGTCTCTTATGTAACCCAAAAATAAGTCTTAAATATAATCATCCACCAGTCAAGCCATGCACAATCCCCTTATTTACAATTCAATCCAGGCCCAACTGTCCTAGTGACAAGTATTCCGCCCCACGGATACAACTGCTGTGTGCTTCCCACAAATAATCTGAAAAGTCATTTTTAAGATAAATTGATATGAGTTGTAATAATCAGGCCAGAAAAGTTCAAAATGAATCGCTAACCGTATAAAATGATGCCTATAATACATGATTGGTGTTTATACCAGAACTTCAATTGGAAAAAAATAACTTAACACAAGGCAATGAAATATCTTGACATAATTAAACAGTTAAGTGCCATACCATTGCTGATTTTTCCTGAACTCTGTAAGAACTGGGTAAATGTTCTCAAAGGCTTCATATGTCTCACCTCTTACCTGAAGCATTGAAATGGTAATGCTCTTCAGATGATGTTCCAAGATAATATCATATAAAACCAAAAAAATGAAAATTCAAAAGAATCATCGCTAATTATCACCTTCGCCCCTGTAAGAACTATTTTTCCAGACACAAAAATCAGAAGCACAATCTTCGGTTGTTTCATCCGATAAATCAAGCCAGGGAACAGTTCTGGTTCATACTGACCCCACAACAATTGAAAACAATCAGTATAACTGATTTTGTGGAATTCTTCTGGATAAACAGCACATACACTTTTCCCAGACAAAATATGAATATTTAAGATGCATGTCTCTATACAATGAGAGAAATGCATAGACAGAAGTAAACTCTAAAGATGATGCTTTCGTAAATGGAGTTTTTAGCCTGTTGCCAGCACAAAACACTCCCTGCAACCTTGGACGATAAACAGGGAAAAACTTTGTCCAAAGGCATTCAGTTTTTACATGATTACAAAAACAGACAGGTGCAGCCAGAAAACTCACACTTGAGAAGGCACCATGGGAATACGCCAGGCCTTCAAGTCTTATGGGAAATTTCACGTCACAAGAACCAACTATATTTTGGATTTTGAAATCCTGTTTGCACCACAAAATTGAAACTGGATTTAAGTAAATAAAGTGACAGCATGTAGCAGAGAGCATGCATGTGTGTGAGTGAGTGTAGGAGAGAGAGAGAGAGAGAGAGAGAGAGAGAGAGGAGAGAGAGAGAAAGAGTGTGTGAGAGAGAGAGTACCTTGAACTGAGCTGGAAAACCGAGTTTCTGGATGATTCGAGCATACAAAGAGGTTCATGTAAGATTGTATTTTCCATGACATCGCTACTAACATGGTCATGATGCCAGCATATTTCAAATATATTTGAGGGCTATTTGCATGTGTTAAGAGCTGTATAGCTTAAACAGAAACACCAATATGGCAATGTTCTGGACAAAATTTCAAACAGATGCCAGAAAAATGGATATGGTACAAACTGTCCCTACATAAAACACACACGCTGATAAAAATACCTTTCGTGCTGCCAATTTTGATTGTTGTTCACTCTTAGCTCCCGTACAAACCTATACGACACAGTGCCGGCATTCACATTAGCATGGGTTACTGATTAGATAGAAAGAGTGAGACACACCATAACAAGACATTAAAAAAACCCCATCTATCCATCATGTGAAATGAAGCACATGATGCAGAATCGATGAAAAGGGAAGGGAACAAGATGTTCGGTTTTAAATTGGGACTTACCATCTTACCAGATGCAAATATCAATGCAGTTGTCTTCGGTTCTCTTATTCTCATAATCACAGCTGCAAAACGCTGCAAGGGTACACCACAATTAATTTGCAAACTAACAGGTAATTTAGAACAAGAAAATTCTCTTTAGTGTATATGGATATTATAGCAACTCTAGCATCTAAACTTATAAAATCCCAACTAGTGAAGCTCCATACTAACAGGCAAAGATGCTCTACCAAGGAGCTACAAAAATACCCGAACTTTATTGTACTTGTCAAACAAAGGCACATGCCTTGGGGTTGTATTCAGCGTTACGAGCTTGCAGTGCAATGGCCTTGAGATCCAATTTGCAGTCTAAATTTACTGTGGAGACAATATTCCTGAGAGAACAGACAACACCTTTATTGTTTTCCGGGTAACGCATAAAATAATTACTCAAAAAACACTCAACTTATTAAATGCATGAAGCAATTTGAGAAAACCGCTCATAGTTACACGAAATATATAATCAGAGAGAGCTTGACCCAAAAATTTGGCATACCGCACACCTAATCATGTAATTTAAATTCAATGGTTCCGTGGATGAACATTTATATTGGCACATAATCACAACAAACAATCTAACGCGAGATGAACACACAAGTGTAGAGACAGAAAAAGGAGGAAACACAATAGACTGGTTTGTTGGAGAAACAAGGAAAAAGTGTAACCGTAGTAAAGACAATGTTACGAGGGATGCATTCACACGCAGCATAGACGCAAACTAGAGAGCATGTTAATTCCAAGTACAGAATTAGAGAAAATTACAATCACTTTTCGTGGGTAGTACAAAGTCATCAACTTTTCAGGGATAAACTCTATAAATCATAAAACATTGGTAACTACAAGAAAGGGCATTAAAAGAAATACTAGTTTTGAATGGTTATGAAAATCGAATCATATCTTAACTAGGCATGAAAACCCAGAACATGAATTAGAAAGCAGGTTGTGAACAAGGAATTGGGACTCACTGGAGAGTAGGGACAATTCCAGAAGGGTGCTTCTTGAGATCTACTGGTTGGCTTCCTTCTAACCCTTGTTCTGCCATTCCCTTGTTCTATTTTTTGTATTGAGTGAGACCTTGCGCTTCCACTGTATATACACCATAACACAATTACAAAGGGGTAAACTAAACATAATTTCTTTTTTCACATATAAATAATAATAATAATCTACCCATTTTTCCGTTTAAAGAAGACAAAGGAGAAGATCGAACAAAAATACGCACACAACGAATAAAAACACGCAAAAAAGAGGAGTTATGATTCTTGTGAAAGGGTAAATCTTTCATGTTTGAGAAAATCAGATCAACCTTATTTAGGGATGATTGTTTAATTATCATTGGTAATATAAAATGGGTTTAAATAGTTACGATCTTCCAGATTTAGTTGAGGAGAAGATAAAGCATGAAAGATCAAATCAGGAACGAGGGTTGTGTTGTTTACAAGTTTCAAGTTTGAAAAGAAATCGGACCTTCTGGGTAGCACAGATCTGCGGTGATTTCAGGGGAAATCGATCGAGCGAGAAAGGGTGGTGTTGGGTTAAGAGGAGCGGGAAGATTTTAAATTGAGGTGTGTTTTTATATAAGAAATTTGTATTCTGAAGCTTAAAAGGATGAGGGGAGAATGAGGAGGAGGGGATTTTTAGAGAGGAAGAGAGAGAGCTTGTGTCGGTGTGGGTAGGAAGGATCTGGGAGCTTATGAGGCCAGGTTGCGTTCGGATACCTTCTTACCCTCGTTTTCTATATATACTTCCCCGTAATAACCCTCGCCCCCCCGCTTAATTCCACCAGCCGGGAGGGTCATTATTGGAATCTTAGCTGGCGTTGCTTCGTTGACGAGCTACTTTCATCAAGGCCCTATAGTAGGCTGCCACGTTTCAGATCCCTTTTCAATCAAGCACCTCACTCTAATTCACATTTATTCACATTGCGAATTTCTAAAGTGAGGTTGCCATATATAGACTCCACATACGGACCTTTATATTAGTCTTAAGATTATTTCATTGAATTTAAGTAAAATTATTATTCAAACGAATCATGTGGCTAATATGAAAGTCTACATTTATAGTCCATATATGACATTCTCACCATAAAATGATCCAAACTCGATCTGTACCGATTAGGGCCATGAATTGTAACTCATCAATCCGGCCTAAGCACCAAGGCCATGATGAGTCTAAGCTTCAGCCCATCACATGACCAACTTATGTTAGTCCTAAAACTCACGTATTTGCTCAATATTGTCATATTTTATCCAATTAGAGTTTTCACATTTAGGGTCCATCAATGATAGCACGCACATAGCCTCATTGAGAAAAATATGAGAGCTTTACTTTGTGTCATGAGTGGATATGTTGCAAGTATAAGTAGGTTAGGTGATCGGTTTTGAGAAAGCTTTGACAAAATGCAATGAGATAACTAAACTTAGGACCAATTTGACATTGATGTGCTGTGAAAATAATCACTGTTACATTTGTTGAGAGAAATCAATTGTGAAAGAAAACAATTTGGCGTTTGATAATAATCATTTTCTTAGTGTTTGGTAACTTTTTGTGTAAAAGTGATGTGAGTTATGTATAATGACTAAAAAATGTATTATGTTCAAATGACTTTTCTATTCAAGTGTTTGGTAAAAAGAAAAGTATTTTCATTTTCATTTTCACTTAAATATGTTTCTTAACCATTGCATCTAATAATTATTTTAATCATAAAATAAATTAAGTATCATGTTTAAATTGTTAAATCATTGCTATCAAGAATAAATAGTGCATAAAATTTCATCTCTTATCAATAATGTTAGACATATAAGGCTTCATAAACTCAATACATGTATAATGTCTCATTTTTCCTTACAAAATACTAATGCTTGGACCTAATGGTAACTAACAGAAGTCAACTAATTTGCTAGTTCTCCTCAAAAACCATTAATTAAAATCCATTAGCTGACCAACACAATCTGAGATTCAAAGTTTGCCCTCTTGGTTTGAGCCTGACCAATTATAACCTTCCTCTGCACACATGAACATACTGATTAGAAAGAAGACAACATATTGCACTGGTTATGTACTTCAGAAATTCACAAACATTATTTTTGGTACTACTTTCAATGAACAATTGACAAATTTTGTGTATGATCCATCATGACACTAATCTAGCCAACTCCTACAAACAAAAGCCTTGGAATTTCTAGTAAAGATCACAAATCCTCCTTTAACATGCCAATCATTCAAATTCAAATACATGGTTACCAGACACTCATGGAGAGGCGCATTACAGTACTTGTATGCTTTTAGCCGGAATCTTTACATCACAAAATTGAAACTGAAAATGTGGACAGAAATCTAGCTACACAGACCTCCAATGCTACACAACGCAAATGTTTGAATTCCTAATTGAAAAGAAAGTTGCTATGGATAAATTTGAGACGTTGATCTTAGAGTTTCTTTATAATTTTTTATTATTTTATTTTTCGGTTTAGTATGAATGTAATATATAACCCTCCATTAATTCACCACCGCTAACAAACACCACAGTGCACATAATCAATGCAGTTCTACCACCGACAGTCCGTAGTATTAGTTAGTAATACACAAGCTTCATTATCGTTTAGATTTACAAAAACTTAATATTGGAGAAATTTGTAAAAGATTATTTTACCAAGGATATCTTTATTAGTTTCTGTTCTGCTTGGGAAATTAGAGCCCTATGCTGAGCTTTTCATTTTACGAAGGTCTCTATGCCATTTGCAATTCTACTCCTGTCCAGCCCATCTTTTCATCTTTCCCCTTCCGTATCGCACGTCGTATGTTCATCAGTCACACATACATGACCTGACCTCGTATCAGTCTCTTGATAAATTGACTGCCAATTAGGATCGGGATAAGAACTCCTTACTCGCATCATCTCCCTCAATCGTATCCTAACTCCCGTTGTAACAAAAAATGAAAACTAAAAACTAAAATTGAAATGGTTATCAAATTGGACTAAAAATTTATGAAAAAAGACGTTTGAGAATATTGAAAGTACAAAAAAAGTAGGCCTCAGAGATCTTGGTGGATAAGAATCATCAGATGGGATCATTGAAGATCCCATCAAGAGTAGCAAATATTGATCTACATCAGCGGCCCAAAACTATTCAGTCTCCAAGATTTAGTCTTGAAGATATTCGGAAGAAGTAATAATAATGAGATGTTAAAAGTAAAAACAAGAAAATTTTGGAGGACGCGAGAGGGAGGGAAGGATGTAGTCAGAAGTAGCTGGTTTAATATCATACAATAATGTTATCATTGGGAATCCGTCCGATTTTTTTCATCATCCAACATCACACCTCCCTCGCTGCACCCAGAAAATAAATCTAAATTTGAAGAAAAACATAAAAATAAATGTATCAACCTTGTCACCGATAATATCCTATATGGAAAAAAGGAAAATCGGAGCTAAAGGTTGAATACATACATATATATATATATGATAAAATACGAATGTAGGGGATTCACTATAGCCTAAGGATAGATTCCTTGATCCACAAAGATCAAACAATTGCAATTTTAGGCCTCAGATTCATACATAGATGATAGATAGACAGAATCACTAGGGTTTGGGGAAGAAGAAGACTCTAGCACCGAAACAACAAGAGTATGACGAGGTTTGGTGAAGACGACGAATCCAGCACCGAGGCAACAAGAAGCATAAGGTTCGGTTTGCGAGTTGAGTTGTATGAGGGAAAGAGCTTTCGTGCTCCTTTTATAGGGTCAATTACAACTGAAACCCTAGACTCCAGAGGCACAGGCTTGAACTCAAGTGAGAGCCCAAGCCCATCCTAGCCCATATATGCAAATCTTAATTCTCAATTGCTCTGTTTTTTAATTTTTTTTTTTTTCCTTTTTTTTTTTTTTTTTTTTTTCCTTCTGTTTTTTTTTCCTTGTTACTTCGAGATTTCGAGATATAGCCGCTCGAGTCCTCTCAACGTCCCTCGAGTAATGCTCAAATCCTTTGGAGAGTTTCTCTCACACACTACTAAGGTATCATGTGGCTTCAAACCTGAGAGCATTAGTCTGCAAATTAAGACCATTTTTCAAATGAGGGTGCCAAATGTTATTAACATTTCTATAATTTCGGCTGTTTTCAAAATTTCCGAATGCCTTGGTCTTCAAGCCTGGATGAGACCATTTAAATTTCACTCGTATTGTTCTTCATGCAATGCAATGCATGGAATATGAATTGTGAGCCTACTGCCTATCAGGAAGACTGGAAGATACATCAACTTCTTTCAGGAACGTGAGTGAGCTTCAAATACTTATTTAGTGGGTACCTTCATCAATTTCCTTCCTCCGTTAATATTAATTTATTGCAAAGCCAACCTTTTATATAAAAGTCTCCAATCTGTGAGACTGACTAAATGATAATTTCAGTTCTCTTCTTCCGGAATACTGGAACTAAGTTGAAACGATAAACATAGCTACTTAACCATTACTTGAAGGTGTGCAACATCGATTCAGCAACAAAGAAAAGGGCAAGAGCGCAAGATCAAAAGCTTTAAAAACATAGATACTGTTACTTGAGTGAACAATTTAACTTAACTACTCATGACATTATCTGAATATCAACATTTATCATGTACATAATAATTCTTAAATTTTCAGCTATTACAACACTGGTTGGCTGCCTCCATGGCCTCCATTTCTCATTGTAGATTAGATTCCACTTCAATGGAAACAGAAAAGTAATTTCCTCCTTGTTTTCCAAAACCTACAAAGTTACTGAAGCATTACTCCCAAATTGAGACTGTTCAGCCTACCAAACAACCATCAGAATTTCCAATTACAAAACAACAAAACTTCCAAACAAGATCACTTCATAAATCATGTGACCACTTTCTGTTTATACCCCAAGGCCGTTGTTAAACCGCCAGTTTCTTCAATACCTTTCACGAATGTTCTAAGACAACCATTGATAACACGGGGTGCAGATCCATCACAGAACCGTTTAGCAAGATCTACAGCCTTCACAATCAGCCATGTTTAATTAAATGAAGCACATTTGGCAAGGGAATAATACAGTTAGATTTTCCTTTTTTCTTTTTTGTTAAGAATAAAACAAATATACCTACAAGTTATGAAAGTATAGAGGATTGTACCTCGTTAATGACAATCGGGTGTCGTGTTTCTAGCACTGTTATTTCTGACATTGCCAAGTGAAGGATGCAAAGTTCCAAGATTCTGCCTGCTGGCTCATCCTGAACGTTAGGGATAGATATGGTGTAAAATTTTTGTAAGCAGTGGTACAATGGGAAGTAAATATCAAGAAATCTGTAACATTATATTTTTTGAATTAAACTGAACTAGATTTATCCCAGGAAAAAAAATTGAACTCGATTTGATGCCTCATTTAGGAAATGAGCAATTTATGAACCAGCTGCAATTTTTCCAATGTTGTATTGTTATGCTAGCAACTTCTAAAGCAGTATATATGATAAGTAAATCCTAATGGAAGCTTTGAGCCAAACAGCCGTAACATGAGCGGAGAATACAACTCACTTGATTGAAACAAAATAGCTTCATAGAGATATGCAAGGACAATGCAGAATGGTTAATATAGAAAATAAGCCAGCTATGCTGATATTTACCTTTAAGTTCAGAGTTAGTATGTTTTTCACACACACTTTGAGCCGATTAAGAACAAGTGTAAACATTAATTATGGAAGTGAACCCCAAGCAAGCAGGTGACAAAGAAAAAAGTCCCATCAAGGTTAAAGCAAATAAAAAACTGGACAGTCAATGCACAACCATACCCAATGTACCACAACAAGCACAAATATGTATCTGACCTTCCAATTTGGTGGGGCAACCTTGTCAATGACAAGCACATGACTGTCCCATTTATCCATGACTGCAACCAGAAGTTTCCTAGTAAATCTGTAACAAAAAGAAAGACACAGTTAGTTGCTCTCTAACCCCTATCACCCTCAACACACACGTATATGCAATAATGGGAAGGAAAACTGAAAATGACATGCTCCACCACTTGCTACATAACAGTTACAGTTACACACTGAAATTTAGATCAATACACTTAGAAGGTTTACCGCAAAATCAGTTTGCTGTATACCAATTTTGGAGGAGCTGCAAGAACTTCTGCTTCTGAGAAGAAAAAAGTAAACAGACTTTATTCCTCTGGAAATAATAGTGGCATGGAAAACTAAGCAGCAAAAAAAAACCCATCAACTAAATTTTGGTAAAGCTACAACACGGGAGAAGTTCCTTAGAGCATGGAAGGAACACAAGTCGAAGGAAGTTAGAGCTCATGAGACCTAACAACTTTGTGAAGTAAGTTATGGAACTATTCATCACAAGTTCTTGAAAATGCATATAGATTTCAGGTAAGTAACCCCCTCCATGCAAAAGGAAAGAAAGAGAAAAACTATTTGAATGAAAAAATTAGCATTATCACATATTGCCTCCCATTATAAATCATCCCAAGTCCAGTTGTATAACATATAAGCTATTGTTCAAATTTTAGCCTGAGTTGCAAATTGCTGTTATTTGATCAGATGAAAGGAAAAAGGTATATTTCATTGTAAGAAAATGATGTGAGTGAACTGATCATCAAATCACATAAAGATTTTTTACAAGCTACTACGAGAAAAGAAACTCCAAAATGTATACTTTTGATAGGGTCTAAGTTTTTTGTAACAAGCTATATGGAACTTGAGAGTAAAGCATATGCAATTTACTTCTCCCAAGTCGCCATCAACTTATTTCAAAATAGTTTCTAGCACAGAGATGAAGTATTAGCAACGGACCATGTGATATTTGAAAAAAACGAAAAAAGAGATAAAAAAGTAATTAGAGAGCATGTGAAGTCTAAATTGTCAGATGTCTACCAATTGCAGATTCCTTTTCATCATTCCGCAGAAGCTCATCTGCTTCTTCGACAGTTTCAACTGTGACAGGGGGTCCTCCGAAGCTCATGGGATTATATTCAAGCAACGAAGCCCTGTCGAATTCATACCCGGGTTCTGGAAATATAAATTGTGTGATAAGTAATTCACAACATAAGCATATATTCACAACATAAGCATATTCGAGTGATGGAAGGATTCATCCAGAAAAGATTACAAGCAACAACAAGAGAGATGGACAAAGCAAAATTCCATAAGGCAGGGAGAGGTACCTCGACGGACATTCATTCGCTTTTCGAATAACCGTACTGGGTCAGAACCTTCTAAACAAGCAGCATAAACAATCGACCTGCGTTGAAGTAAACTGGGTTAATCATGGTTAAGGCTGGAAATGAAACAATAATTCTCATAATTACTATTTCTGTAAGCATTTTCCTCACCTTCGCCTTCACCATGTCCCCAAGAAACAAACACGGTCCCAGTTTACAGTAAATGAAGAATATGAATAAGTAATAAAATAGGATAAGACTTACAGAGCGAGCTCTCTGGCGGCTCTGGGGCTGCAAAATCTGCCACTCTTATCAATCTTGGGCAACATTTCTCTTGAATCACTGTTGGGATTTTCCAGAGCTTCGTCGAGAGTGAAGGTCGAAGTGCGTAGAGAGGTTCGAGGGGAGGATAGCGATACGGTGGCCAACAGTGGTCTTTGGATTAAACCCAGAAGATGGGATTTTCCAAAGAGCAAAGAAGAAGACGAAGAAGAGGAGAGAGTGAAACTTAATGAGAAAGATAGATGGGGCTTTAAAGTGGGAGAAGAGCAGCAGCTGTGACTGAGAAGCGAGCTTCCCTCCATTGTTCAGCCCTGTAGATTCAGATAATGCGTCTGTCACTGGCGATGTATGTAATTATGTATATTTCCAGTCAGCGATTTTTGTGGGGTTTTAGGGATATATGTGGCGCATGCCCCGGCCAAAAAAAAAAAGAAAAAAAAAGAAAAAGGACAGAGGTCATGTGTAATATACTTCTTCGTGGCCGTTTTAAAAATAACAAAATATTGTGTTTTAGATCATTTTGTGAGTTTTTTTTATAGAATATTACGTGATACATATTGATACTACTTACTTAGAGGATAAAATAAACAATAACGTCCATTTATATTATAACGTGTATGAATGTACTACGTGACTATACTACTATAGTATTCTATAATTTGTAACTTAAGCTAGAGAAGAATTCATGCAAAGTAGAGATGATAAATTTTTCCCTACAATTCATTCATTGGACTTAATCCATAATGAGTCGGCCGGGTTTATAAGAGTTAGTGTATGCATTTATAAAAAAATTAATAGTTCATGTATGAATTTGACTCTAAATATTATTAGATTAATAATTAATTTATAAATTTAATCGCCACATATATGACTTTGATTGGGCTCAAAACATGTTGCCTAATATAATTGCATTACGATGTTCCTATAGTTTTGTTTTTATGGAAGATGTTCCTATGGTTTGCAAGTAAGAAACAATAGCTTGCTAGTAGTAAACAATAGCAACCACTGGAGAAACTTCATGACCTTAGGTCCCGTTTGGTAGGGTTAGGTCGAATTGGACTGGTTAAGTAATTACAAGAGTATCTCATTCAACTTTTAGGCATACATAAATGGGTTATATTGACCTAACTTTTTTTATCTTCTAAATTATTTATTATAAGAGGCTTATAATTCAAGTAATTAAGAGTAATTATGCACATACTTGAAGTCGTGTACTCAAATTTTTCTCTTCCAATATTATTAAAACCAACTAGCTCTAATGATAACGGTATTCTCTTGGCAACATCAAAATCGCCCAACTATACAAACCCCATCGATAAAAGAAAACATAGTCGCAGTTAAATTTTCGTGTTGTCACAGTAGCAGTTCATATCAACTCATGGTAAAACTCCCGTTAACTTCTGGTAAAAGAAAAGTAAAAGAAAGGGGTAAAAAAAAAGAAAAAAGAAAAGGTAACTCCCGTTAACTTGGTGCTGGTCCAATGGAAAGTGATCATATTCGTGAAGCCGGCGTCGTTTTACAGCTCGAAACGCCATACTGCGAGTACTCGTCGAAGTCCTGTGCCTAAGCCCATTGATTTCTCTCCCCTCTCTCTCTCTGGTCTCGTTTGTCTGAGGACTGAGAAAGAAACGCAATTACAGCTAATAGTCCGAATCATCGATTAATAACAACAAAGTGAAGATGAAGGTAAAGATGCGCTTCGTTGCCGTGGTGCTGTGCGTTTTGTGTCTACTCTCAGAATCAATTGTTAGATCAGCATCTTCTTCTCCCAAGAACCAATTTCTCGGAATTTCCCCCGAAGGTCCACCAAGTGCTGCAATCTCTTTCTCATTATTATGATTTCATTTTTTTTTAATACATATATACAGATATTTAAAATATAAAAAATAGTAGTAATCTGAGTGCGGTGGGTACTGACTATTGGGTTTTGTTTGAATGCCCAGATGAGAAATACTACAAATCATCGGAGGTGATAAAATGCAAAGATGGATCCAAGAAATTCAGCAGAGCTCAGCTCAACGATGACTTCTGCGATTGCCCTGATGGCACTGACGAGCCGGGTCCTCATTCCTTCTTTCTCAATTTATTTATATTATTTTCTCTAATATCACATTTTTCTTGAGCTGCTTGCCCCTGTGTATTTGTAATCTAAATTAGTAATCACACCATAATTTCTACCAGTTGCCATTTGCAATTGCATATTGTTTCGTTCACTTGTTTGCTTTTAGATTTGGTTGTTCCTTCATTACATTCTTTTAGCAGAATGGGCCTCTCTAAATGTATATATCATTTCATAGTAATGGATTTGCCTTTAGCTCTTGCTATATTTTGGCGTGATTTTTATATGTCTGGTTCATTTGATATTTCCTGATATATGGTTTCGTTGATGGTTAAACTTGAATTTGATTTCCTTGTTGATATATACAACATTTTCTTGTTGACGAAAATGCATATTGTTTTTTTTTATTGGATTGTAGGTACATCTGCATGCCCAGGTGGAAAATTCTATTGTCGGAATGTGGGACACACACCTCTCCTGGTATTTTCATCTAGAGTGAATGATGGAATTTGTGGTAAGTTTTCTGACAGTACAAATAGCATTAGAAGTAATATGTTATGTGTACCATCACAGACTTGCTGCACTTTTGTGTTTTATTTTGATTTTCGTTTTTGCAAGGCGAGTAGGCAACATTAAAAATATTTAATGGGAGACTGTTAATTCTTGCAATGCTGTTTCTAAATTAATGGGAAACAGATGTGTATAGAAAAAGCATCATTATCACGATTGAAACTTAAGAAAACCAGTTCTCAATTCCTTAATAACTGAACCATATAACTGTTTTTACCTGGCTGATTGATTTCATCTCTTACGCATCTTTACCTGTCTGCAATCTGGAGACTGCTGTGATGGGAGTGATGAGTATGATGGTAAAGTAAAGTGCCCAAATACATGTTGGGAGGCTGGGAAAGTGGCCAGAGATAAGCTGAAAAAGAAGATTGCTACTTACCATGAGGGGGTTGCTGTACGGAAGCAGGAAGTTGAACAAGCCAGAATAGCTATGGCCAAAGACGAGGCAGAGCTATCAAAGTTGCAAAATGAAGAAAAAATACTGAAAAGGCTTGTTGAACAGCTGAAAGGTATAGTTCTGTCATGTCATTTCTTATTTTTACGACATCATCATCATCATCCCCAGGTTTTTAGGCTTGCAGGTTATTTATTTGTGGTTTTATTTAGTCAAAACTCGCTGTGTTGTACTTATAAAATCAATAGGTATATTATGTATATTTTAAAGACTATATTTTCTATTAAGGGAATTTAAGAATTTGATAATTTACCAGAACAAAAGCGACACCACATCTTATGTAACAGTTTGTTTTTGTTTCACCCCTCTCACCCTCTCTATGCATTTTCTAGGTAGTTGACCGTCTGTCCATGCCGAATTGATAAACATAGATAATTTAACATCTCTATGATTATCTGGTAATATAATGGTTAAATGTCATAACAGTTCTTTTGTCTCACCTATTGTGTAGAGCGTAAAGAACAAATAGAGAAGGCGGAAGAGAAGGAACGGTTACAGAAGGAAAAAGAAGAGCAGGAGAGAAAAGAAGCCGAAGAGAAAGCTAACCCGGAGAAAACCAAAGTTGAAGAGGAAGTTAAGCACGACAGAAGTGAGGTTGTGGAGAACTCTGACGGTGAACATAAACCTATAGAAAGTACATATGAAGATAAAATTGGGATTTTGGAGGATTCTCATTCATATCAGGTTAGGTTAATTACTCACATGGGCTGCTTTGTTCTATACTTTAAGTGCTATTTGGAGAACTTTGAAAATATATATGTAGACTGTAGATATCTCACACTTAAGGTATATATTCTTCCTTCAGCTGCATTGAAAATGTCTTTCTGCTGATTGAAGTTGCGACTTATCTGTCACGTACATGATTTTTTTTCACATAGGAGACTCTTCCTGCATGCAACTGAAATCAAGACTGATTATGACATTATAAAATAAGTTCTGTCACTTGAAATTAGTCTTTGACCATAATCACTATTTACTGGTAGTGTAGATAGTTTATTTTCTTCTAGTTCTCACATTGACAGTGTTGTCATAGGATACAGCAGAGAACCATGATGACTTAGCTGCCAAAGATGATCATATTGATACTCCTGAACATAAAAGATCTTTGGTTGAGGGTGTAGAACAGGTAAACCAAGTCTTTGAACTAGTTTTCTTTAACAAAAATCTGTTGAATTGGAGCTTTCAGTTCTTACATTACATGTTAGATTAAGGGTTTATTTCAAAATTATCTCAATGCAGCATGCAGTAAAGCAGAAGGAAGAGTCTGTTGCTATATCTGAAACTGACTCTGATTCTGGGAGCAAGGTGCCTCCTGATGAGGTATTGAATTATGGTTGCACAATATTTGGTTGATTTATTAATTGATTGGCGGCCGAAAGGTATCCTTCACCAAAATATTTTAATATGAACATCATTTCATATATTAAGTTCAAAACTGAAAAAAAAAAAAGGATCTACCATGGGGACGTTACGGTACTCCATCAAGGTTTAGACTGCTGATGGTATGGCACACATTGTGGAAATTCCATGGTGTGAAGAGTGTAGTATCAATGCCAAAATAAGTAGAATTTTCCTTCTTGCATCTGCCACCAAATAGTCGTCTCCTATTGTAGTTAACATTTTTCTATATGTAGGAGAAATGAAGTCAACTAGAAATAGTCGTATGACAGATTTCAGTTGTTGATAACTTTTTATTCATGAAAAGAATACAATAATGAACTTCAAGGCTTATATGTTTTGCTTATGAAGAGCTGTTGATAATATATACACTTTGTTAGGTGAGACCATGATTGAACTTTGATTATAGGTATCGAATACAGTAGTGTGTTAACATAAAAAGCATTAAATTTGTCTGATATTATTTTTTAGGGTTTTCACTTGGAATATTAAATCATGACTAGCCAAAATTTTCCAAGTGTTCTGACAGCTTCTAGCTGGTATCTTTTACTAGGAGCTAATGGGTTTTTGCTTTATCATGTATCTGCAGGGCAAGGATGCATCAGAAAAGACTGAGTCATTGTCAAGGGAAGAGTTAGGCCGCCTAGTTGCTTCTCGTTGGACTGGGGAAGATGCCTCAAAGGAAGGAGGGGACGTTGTTAATGCAAAAGATAATGATCATGAAGATCATGAAGAGGCGCCGAAGGACACCCATGAGGGGGAGTATGATGGCTATGCTTCAGAAACTGATGATGACAACCAACGATATGATGATGAAGATGTAGATGTAGAGGCAGATGATGATTTTGGAGAGGTGGATCATGGCGATTCTGATTCTTCATACAAATATGAGTCAGACACTGATTCAGACTTGTCAGGTATGCAGCGGCTCAGATGACTTGTGTTCATTAATTTGCAACTCAAGCTTTTTAGATGGACTATTATGCTCCTTATAATTTTATTGCATGACCGTACTTTAGATGTAACAACATCAACATCTTGGTTGGAGAAGATACAAAAAACTGTGCTGAACCTCCTACAGGCTGTTAATGTATTTCAGACTCCAGTGAACCGATCAGGTAGTAGGTCAAAATTTTGGACGTTACTTAGGTGCTAGATATTGTATAAGAACATATGAATGTCTCATCACATTGTACTTATCTGTTCTTCAGAAGCTGCTAGTGTACGGAAGGAGTATGATGAATCCAGTGCCAAGTTGTCTAAGATACATTCAAGAATATCAAGTTTGACACAAAAGCTAAAACATGATTTTGGTTAGTGTGTCTTGAGCTGCATCTATATATATGCTGGGTCAATAATTTTTAATGGCATAGTTGGTTAGTTTCTGGGCCTCCATAAGCTGAACTCAAATTTGATATTACAGGGCCAAATAAGGAGTTCTATTCATTCTATGATCGTTGTTTTGAAAGCAAGCAGAATAAGTTACGGACTTTTGTCTTATTTAATAGCTTTAAAATGTCATAATAATACAGTTTTGATTTTTAAGGAAATTTCATGTTTGATCTGACCTTTGGGCACCCAAAATTCTTTGTTCAGGTATGTTTACAAAGTATGCCCATATAAACAAGCTTCCCAGGTGGAGGGCCACTCCACAACTCGTTTAGGGTACGAGTCTACTTTCCCCCCTATATATTGATAGCTTCCCATATATCTTTTACAATAAAAAGGGGAAAATATGGGAACAAACAGGTGTCATTTTGGGTGGACAAAAATGAAGATCAAGTTATGCATCTATCATGTTCTTAGCCTTAGGAATTTGCTCAAGTTGTCAAAAGTTTGGTTTGGTTCAGAATTAGACTATGTCTTGTATTCTTGTTTCACTAATGATAGAATTATGAAACAACCAGAGACCGTATATTTACTCTTTCTAGGTGTGGAGCAGCTATTTTATTCTTCTTCCACCTAAGAGATCCTTGTCAGAGGTCAAGCACTACATCTTAGCTGTTGATAAGCCAATTTGAAATTCGTTTCTAGTTTGTTGTCCTTGCATTCAATTCAAAAAGGCAAGTCATTTTGGAAGTGGTTGGATCATTAGATTTTGAATCCAATTACTTGAGCATGTCTGGCTGCGTGCATATGTACCCCCATATGTAGCAGCAGCTTGCTGTAGATACTGGTGCAAACATTATAGATTCAGTTATGTTCTGGCAATCTGTTAGGAAATATCAAGCATACGACATGAATGATGTCGCCATCTGAGTTACCTCTGTGTGCTTTTGTGTGTGTGCTGTTGCATATGTTTCTTTCATTTCGATTAGCTTACATACTACCTTTTTGTTTTTATGTAATATTGGGGAAAATAGGAGCTGGGAAAAATTTGAGGACTCATATAAAGTCATGGTCTTTGCAAATGGTGATAAGTGCTGGAATGGGCCCGATAGAAGTTTGAAGGTAGTTATCATCATGCTTTTACATATTATTCTCCGATTGTTGTTATTTAATGAAACTCGTATCTCCTGAATTGTTTGTTTTCAGTCGAAGTTATTTTTTGGAGTGGGTTTTAACATTTAAAATCTCAATGGAGAACTTAAAATGTGATTATTGAACGGGTATATTGTAAGACAATGGTGGGTCATGGGTTTGCTAGACACCACAAATGACTAGTATAAATATCCATTAAAATTGGGATTGAAGATTAGAAAAGCATAACAGAAGTTTTGGTTTGATTTTCATTTTGACATGCGTTCTTACACATCTTGTTTTATATGCAGGTCAGACTTAAGTGTGGATTGAAAAATGAGGTTGCTGATGTTGATGAACCAAGCCGTTGCGAGTAAGAATTGCTCTCTCTCTCTCTCTCTCTCTCTCTCTCTCTCTCTCTCTCTCTCACACACACGCTCGGGCGCGCAAAGGGGTTTTTGTTTATCATGGTAGATATGTAGTAGTGGTATTACCTGGATCTAACTTTCAGTTTCCTATGACAGGTATGTAGCATTGTTATCTACTCCAGCCCTTTGCTTGGAGGAAAAACTTAAGGTATTGTTCCTTCAAGAATTATCTTTTTCTTATTTTTTTTGGTGGGGGGGAAGGTTTGCTGCTGTTCTCTTGCATTGAATTATCTAATGGGATAAAATGTGACAGGAACTGCAACACAAATTAGAGTTGTTGAACAAAGAACAACCGCAAGGCCACGATGAACTTTAAATTGTGGTGATGGGTTTACACAGCAAGGTGGAGCTGGCTGGAGTGATCTTATGTTATGTTTATCTTAAATGATAAATGGATGCTGCACGTTGCCTTTCAGAGAGGTGGTTTGAAGGATATCAAGCAAGTTTTCGAGTGGTGGCGTCATCCCATCCCCTGAAATGGAAGAGTCCTTTGTTTTCTGGATGGAGGCTGTGATGGGAGAGCCCTTAAAATGCAAAATGTGACTTGGCAAAAACTGATATTGAAATGAATGATATGATCCTCTCTCCTCTTCCGTCTGATACATTTTTTGAAATGAGCTTAGAGTAGTAATTCGAAATATGATAATATAAGATACAAAGTAGTTGTCTCTGAATTTCCCGCACTATCTGAATATTTTTACCGAGTCCCTCCCAGGGATTTTATTTACAGCTGGATATGATAAAACTGTGGATGATAATGTTGTAGTTGTTGTTGACGATAAAAAAAGGTATTGGGGTGGGGGGATTGTGTTGGTAATCTCTAACATGAAGGGTCCCTGTTGTTTTGTGGTGTTTCCTCTTTCCTGAGCAAACAAGTGTTTTAACTCTTTGTTTTACTATGTGCTGGTTAACTTAGGGGAGAGAGAGAGAGAGAGAGAGAGAGAGAGAGAGAGAGAGAGGCTATGTGGTATTGAAAAGTGAAATACCACGGCGCATCGAAAAAAGGAAAATTTCTTGCCTTTCTGGTTTCTGCCCATCGAATGGACTGAAATGAGACTAACCAAACCAATGGATGATGAGAAAAAGGTTGCAGGCAGTGACCCACCCACCGGTCAGTCAAAGTCAGAGATAGCTCAAAGGACACGTGTAAAGCGTGAGTAAACCGTTCCCACTTGTATTGTATGTGTAGTGCAGGTACATGCAGGCAGCACAAACAAATGGTTTCTCTCTCTTTCTCAGCTTCGAACAAGCCAAGGCCCCACCACAGAGCCCGCTGCTGTTGCTGCCTGCCTGCCTGCATACCTACCTACCTACATTTTGCTATGCCAAATTGCCAATGAACATGAAACTAAAAAAGAGTATAAAAACGTGGAGTTTTTTTGTTGTCTGAAAAAGAAGAGAACGTGGAGGTGGTTGCGTTGCGTCCAAATATAAACCCTAAAAATAATAAGAATGACAATAATATCAATGGCTGTGACGCCATTGTGGACTTGGCATGAGGAGGACTCAAGGCTTTGGCGCCTAGTTTTCTCGTTTTACCTTAGTCGTCTCTCTCAGTCGGTCCTCATCCTTCCTTTATTTTTATTTTTTTATTTTATAATTATAATTATAATTTTTTCCCCAAAGGTCCTCTTCCTTCTTTAGAGGGAGGAATTGTTTCATATTTTGCGCCCGCCTATTTAGAAAGAAGGAATTGTCTTGTTTTACCTAAAGTATTTTTTTCACTCAATGCGTAATTTGAACCCGCCTACTTAGAAAGAAGGAAGGAAAGAAAGAAAGAAAAAAAGTTAATGAAATAGAATTTGATTCCAAATATATAAAAAAAACTTATTATTTTAATTTGTGAGGGGCTTGGCTGATAAAATAAGCTACCTTGTTGCCCAAGAAGCAAGGGAATATGCTTATGCTGCGTGCTTGCTTCTATTGTTTTGTTTTGTTTTGTTTATAAAAAGGAAACAAAATATTAAAAGAGAAGAAAGAAGAAAGAGAGAAAAACAGAGTGGCATCGGCGAACACGCTTCTCGCTCTTCTATTTTACAATTTTCTCTCACATAATCTCACAGACCACAGATCACACACAGGAGTCTCCACACACAGACCATAGATCGCAAAACCTATTAGCCTATAGCCCACCTTTTTTATTTTTTATTTTATATTTCTATTATATTTCTTTCTTTTTTTCATTGAGATTGAGATTGATATTGAGATTGAGTTGGCTCTTTCATTGACAAAACACACAACTCTCAAACTCTCCCCCAACTCTCCTCCAAATCGTCAACTCTCAAACTCTCAAAGAAGAAGAGGAAGAAGAAGATTCCAAGGCGGAAATACAAGGAGAATAGGAAAATGGATCAGAGGCCCAAGACGAAGATCGTGTGCACGCTAGGACCTGCATCGCGTTCGGTGCCCATGGTCGAGAAGCTGCTCAGGGCCGGAATGAACGTTGCGCGCTTCAACTTCTCCCATGGCTCCCACGAATACCATCAGGAGACCCTCAACAATCTCAGGGCCGCCATGGAATCCACCGGTATTCTATGCGCCGTCATGCTCGACACCAAGGTCTATTCTCTCTCCACCCCTCCCCATTCATTTCTTCCTCCCGATCCCATCTGATCCGAATTTCTCGGATTCACTCACAAGTCATGCATTGCCTTCTTTAATTCTCTGTTTCTTTCTTTGTTTTCTTTTCTTGTGTTTGCTTGCTCGTTTGTTTCCTCATGTTTGGGTTTAGGGTTCACACACAAGAGCCCTATTAAATTTGTGTTTGATTTTGTTTTTTCCATTTCTTTTTTTTTATAAAAAAATTTCCTACTGGGTGTACGATTTTGATTCGCTAAATGCTAATGGCCTAATATTAATCCTACCCATTTCTAAATTGATGGAAAACATTGTGAACCAAACCTGATTGATTGATTGATTGATTGATTGATTGATTGATTGTTTGTTTGTTTGTTTGTTTGTTTCCCACATTTACTGCCACACAGGGTCCAGAGATTCGAACCGGATTTCTCAAGGATGCCAAACCAGTCCAGCTCAAACAGGGCCAAGAAATCACCATATCCACTGACTATAGCATCAAGGGTGATGAAACTACCATTTGCATGAGCTACAAGAAGTTGGCTGAGGATGTCAAGCCAGGGAGCATGATACTCTGCGCTGATGGCACTATCTCATTTTTGGTTTTATCTTGTGACAAGCAAAAGGGTTTGGTTCAATGCCGCTGTGAGAACTCTGCTGTTCTCGGTGAGAGAAAGAACGTTAATCTTCCAGGGGTCGTAGTGGATCTCCCGACCTTAACAGAGAAGGACAAAGAAGATATTCTTAAGTGGGGAGTTCCAAATAAAATTGACATGATTGCTCTGTCTTTTGTTCGGAAAGGTTCCGACCTTGTGGAGGTTAGGAAGCTCCTTGGAAAGCATTCTAAGAATATCCTTCTCATGTCAAAGGTATGCTTATTTTCATGAACCATAAATTGACTCATTTTGGATTCTGCTTCTTTTTTTCTGTTTTCGACTTCAGACAGAATTGTTGGTGCCATTTGGTTAGCAAAATATTATGCATCGATTCATTTGAGAGTAAAAGCATGTATGGAAAGAGGGTTACTGATCATGTGGCATTATTCGGATAGTATTTGAGACATTCACTAAAACTATGTGACTCTTTGCAATGTATCTACTTTCTTATCCATTAACAGGTGAGTTTCGATTACTTCTTTGGTTCTTACTTCAAAATTTGATTTGGTAGGTTGAGAATCAGGAAGGGGTGGCGAACTTTGATGACATCCTTGCAAATTCAGATGCATTCATGGTGGCACGAGGTGATCTTGGAATGGAAATTCCAATTGAAAAGATCTTCCTTGCCCAGAAAGTGATGATCTATAAGTGCAACATCCAAGGAAAACCCGTTGTCACGGCAACACAGATGTTGGAGTCAATGATCAAATCTCCACGTCCAACTAGGGCTGAAGCTACTGATGTTGCCAATGCGGTTCTAGATGGCACAGATTGTGTGATGTTAAGTGGTGAGACTGCTGCAGGAGCTTATCCTGAACTTGCAGTTCGGACCATGGCAAAAATATGTGTAGAAGCAGAAAGTACCCTTCATTATGGAGATGTCTTCAAAAGGATTATGGATCATTCTCCCGTGCCCATGAGCCCATTAGAGAGCCTGGCTTCTTCTGCCGTTAAAACAGCCAACTCGTCCAAAGCAGCTCTTATTTTGGTCCTAACCAGAGGAGGAAGTACCGCAAAACTGGTGGCTAAGTACAGACCAGGAATGCCTATACTGTCTGTTGTTGTCCCTGAGATCAAGACCGATTGCTTTGACTGGTCATGCAGTGATGAAGCTCCAGCAAGGCATAGTCTAATTTTCCGTGGCTTGGTTCCAGTTTTAAGTGCAGGATCTTCCAGGGCCTCTCATGCAGAGACGACTGACGAAGCACTGGACTTTGCCATTCAACATGCTAAGACGAAGGGGCTCTGCAAGAATGGAGATGCTGTTGTGGCTCTGCACCGTGATGGAACTGCATCTGTGATCAAGATCTTGACTGTGAAGTGATGATCATCCCGATAACTTTTTTGCTGCCCTTTTTGGCGTTCTCAGAATTAGCCAATGACAATGCTTATGATTTTGCCTCATTTAATATGTTTTTGGATGCAAAAACATCTACCTACTGCCATCCATCTTTGTGATGAGCTGGCTTTGATAGCTACATAATTGCTGAGTGCGATATGGAACTTTATGCAATACTAATAGGATTATTTGCTATATTATCTTTAAGGGAATACATTTTCCTACTTTGCTGAATTTCGTGTTCATTATTCTTGATTGATGTGCTTCTTCATCGTAATATAATCCTGTTTGGAATTGCTGCATATGCCAGAGCTTGATTCTGTTTCTGTAATCTGCAGGGAACCAAATGCGTGGAACTGGTAAATTCATTACCACATGAAACTTGGAATGTTCTTTAATTCACAGCATTCATGCCACTTGAACTTGTGCAACAAAATGTATAGTTTGAATATGCTCCATCCCATGATCCAACATAAAACAATTCAATCAAACAAAATATATTCATGAGTGCATACAATTCAGTTCACACGGCTGGCTTTCTTTCGCGTATAATTGTCGGGGATATAATAATAATCAAGGGTTATCTTCCTGAATCACTTCCCAAGTAAGAGGATCCTGAGACAATTTTTTTAAAATTTGTTAAATTTCGTCAAATTTCAAAATTGGCATGTTGCAGTTTGTTACTCATGCAATGAGAAATGAGCAAAAGGAGGACTGGCAGCTACACCTTCAAAGTCTTGTCTGTAATCATCAATTCATTTGTCAATTCAAACAAGCCAAAAGTCCAAGGATGCTGGAACTTTCAAATTAAGCAGCTAGCGTGATAGAGGTAAGCAATACATCATCTCAAGCAAGAGCAAGTAATATAGCAACAGTAGAAGTTCTTATAGGTGCGTAGGAGGCCAAAACATCTACAAAACAAAAGACCACCCCTCTTTTTAAACACATAAACGCACAATTTGAACTTCCCAGATTCACATTCAAGTAAGATACTATGTACACAAGCAGACCATTGAAGCAACATAATGGACAAGAACTTGATATAGCCACTCAACTCAACTAATGGAAAATATACTCAATTCTCATCTGTTCGAGAAGCGCTTCCACTTCCAGTTGCATTTGCTGCTGAGGAAGAATTACCCCCACTGCCACTAGATTGAGATCCTGAGTTAGAAAACAGACCATTGAAAGGCCATGGAATTGAAAACCTTCTTCCGCTTCCGTTTCTCCCATCCCCATCTCCCTCCACCCCACCACCATCACCACCTATGTTTTCACTCTCCCTTTGGTCACTGCTGTTCCTAGAATTATCAGAATCGCGTTTGGATTCATCAGCAGGCAACTGAAACCTGCATACTGGACAGGAACTATGAAGCTCCAGCCATGGCAGAATACACCCGCTATGAAATTTATGCTTACATGGCATCTCTTTTGCTTCTACACCAGCCTCAAAATCATCCAAGCACACTGAACACTGCAGATTCTCCTTGATTGTCACAGTGGGCAGAGCTTCCACTGCCTCCTTTTGCGCTGGCGGAGTCCCATATCTGTTAGGATCATTCTCTGCCAAATGTTGCAGCAATAAATCTAAACCAGGCCCAATAAAATAATCGCCTAATGAACCCATAGGGGTGTGATTGTTGTTTTGGCCATGATTCGAACCATAAGAACCCTGAACAATGATGGTTTGACTGAAAGGATTGATCAGAATTACTCGTTCCCTTTCACTTTCCCTTTCTCTCTCTCTATCCCTATCACTCTCAGAATTCTCAGACTCAGATGCCGAGCCAGCCCGAATGCCTTGAAGCAGCTGTAGAATAGTAGCCGAGTTTCTCCTCCTCCTTCGGATGATTGATTCAAGTTCCCTGTCCAATTCAGTGTCTCCGCCATGGCGGGCCTCGCCATCATCATTATCATCATCCTCATCCTCATCAAAGTCTAGTCGTCTTAATCTTCGGCGTCGATGGGGATTGTTCATCATTCCCAGCAAGATTGGTGCCCAGAGGGAGAGGGCTCGATCTGATCCAAAATCAGAGTCAGCTTCATGATTGTCCCTCGTGTTGCTATTCATTTCTTCAATAAATCCGCTTTGGCAAATTGGGCATTTCATTTCTACTTCCATGATGGGATCCACCATTTGAGAACACGCGTGACACCAATACCTTACTTCCTCCATTTCTCTTTTTCTCTTCGGTCACTGTCACAAGACCATAGCAAAAAGATCAAGATTTTAGCATGACTTCCCAGATCTAAGCCATCCAACAATTTAAATATTGTTCTTCAAAACCCAAAGAAATTCCATGAGACCATTTAAAATATAAATACTCCAAACCAGAACAGAAAAAAAAAATCAAATCAAATCAAATCAAATTTTGACAAGAACTTGAAGAGCAACTCCGATCAACCAAAGAAACAAATAATTTTGAAAATAAAGATGGTGAAACTTCTCCTAATCCAGAAGACGCACAACAAGAACAAAAAAAGAAAAAGGGAAGACCGTGAATTATTTTGATTCTTACCACAAACCAACAAAATCGGAGAGCAGACGACCCGAGAGGAACAAGAGCACCAGCAAGTCAGAGCTTGGGATATCAAATCGCGTCAGGAAATGAGGATTTTTATGAAGAAAGAAGAGGTGTAGGTGAAAAAATTTAAAGCCAAATGTAAAATTGGTAAGTAAAGAAGAGAAGGATCTGGAAGCATCGATCTCATTCTTATTCAAGTCTTGGTGTTATTTCGGGACCAGGCTCTGATAATTAATATTAGAGGATCAGAATTCAGAATTGAAGAAGAAGAAGTACATATTTGACACGCAAACTAAACAAACCTAATTAATTAGTTATTTAACCCCATGATCTATGCATACATACAGATACAGCAAGTCAAATGAAGAAGAGGAAGAAGAACATGAATTCAGAAAGAAATAGCAGAATTGTAAACTGTGTACCCAAGCAACAGCAAGCAGTCAGTTTTTTGTGAATTTCTTTCTTTTCTGTTTGCTCTGACGCTGCAAAAGAGAAAACTGAGGGAAAGAAGAAGATTCCACCCACCCTTTCCTCCCCCCCTCTCTCTCTCTCTTTCTCTCTCTATCCCATTCCCTTTGCAAGTTGCTACTTTCTTTCTTTTTCTTTTATTTTCTTGTAATTACAATTACTGGTCCACCGTTTATTTTCTTCTTCTTTGGTTTTTTTGTTTGTTTTGTGCCTTTGAATTGGATGTGTGTAATTTACTTACTTTTTTTCCCTTCCTAAACGCGTTATGTATTATGCGCTGCTGGCAGTCTCTCATTCATTCTTTTTCAAAACCAAATGTTGCTCTCAGGCCAATCATTCTATTCGGTTCTTATTTTCTTTTTCTTTTTCTATATTAAGAACCTTTCATATCCAATTTTAGTCGATTTCTAATTTCTTTTCTACAAAAGTTAAATACTAGTGATTTTTTGTTGAACAAAAACATTGTGATTATTTAACAACTTCCCCATTGTTTTTTGTTAAAATTGTCATTTTCACAACTATTGATACCCATCCCAAAAAAGAAAAAAAAAGACTACAATAAACAGGAAGGAGGGTTCTAACACGAACTACAAAGATATTATGAAAATTCAAACATGAGATCACTGGTAGACAGGGGCGGAGCCACACTGCTGCCAGTGTGGTCCCGGGGCCCTACTCAAGTTTTTATGTATTTTTAAAGTAATATACTATTATGTATTTATATATGTATATTATATAAAATACTTTACGTTTTGATATATACCCACATGTGTTGTGGCGGATCTATTAAGGCATAATGAGGTGCTTCAAATTGCCCCTTTGCTCAGTTGGTGGTGGTGCACTCCAGGTGTACAGATTACCTTATTTCCATTTTTAGCATTTAAGTAAATGTCTTTGTCCTTTTACTTTAATTTATTTTTATATTACTCAATTTACTTAAGTTTACAATGTAAATAAGGAAGTACCCCATATTTGGATTCAAATAAAAATACTAGAAAATCAAATTCCCACAAAATCAAAATATGAAAAATCAGTTTTAGTGCAAAATACGATTTATGCTAAAAATGATGGCTCATTAAGTCAATATATACTTTATACTAAAATCCCATAAAATCAAGTTTTATTATTTTTTGTATAAGGAATAAAAGCCGCCAAAAATTATCTTGAGAAAAGGATTATTTCGAAAAATCATTTTTCATACTTAGTCAATATTTTTACATAAACCATTTTTCATGTATGATATGAATGTATGAAGGGACCTAATGTTTTTTTTAGTTTGTGAAATTTTGATTTTTTCTTTCTATTGGGTTTAATGGGGGAAAAAGCTTTAAAGATATTTACTAAATCGCTAATCTTTGTCTATCTCTTACAATTTTTCTTCCTTAAAATGTATTTGTCTATCCCTTTGTCGAGGACAATTATGATTACAACCAATAAGCAATATAATTCTTGACATATGTGATATATATATATATATATATACTATTTTTCATATGTATTATGAGTTCGAACTTTTGATTCTTTATAATTTGTAAGAGGCCCCAAAACACATGAAATCCTGGCTTCGCCACTACTGGTAAACAAATCAATACCTTTTTCCACTTCATCTTTATCACATTTAATAAGAGAGATAGATAAGTAAATATAAGCATTAATTATAAAAAGTAATTTTGTTAATACAAGTATACTCTTTTTGTTTTTTTTTGGGTAATACGGGTATACTTAGAAAACAAGTTGTGTTGTATGAAGTATCTTCGACAAAAAAAAACAGTTGTATGAAGTTTCTAAGGTTTCACATGTAATTACATAATACCTAATTTTTAGGAGTAATAGCAACGACATTAATCTTTGAACACCAACTGATGTGATAATATTCTATTTATGAACTTTTTTTTTCTTTTCAGTACAAACGATATTTTAAATTAGGATTTCTCACACACACACAACTATGATGCCTTATTCTCAGTTTGGATAAGTGAAAATGACTCGGAATTTAGTTAAAAGTCGTGAATTTAAGAGGAGAAATTGACAATTCTCTTGTTTGGCAACTTAAGCGCGGAATTTATTAAATGATGCGTGAAAAAAGTTGTGAAAATTGAGGCATCAATTCATGAGTTTAATTTCCACAAAAATAAGTGTCATTTCGCAATTTCCACATTGTCATTTACAAAATTCGACACATAAATTCAAACACTGAAATATTCAATTACTAAAAATTGAAATGATAGAAATCTAAATTCCGTCATTTTAAAATTCGATGTAATTTTCAATTCCTTCATCCAAACAGATGATTAGGGATTCAAACTTGCAACCTCTAATATATCATTTTTCACTGAGTTAGGAGCCATTAGCTCATTGGTATCCAAAGATTAATGCCTTAAAAATAGTGGGAAGGTTGACATTGACAATAATTCATATGGCCGACACGTCATTTCATAAACAATTAAAGCTTACGGCTCATGGCCCCATTGACGTTTCAATTGAAAGCTTAGTTACACTTAACCAGTTTTATTAACCCAAGGGTGTACTATTTTATTCTAATATTTCTGTACCTCATGTTTATGTATTGGTGTTTACAATGTTAAAATACATAACAAATTTGAATCCGCATCTCCTATGGTCTCAAGTTGTTGATGGGTTTAATTAATTAATATCAAAGATGATTTAATGTAGCATAGCAAATAGCGAAGGGAATCTAAGGTGAAGGTCTCTTTCTCCGTTGATCAATATCCTGCTGACTGCTGTCTGTGCTGCTGCACCTCGATTACTCCCTCGATGATTTGTTTTTTCCTTTTCGTTCAGTCGGATCTCTTTCCTTTCGTCGTTTTTTAACGGATCCTCCTTTTCTTCAAACAAAAAAAAAAAAAAAAAAAAAAAAAAAAAAAAAAAAAACAATCCTCTTCTTTGGTAGATCCCTCTTGTTCATGTTCAGTCTCTTTCGTTTTGGAAGCTGTTTTTGTTTACATCTGTTGCTTCCTTACTTTCCTTTAGCCCAGTGGAAAATAGCATTGACTTGCAGATCAGTGATTTCAAATTCGAATCCATATGGAACCTTGGTAGTGTACACATTGAACACCAGCTTTTTTCTTAGCAACAACTAACAAGTCCACCAAAAACTCATCCTATCATTCAATCCTATTCCCATCCCTAGACTCACAACACACTCAAATTACATGGTCGTTTAAAAACATTTAAATAATAAAACTGATCAGACGGCCTTCACCTACTCTTCAGTCTGCATGTTTCTTATTTACGCTGTCCATGGTTCTCATGGTGAACGTGAGAAGAATTATACGTTTAGGCATACGATTATCCAAAAATAAGAGTCGTATATCTACCATACACCTGCTTAAGAAAACAAAATTTTGCAATTAAATAGTTAACAATGACATAGTAAGGGAGTGTCTTCATCTGCAAGGTATATTTGATCAGAAGATATCATAGCAAGGAGTGTCTAATCCCATAAAAAACAAAGCTCCATCGAAAGGGTCAAGCAATGCTATGCTATTAGGGGGGAACAAACGAGAGGCAATTGCCTCGGTTCCTTAACGACGATGCTATTGTCGACTTAACTAACACCCAGCCCGCACAATTCGAGGCAATTGCATGTCTGACTGTGTGCTGCGCAGTGCAGTCAGCATGCCAATGCGAGTAGTTCATCCACATGGACCACTGGTCTTGGATCTTGATCCAAGCTTTTGGCATACCAAACCACAGGGACCATCCATGTGGTTTTCCTTTTAATACTTTGATAGGCAGCTTCCATCCGGGCAAAAAAAATCCAAGAATATGTGATCCGACTGTACAAGGCTCACTCCAAAAACACAATCTGCCCGCAGTGACTACATCATATGAAATATCCTCTAAACAACTAGGGGAGTGGTTCCCAAAAGAAAAGCCAGATGGCACACCCAAAATTAAACGGAATTAGGCTGGTCTGCTGCCTTCTCCTCCTGCAAGGACTCAAATCTAGTTAGAAGCGGCAAAAATGACAATTCAAATGGATGAAATAATACTTATCAGAGATCTATATAAGAAAAACTCGTATAAAACTCAAGCAGGAAAAAGTCCCAATCCCTAAATGAACTAATATATTGTTCCGAAATGCATAGAACTATCTCCGAAATGCATAGAACTATCTGATGACAATCTTCCCTGTCAATGACTAATACTTAAATGGCATAGGTAGCAAACTGTAGTGGCTGAAAAAATGCACGAGTCAATCACATTTTGGATGTAATAAGAAAGCAGCACAAGAGAAAAACTACTGATAAGGGGGCCATTCCAAGCTGGATGGCTAAAATCATTTTACACAACAATTCTAATGCTTGCACATAATCAGAGTACAAATACAGTTAGATAACAACCGCAAATCATCATCCCATCGAATTATGGGAAGAGAAGTGCACAAATGTATTCTCCAAAGTCCAACTGAGAACTCCATGTCAGTTCAAATCCTAGAAAATGGCCTCAAAGTGCCACCCAACCAAAAACTCGATGTAGATAAGCATGTGAATGAAATATTTGGCCAGTTGACATTGCTGGGAGATAACACAGAAGGGTGAGGAAGAAACAATGCTATCTACTGAATCCAAAATATTAACCCCATGAAAGAATAGTGGGGATCACAACCCGCATCATCAGACACATTATGTTTCTAAATTTCATAAAAATGATCAAAAACATATTTCATGGATACTTACATCTACAAACTGAAAAGATCTGACTACAGATGGTTTCACCTTAGAAGCTTCAGCAGCAGAAGTAGATCCATTGCCACTGTAACATTTTCCCTAAAAACAAATAACAGTGGTTTCAATTTGGTAACAGTTGAGAAACAGTCATTGCTACCTTCTAATACACAAGAGCAATATTACGAAAATCTGAAGAAACAAAAGATATCAGATGTTTCCAAACTTCAAACACCAACACATATCTCAGTGGTTCAAATCATAGCAAAATGTAAATCTGCAAATTAGATGTTGCACATAGTACACCATATATTCCAGTTCAATTTTTTCCCCTGGTGGAATACTGTTAAAACCATCATGCAGAGAACCAGAACACGATGCAATACGAACACATCACTTTTAATTTTTCTTTTAATTTGTTTTTATTATCACATGACTTCATAAACACTTCACCCTAAGGCCCTTAGCATACTCATCCCCTCGAGTGTTGACCCCCAAAGAACTTTTTAGAAAATGAAATCCTTTACACTTTTCTAATGACCTTTCTATGTATCCTTTTCCCAAAAGGAAAAAGCACAAGTAGAAACTGTGACAATGGGAGAAAAACAATTCTCACATCCCAAACAAGGGTCCCAATGAAAATTCCTTACGTGTACTAACCAATATATCTCTACAACAAACACTTTTGTTGATCACATGGTTCATTCATTGGCCAGAAAAGGAAGGAAAAGTATTTGCAGAGCTCGTGCCTTTGATTCCTTGGAGACTTCAATATTCTCAAGTCTGCATCTAGGTGATTGCTCAACATCATCGATGAAGTCAGATCAAAGTGGATGAGTGTAACAAACTGCATAGATCCCCTCTCCTTCAATCGCCACAAAACATATCCACAAAAGGCCCCATCTAATGGATGCCATAATGACTCAATGATCGAAACCAATTTTAGCAAGAACTTTGGGGCTAGAATGGCAAGAACATCAACGTTCTCTACTGTTGCCTGGCCTACCATCCAACGATGATCCAAGTCCAAGTAAATCCTACAGGATTCCTCTGATGTAAAGGGCCTTTTCAAGTCCAAAGAACAAGGTTGACCACACCCACTTAGAACAGTTGAAGTCAAACCTTTTAGCTCCCACTCCTAGAATGCAAATGTTACCAGAGCAGCAAGCTTGCCCAGAGTGGACATCTGTCCAGAACAGACATATCACGTCCTTTTTCAAGGAAGCCTAATTAGAATTACATCCTTAACCAAGTTGGATACAAAGAATTGAGAATAGCGTCATTGTTCATGGTATCCAACCCTCCTGTCCTTTATAAAGATTCTTGCCTCAAAGAGGACTTTGATGGTCTCATAGGGAATGGTACATACATTGCATCACTAGAATTCTACGTGTTCCTGCTACCTTTCTCCTCAAACATTTTCGAATCTATATATTTTGTTGTTGTCTGTGGAAGGCATCATGCTGGTGAGACCCCTAATCTTCAATAGATACTTTCCTGTTGTCTTGTAGGGATATATTCACACAATCTTGTCTGCGGTGAATTTTGACAACCACAAGTGGGGCACTGTCTACATTCCTTCATTATGCTCTTTCTCCCTCATGTCTCTCCTTTACTGATATTATGATAATAAAAATTTAGGGTTTTAAAATTGTAGACTCTATCTTCTCGTTTCTTGTATAAAAGACTAAAAGAATTGTGGACTCTTTAACTTTTTCTATCTATAGACAGTAGCGTTTAGAACAGATTAAAAAAACAAATAAATATTGGTAGTGGAAAACTTCAGTTAGATTTGCAGAGGCATTGACTTCTAACCCAAGTTTCCAAGAATCCAAAGTAAATTAAAATGAAGTTTTAGAGCAATATGTAAATAGAAAGAGGTGATGAAATATTTCATTGATGTCTTTCTTTGAACGAGTAAACTTTAAGGAATCATGGATTGTAACTTTGTTGCTTTAGGAAAAAAAAATTACAAAAGTCGAAAAACAAGATGCTCCATGGTAAGTTTGTTAACGTATTATTGGATAAACTTGAGGGTAATAGGCGAACAAAGAAAATGAGGCGATGACATAGAGTGTATATACAAGAGAAAAGCAAAGAGAAATGAAAGGTTGAGTAGGTATGTAATGTAAGAGGATGCAATGCGAGTGACAGATAAGTGGGTAGAAAGATAGATAGAGAGAGAGGACAAACCTGACCATCTTCAAAGAGTGATGAGTAATAAGCTGGATCATAAATAGAGCCTCCTAAAGCATCACTAGAATCTGAAGTTTGTCGAGGTACAACAGGAGTAGTTGGACTCAAGAAACTATTTCTCAAATCAAAATCAGCTTCTCTAGGAAGTGCACTAGTTTCTACATAGGAAAGGCCCAACCTGTATATCTGAATCCACAAGAAGGAGGAGGATAATCTCACAGAAAAGCCAACAATTTGCATGGCGAGAGTGAGTTTCACTGAGAAGATGTACCAAATTGTATAACTCCCAGGAGAAAGGTTCCTGCACAACAAGTGCACAGACAAGAAGAATCAGACATACACATTACATACTTCACCAAAAAGGAAACATACTTGCTATGATATTACAGATAAAGACTCATATAGAGATGGGAAATGAATGTGATAAATACATGGTTTGGTTTGAAAGATAAATTGGAAGGAAGCAAGATTTACCATATTTCGTGGGAAAAGAAAATGAACCAAAAGACATCGAGGAAGACGGTGCAGACGAGAAGGACGGCATATGTACGGCCAAGGCTCTGACTGCTGCTCTCGATTGCTACCAGAGCGAACAATGCAATCGCCAGATTTATCAGCAACACCCCGTTGTACAGTGCTCCCAGCGATCCCACCAATGCGCACCCAACCTATGCATATTGAACAATCAGTGATTGATATTGATTGAAACCCTTGTTTTTCTGGTTTCGATGAATTTGAAAGACACGAAACGTACCTGAATGTAGAGGAGGATGACGGCCAATGATTGAAGCCTGTCGTAATCACGAAGCCATGGCTGTATTCGATCACGCAATGATTCACAAAGCATTATAGACTCCTACCCCCTACCCCGTACCCCCTCCCCTGCCCCACCCTCCGCCTCTCTCGCTAATCTTCTTCTTCTTATTTCACTGCTTCTTGTTGTTGCCTTTTCTCCAAACCCACCTATTATATGGCAATGAAAAATTCAAATGAGCATTACGTGAATTTAAGGTCTATTTTCCCTAATGCCTCTTGAGACCAACTCATTCTTCCAAAGGTTCTTGATTCTTCCTCCTTTCTTTCTTCTTCTTGTTAAACCAACTCTTCCTTTTCTCAGTTTCTTTTCTGTTTCTCCCCCTTTCTCTTTTTTCTTTTTCTCTTCCTTTTTTTCCCTCTTGGCAAATTGGCTGCTAGTACAACTCATGGTAATTACCAATTGACAAGTAATTTTGAGTCATTTGACCATTAGGTAGGTGCATCATCATCATGTGCATGACCAAATTAGCAGTGATGGGGGATGAGCTGAACCCTGGCTACTATGCAACTTAGCAACTAGGCTACTATTATATGCCATTTAAAAATATGGAAAACTCTCGTTCTTTTTTCCCTAGCACATTAAATACTTTTATCATTTTTTAAGATCTATAAATATAGTTACTTGAGAAGACGTGGGTTAGATTAGTTGGAGAGGGCAGTGAGTTCGGTTTTCGGTCTTCTTGTGCTTATGTTTGAATCACAATTTCTGTAGATGATATTAATTTGGAGTAATTTAAATTAGGGAGTTTCACTAAAACACCCAAAATGGGGGTTGAAATTATAAAAAAACCCAAGCACTATTTAAACATATAAACACACCCAAAACCCATCATTACACACACTCAAAACCCATTTATAAACACACCCAAAAAGTTGACTATGGGGTTGATTTTGGGTGTGTTTCTATGTTTGAATAGTGCTTGGGTTTTTTTATAAATACATGTCTAGGATTGGGTTTATTTATAAATTTGTATTTAAATTATCACTTATATTAATATATATAGTTAATTTTATTCAATATGTTAAATTGTTATCCAATTTACTAAATTTAATTCCACCGCACCAAACAACGATCCAAATTCTCATTCATTTTAATTGAAATAATCTAGTCCAATCTAGTCGCACTCACCAAACATTAAAGCTATCCTCGAGCAATGCTGAAACCCCTCATAAAATATTGGTGGAAGAATAAATTAAGGCTCCTAAGCTAAGAAGATAAAATTCATTATGTTAAAATAAAAAACAGTTGGGCCTAAAAGTCTTTAGCATGTCCACAATTTTGCTACTTTTTGAAATGGGCTCCTTAATGAGTGAGAATGAAAGCCCAAACTGATACATATATTGTTGGCGAAAGGCCTTTCACTTACTAAAACTGAAAGGCCAAGAGGCGCAAAGCAAGCAAAGAATTGATCTGAGAAAAAAAATTTAGAAAAGAAAGAAAGAAGGAAAATGGCGGAGACGACGCCGTCGCCGTCATCGTCAACGTGGGAACAAGGGGAACAGGTGAATGTGAATAGTAGTAATATGAGTTTAGGAAAGGGTGATGATGATGAAAAGAATGGGCAAGAGGCAGCAGCATCAGCTTCTTCAGTGGCAATGGCAGCATCGATGGCGGAGGATCTGCAGCGTACGGTCATGCAATCCACGGACTCTGCCATTCGTTCAGCTCGCTCTCTCCAACACCACTTGCCCCAATATGTCGAAAAAGCCGTCTCCGACTACAGGACCTACGAAAATGCTTTCTTCACCAAGATCAAAGGTAGGCTCAAAATTCTTTAATTCCTTCCTTCATTTCTTAATTAGTTAATGGTACAGATTTATTTTTATATCATAGCGAAAATGGCTGGCTAATCACTAATTAGTAATCAGTAAACAATCATTAATTGAATTGAAAATACACAAATTGATCAATCATGAGCTTGTGTGTGTGTGAATTTTCTATTTTGTAATTGAACTGAATTGAACTACATGCTGTGAATACAGAAGGGTTGATGAGTGCAAGAGAGCACCCAGCCTCAACTCTTGGGATTGGTCTTACTGCTGCCTTCCTTCTTTTGCCAGGTCTTCCTTTTACTTTGCTTCAATACTCACTCTTTTATTTATTTGTTTGTTTGCTTCTTACACATGATTTCACCAACCTATGCATAGCCCATAACACAGAACACATGCATCGTTCGCACTTTCATTTTTATGCCTGTACACACACACACACACATATATATATATATATATATATATTCTAAAAATATTAGGCTCTTGGTTGCAGGACCAAGAAGGTTCTTCATCCGCCAGACATTTAGTCGACTTCAGAGTGAGGAGGTATGTATATGTACCCTCCCTCACACCTGAAACTCAAAACCTTTACCTCTAGTTTCTTTTTCTTCTGATATTAATTACAACTAATGTATGTGCAGGCACAATTTGTTAGAGCTGAGAAGAATGTAAAGGAGCTAAATCTTTCAGTTGATTTGATGAAGAAGGAGAGCAAGAAACTTCTTGAAAGGGCACTTCTTGCTGAAAAGGATATGAAATATGGCCAGACTGATCTCATGTACCCACCCTCTCATCCAACTGCTCTTGTATTGATTACCTATATGTTCATTACCTGTCTGTCTGTGTCTTGATTCCTCCAAGTAATTTATGCAGGGATGTGGGAAGTCAAATTCAATCTCTATCTAAATCTGTTCACAAGGTTGAATCCCAAGCTGCAGGTTTGAGCTCATGAATGCTCTCCCCTTTTCGTTTTATTATAAAGTTAATTGGAGAGGCTTTAACTTGGTCTTGGGAGTTTTTATGTTTGACTTGGGTCTTGGTTCTCAATGTCATGCACTTTTGATGAACTTGGATTCAGAAAACGTTTATTGAATATCAGACTGGAATTATGTCCCCATTTTGTATTACATTTTTGTGTAGATTTAATGGATGGGCTGCGAGAAATTCCTAATAGGGAGGCCTTGAAGCTTAGAGCAGAGGCAAGTTCAAACAAAACACCACCTTCATTCACACTTTTTGTTTTAATTCCTTGTGCATTTGTTTGAATATGTTGTTTACATCATGGTAAAACTGTCTCTTTCTCTCTCTCTCTCTCTGCCCCTCGTGTTATATTAGGTTGCTTCAATGGCATCAGTTTTGAAAAGGCAGAGGTCTGTGCTGGACAAACGGATAATGAAGATCTCGGAACTAGGACTTCCAGTGTAACAGCTAGGAGAGATTGAAGGGCGATTGAGCCAGGAATTTTGCTATCTGACATAGGGTGGTGCTTTACACACCCCCTTTTTCTTTTTGTTGATTCTCAATTGGCATGCAACCATTAGTTCTGCTTTATAAGCATGCAACCAGTACTGTTTTGTAATAAAATAACTCCAGGAGTGGCAATCAATTTTCACTTCTATTCATTTGTGAATATCTTATCTGACTTCCCTTTGTTATCGTTAATGATTTTGTTTTAATTGCAGAGAGAGACAGAAGTTGGAGATGTAAGAGGAAAAAAATCGATATGGGAGAAATATGAACTTGTTTTGCAATATAAAAGCTATGAAAGGTTTTAAGTGATTATTCAGTTTAATTAATCATCGTATGACAGTTGGAAATAATTAAAGATTCTACTCTATGTAGCATGGATATGACAGGCTATAATTCAATTGACGAAGAGTATTATTACAAAACGTCCTTAAGGTTTACGAAATTATCAGATTGCATCCTTAATGTTTTTTTGTGTCATTTATCGTCCTCAAAGTTAGTATGTGCAATCACAAATGGTCCCTGCCGTTAGATTCTGTCAAAAACTCTGTTAGTTTGCTGACGTGCATACATATATACCACAAAACATCCCTGAGGTTTACACACTTATCACAAATGGTCCATACGAATTTTTTTATATACAAATTTATAAATAACTCAATTCTAGACATGTATTTATAAAAAAACCCAAGCACTATTTAAACATAGAAACACACCCAAAATCAACCCCAAAATCAACAATTGTATATTTTTTGGGTGTGTTTATAAATGGGTTTTGAGTGTGTGTAATAATGGGTTTTGGGTGTGTTTATAAAGTGTTTTGGGTGTTGGGTTTTTTTATAATTTCAGCCCCCATTTTGGGTGTTTTAGTGAAACTCCCTTTTTTAAATTTTTTTATTTAAAATTCATAAAATTTTGGTTTTCTTTTTAAAATTATTTATAAATGAAAAAACCATTTATAGAAGGATTTTAATCTTAAAGGACCATTTATGAACCCTAAACCTTTAGGTTTTTTCATTTTTAAATTATTTTTTAAAAACTTCATTAGTATGTTGATGTGACATATATATGGAGCTCACAACTACAATAATATAGTGTCACATGTATTTAAAATTTAATATATATTTTAAAATAATTATAATTCATAAAATTTTAAAAAGAAAACAAAAATGTTATGAATTTTAAATTTAAAAAATTAAAAAATTTCGTAAGGACCATTTGTGATAAGTGTGTGAACCTCAAGAATATTTTGTGACATACATACTAACCTTAAAAAATTTCGTAAGGACCATTTGTGAACCTAACGGCAATGACCATTTGTGATCATACATACTAACCTTGAGGACCACGAATGACAAAAAAAAACATTAAAAATGCAATTTGACAATTTTGTAAACCTTAGGGACGTTTTGTGATAATAAGCCATCTTACAAAGGAAAATAATGTTGAGCACCGTACGGCCATGGCATAACCATAGATGCCATGTAATGTTGAACATTAGAAATAAAAGCAGTGTATGCATTCCGCCCGCTTAAATTGCCCAAGCGTCCACTTATAATTGGTGTCGTTGCAATAGAGTATGACAAGGAAATACGAACTATACAACGGGAAGCTGGCGTAACCCATAACCCAAAACAAGTTTCTCAATTAAAGTTCATATGATTTTCAACATGTAGCCCTTCATCAAGTTCAATTTTTATCAACAAAATACATCAGTCTCAGATTTTGTCCAGAACTTTCTAACGGTTACTTCCTCATCTGTGTGAACAACTCCAGAGGCTTTCCAGTTCCTCCTGTACTACCAAAACCAGAGAAACCACCAGATCCTTGTTGACCACCGAATGCCGCAAATCCACCACCTGAGCATATTTATCCATGACACAAGTCAGCTCAACAGCTTTCTAAAAGATAAGGATTTTACATCAGCATCAATGAAAAAAGAAAAGAAAAAAGATTACCAGCCGCAGGAAGTCCGCCACTAGAAGCAGCTCCTGTAAAACCACTACCAGCTGAAGCTGCACCAACGAAACCCCCTCCACCTGAACCTGCACCGGCAAACCCACCACCACCTGAACCTGCACCGGCAAACCCACCACCACCTGAAGCCAAACTGGCAAACCCGCCACCCACAGAAGCAGCACCAGCAAACCCTCCAGTAGCAGCACTTGAGAAGCCACCAGTGGGATTAGTTCCAGCAATGCCACCACCAAAACCACCGGGTGATCCAAAACTGGTTCCTGGTAGACTAGTACCAAGCTGTCTCGACTGTCCAAAAGTACCAAGAACTGACCCTAATGCTTGCTGCCCTGGTCCAACCTGTACTGGCTGGCCAAACTTACTCGGACTGGGAGGTTGGGCAGTAGTACCAGTGCCAAAGCCACCAGCAAACCCACCGGAATTTGCTGGCTGAGATGATTGAGAAGGCTGTAGAGATTGGATGTTAAAAGATGCAGGCCGAAACAGCTCTCCACTAGCTCCACTAGGGACAGTCGTGGAGAAAGGAGAAGTCACATTTGTTCCTGCATTGCCAAATGATCCACCAAATGGATTAGGTTTAGGAGCTGTTGGGTTAGGGGCAGAGCCAAGCCCAAACCCACCAAGGCTTCCCAAACTAAGTTCAGTTGTGCTGCTTGTGTCCGGAGCCTCCTCATCCATGTCATCCTCCTGTGCATTTTGTACATCCAACCCATCAGTCCTTCCACCAGTAACACTCCCTGAAGTTGGGAATGTTGGGAATGGAGAATGTCCGGCAGACGGCTGTTCTTGCTGAGCATTCATTCTCACATTATTTGTAGGACCTGCAGTATTGTTCGAACTGGCCTGGCTCCCAGATGCCAGTCCTGTTGAAGTTTCAATTGTGAGGGGAGATGATACTGAAGGTTTAAGCTTCAAATTAGTTTCAACTGTGGAAGGCCCACATTCCTGAGGTGGCAATATAGTATTAGCATTCTTGTCTGTTTTTGAAGAAGGTTGGATCTCTGTTTTAGAAGATTCTGATGTTGAATTTGTCACAGGTGATGGGGCAGATGAGGACACCAGTTGTTTTGAAGCATCAAAAGAGAAAAAACTAGGAGAAGAAACAATTGGAGAGGGAAAAGACAATGACGATGTTGATACAGGCTTACTCACATCTGCAGTAGTGTTAGAACTATCCAAAGATCTGTTTGAAGGCATCACGACTGATGGTGAAATTGATAACGGAGATAGAGGTGCTGATGATGAACTAAATACTGGAGATGAGGGTGTCGAAACTGACATTGAGAATGTGGGAGAAGGTAAAATTTTACCAGGCTGGCTAGTGGCCACAGGAACAGCAAACGAGGAAGACAATGAAAAATTCAGTTTTTTCCCAGCTTCAATAGATGGAACAGTTGCGGTCAAAGGCCTATCCTTCACACTCTCTTGTTTTGGATGCGTACCTTGGGCAAATGAATTTAGCGTATCATTTGGTTTCTTCAGCAATGATGGTGTCTGTGTAGGAACCAAAGAAACGGATGGTTTCTGACTAGTGTCTGATTGCACGACAGACTTTTCTTTCACTGAATCTGACTCGGACTTCTCAATATATGGAATGCCATTGCCAAATTTTTCTGCTGTCATATTAGGTTCCCTTGCAAAACTTTGCCGACCTGCAGGCAACAATTGGGATGCTGATGACATTTTGTGTTCTTGCATTATAGGAGACGTCAGCCCAGTAGGTTGTAATGGTCCTTGAAGTTCATTAGCCCGAACAAATGGAGTTGCTGAGCTCTGAAAAGGCTGCTTCATATGCGTACCCTGAATGCCTGCTAAAAATATGTTTGCATGCAAGAGCAACAATCAGTGGGTGTATTCTAATAACAACAAAATCAGAGAACTTTCTGGTTCTGGCTCACCTTTGTTTTCAGATGGATGCAAGAAGGTTGCAGGGCTTATGTGATCCCTTGGGCCAGTAATGGCTGATCCCTCCAGCAGGCGAGGGCTAAAGTGTTGCTTATCAATGGGAAAGGATGATCTACTTGTGCTTTCCTTGCCACTTTCTTGCAAAAGCAACCTTTTCACAGTTGCTTTTGTAGGCTCATAATCTTCCCAGCTCTTGATCATGACCAAAAAAAGAATGCACACATGAGTCTTGCAAATTTTGTTGATAAGACAAACATTTATCCAAAAAAGAAAAGTAGGTTACAAGAACAATGGACATCAAGCCCATCCAAATGACCTATGAGCATCAAACGAAAACATCACATTCAAGTTAAATTCTTCCAAATCATTGTATATGCTAAAAATCTAGATCAACATTATTCAGCATCATTTGATCCGAGACAACAAATCTGAAAACTCTAAGAGTTCTATGTCCCTCAAATTCCCTTAAAAAAAACTTTTAATGAGGAACCCTAAGCCCTAAACCACAAATTTCAACTGATTGGAGAAATAAGAATAACCCTAGGATATGTATTTCTAAGGGGATGGAAATGAACATTTCTCTCAAATCTGAGAATCTCACCCATCAAATCGAACCTCTCTATACAACCCTTGCAAAGTTTGTATTATCACCAGTCAGTAAAGCAATTACTTTTTAGAAACATTGAATTAAATAATTCACAAGCATATAACATATTATATTACAGGACCTGGGGGAGGTAGGAGGGGGGAAGAGTGAGAGAGCCTGGCAGGACTCTTACATATGTGTGTGTGTATATATATACATATACATCTATGTAAATATATGTACGTCTGTAAGACAACCCTGATATGTCCAATTACTATGGTAGATTCAGCATAAATTTGACAAACATTAGGCTAACCACACAAGGAGTTGGGCCCCTGCATCGAGCATTGATCACAATTGATACAAAATTACAAGCAGAAAGTTGCTTATTTCTGTTCAGGAAACACGCAGAAGTCCACGGAATCATTACCCTGTCCAGTGAGTCTCTCCTCCTCCTTGCAGTTTCTGGTTCGTAATTCTTTATGGCATTCACATTTCTCCTGGGCT